TCAATACAATTAAATAAATACGTGATTTTCGAAATTTAGATTTTTTTTCGAAATTCATCCCACAAGGTGGTAAAATAGGGCATAAAAGTTTTTAGACTTTTTTTTGTAGTTTTAGCGCGAGCGAAGCCGCGGGTTTTGCTAGTATATTATTAATACTTATTGCGACCTAAGTTGGTAAGCTCTGATTGAAATCGTAGCGTTACGTCAATCTTCAGTCAAGAGGGCTTAGCTCTAAGGAGGTCAGCAGAAATCGATTCATTAAAAAATATTGAATGCGTACGTAAACTATAATTTTAGTTATGTAAACATTTTTTGTTATTTTTTTTCTTGAGATTTTTTTATGATTTAATTTAAATGTACGAGTTATTAATATGTCCTTCGCTAAAAGCTTTTTTTCTTAATTTATATTTATAATATGGTATGTATTTAAAGTTATATATGTGTAGTGTAGCAACTATCTGGTATCCATAACACAGGCCTCGTAGCTTACCATGGAACTAGATGGTGCTGTGTGTAATGTCGCAAAAAAAAAAGAAAAAAAAAGCATTCGTTAGAAAAAAACACGACGTAAACATAACCATTATACAACATACTTACACAAGCCTCTAGAAAAACAAAAACAAACCTATACCACAGGAACCGTACATTTTTCCGGGATAAAAAGTAGCCTATGTTTTATTCCAGATTATAATCTATCTCTGTGTCAAATTTCATCCAGATCCGTTCAGCCGTTCTGGCGTGATTCAGTAACAAACATCCATACATACAAACTTTCACATTTATAATATTAATACGGACTAGCGACTTACACACGCTTCAATCAGAATACGTATTATTATTTTTAGAAAAACCCTGATCTTTTTCTAAAATAAAAGTACCTAGTAGCTTAACTCACTCCTTATATCATCCTCTATCTGCCGTCAAAATCAGTCCAGTCATTTCGGAAATAGCCGGAACAAACAGAGACAGACAGACAAAAAATTTAAATTGTGTTTTCATATAAGTACCGTAAACAATTTCATTATTATACATTTAGTAAAACGCTGTTATTTTGACATTACAAACAGACACTTCAATTTTATTTATCCTAACAGTACCCAATTAACTACTCCACGTCATAGCCTATCTGTGTACAAAATTTTATCCAAATTCGTCCAGCCGTTTTAGAGTAAAGAAGTAACAAACAAACATACATACGTACAATATTTCGCTATTATAATAGTAGTCCGATAAGAGATATATTATTACTAGCATTGCCCGCGGCTCCGCCCGCGTTCAGATGACCAAAAACCAAATTCTTAGGTTTTACATATTAGTATACACTTACATTACAGTTTTTGTATTTTTTTGTCAGAAATGAGATATTTTCTCGCGTTAAAAAGTATCCTATATATTGACCCGGGTAACCAGCTACCATCATACCAAATTTCATCAACATCCCTCCAGTGGTTTTTCCGTGATGCGGTAATAGACTGACAGACAAATATTCTAAAAACTATAAATTCGGCTTCTGTATCGATAATAATGCCTATTTCAATAAGATTTTCCAAAAAATATTTAATGTACAGATTCCACTCTGTTATAATTTTATTATATGTATAGATTACTTAGCATTGTCAGAGTCAAGTGAATGGAATGTAAGATTTAGAGAGGCGGAAATATCATCAGCAATGTGAGTTGCGACCTTTGTAACATGTTATATGAATTACTAGCGACTCAGTACTAGTCCTTAGTTACGTTTTAACGTTTAGTATAGATTTCTCAGAGATGAGATAAGTATTTTCCCGCAGTAAAAAGTATCCTGTATATGTGTGTATATGTCTGTCTGTCTGTTACCGCATCACAGAAAAACCACTGGAGGGATTTTGATGAAATTTGGTATGGTGATAGCTGGTTATCCGGGTCAACATATAGGATAATTTTTACCGCGGGGAAATATCTCATTTCTGAGAAAAAATACAAAAGCTGCACTGTAAGAGTATACTAATATGTAAAACCTAAGAATTTGGTTTTTGGTCATCTGGACGCGGGCGGAGCCGCGGGCAATGGTAGAAAATAAATATGTGGGGACATTACCACACAGCCCTATCTAATTCCGTGGTAGCTACGAGGCCTGTGTTATGGATACCAGATAGTTGATACACTACACATATATTATATTATATAAACTTTAAATACAACCATTTCTCTCACACTCTCCTTTACCTGGTAGTTGGTTGCCTGGAAGAGATCGCTTTAAGCGATAAGGCCGCCTACTGTGCATCTTTGTTAATTTTTAATTACTGTCTGTACGTATTTTTCTCTTTGGTGTACAATAAAGAGTATTATTATTATTATTATTACAACCTCAAAAAACCCAATCTTTTTTATATATTACTAGCAGAACCGGCGGCTTCGCTCGCGCTTAAACTACATAAAAAACTCTAAAAAAGTAGTTTCATACAAACATCCCCTTTCTACCCCTTTATAGGATGAATTTCGAAAAATATTAAAAACATGTATTTATTTAATTTTATTGAAGAGCATATATACTAATTTTCAAGTAATGCTGATAATAATAGATCTAATCAACGTTTGTTTGTTTATGCGCTGATAAATCTATATATAAATAGGCAAAGACAAAACAGTTCAGGGCCTTTTCCTCCTCTGTTTGTCAAACGATTTTCTTTTTTTTATTTAGTAGCTATTTACGAGCTTTAATGTTATAAATAAAAAAATAAACGGAAATTTTTGGACACTTTTTTTATATAGATAGATAAATTCTATACATAAACTCAAATTTCTAGAATTCTAGTTATAAAAAAGCTGAATTTGTATGTGTGTAGTGATTAATTTCGAGAACAATTAAAATTACTCTAAAATTCTATTTTAACACGTGCAGAGCCGCGGCAAAAGGTTAGTTACGAAATCTTTCTCAATATACAAACTTAACATGCAACACTTTTTCATATCTAATTATAATAGTAATCATACAGTTACAAAATTATTGCGAAAATATTAGTTTTTAGTAAAAACGCCTGTCATAATGCTCTCACGAATAGCAAATAATGAATACGAGTTACGATATTCAATTATAATTATTAGTTTCTTGATTAAGCTGGATACAAAGATATTGACGACACGTTTGGCTCAGTGTGTAGTGACCCGTTGCTGTGCCAGCGGTCGCGGGTTCGAGTCCCGCTGGGGGCATTCATTTGTGTGTTGTGCACGAATTTGTACTCAGTCATGGGTGTTTATATTTATAATATGTATGTATTTAAAGTTATATATGTGTAGTGTATCAACTATCTGGTATCCATAACACAAGCCTCATAGCTTACCATGGAACTAGATGGTATCCTATATGGATACTTTTTACCGCGGGAAAGTATCTCATTTCTGAGAAAAAAAATAAACTGCATTGTAATTTGTAAGAGTATACTAATATGTAAAACCTACGAGTTTGGTTTTGGTTTTTTGGAGCCGCAGGCAATGCTAGTTAAGTTATATTCTACATAAAAAAGGCAAAGATAATTATAAAATATTTAACTCTAAAATAAATAAAATTTTACTAATTTTAATTCATAAAACGTAAGCATTGGTCATGTTTATATTTGTAAAGCTATTTTCACATTAATATTATACTTATAAGATAGTGGTAGCCCAGTGGTAACGCGCTCGCTTGGGAAACCGAGTGAAGCGGGTTCAAATCCGGGGTCTCGCGCCTCTGATATTTTCATGTGCGAATCATTTCCTACATGATTACCACTTGTCTTAACGGTGAAGGAAAATATCGTGAGGAAACCTGCATGTCTGAGAGAACCTAGCAAGATTTCAAAAGACTCGTGAAGTCCGCCAACCCGCACTTGGCCAGTGTGGTGGACTATGGCCTGATCCCCCTCGTACTGAAGAGAGACCCACACCCAGCAGTAGTGGGACGTTAAAAAAGGGCTGAATATATACATATATTATACTTGCTTGCTTGCTTGACTGTCTTGGTGGTCTAGTGACTAGCATGTAGTGCAATTTGTTCAGTAGATTTTGCGTTTATCAAACATTCATCCATCCATTCTCACAAACTTTCGCGTTTATAATACTAGCGACTCACCCTCGCTTCACTTTGGATGCGTGTCTGGACAAATACAAATCTATCCCACGGGAACCGTACATTTTTCAGGGATAAAAAGTAACCTATATGCTATTCCAGACTATAATCTATCTCTGTGACAAGTTTCATCCAGATCAGTTCAGCCGTTCTGGCGTGATTGAGTAACAAACATCCAAACATCCTCACAAACTTTGCCATTTATAATATTAGTATGGATTAGTAGGCATTTCTAAGAACACAAGTGTGAATAGAGCTTTATGTTAAAATATTTTATGAACTACATATGAATATTAATTTAACAAAATCAAACAATGACTACTAAAATGCGAAATGTAAATATATATACATATATTTTTATTTCAATATACATTTAATATTTAAATGAGGTTCATAAAAAAACAAAACTCTTAAAATTAATCATAAAATAATATTTTTTTGTTGTTATTTTAACTAGTAAAAGGCTGTGGGTTTTGTTCGCGTTTTACAGCTTTTGTGTATATTTTAGTGAAGGAAATAAACATTATTATCGAAACAGAGGTCTGATCTATAGTTTTTAGAATTTTTGTCTGTCTGTCTGTTACCGCATCACAGGAAAACCACTGGAGGGATTTTGATGAAATTTGGTATGGTGATAGCTGATTATCCGGGTCAACATATAGGATACTTTTTACTGCGGGAAAATATCTCATTTCTGAGAAAAAATACAAAAACTGCATTGTAAGAGTATACTAATATATAAAACCTAAGAATTTGGTTTTCGGTCATCTGAACGCGGGCGGAGCCGCGGGCAATGCTAGTATATTATAAAAATAAACACCCCGACACGACTGCATAAAGGCTAACTAAAAATATGACAACAAGTTCACTATGGAATATAGTGTTATGGAGTATAATTTTTTTAAATATTTTTCAGCTTTTTGCCGCTATCACCCTCACAACATCTCAGAAAACTGATGCTATTTTACGAAATGATTTCGACGGTCCACATGTGGATGGCTCATACAAATGGGCCATACAAACAGGTGTGTAAATTAAACCCTAACCAGAGAAACTTACTAAATTATATTTATAAAATACTAGCCGAACCCGCGGCTTCGGTCGCGCTAAAACTACACAAAAAAAACTCCCAAAAAGGTAGGTTTCATACAAATTTTCATGTCCTATTTCACCCCCTTATGGGATAAATTTCGAAAAATGCTAAAACACGTATTTATTTAATTGTATTGAAGAGCATTTATACCAAGTTTCAAATAATTCTGATCATAAATATTTTTTGGGTTCGTGTTTCCCGTGGGTATTAGATAATCTCCCGCGGTAAAAAGTAGCCTATGTCACTCTCGAGCCCTCCAACAATATCCACACAAAATTTCCGGTCAATCCATCGCTCTGTTTCGTCGTAAAAGGAGGACAAACAAACAAACACACTTTCACATTTATAATATTAGTATAGATTACTATAAAAATTAAACAAAATAAGTATATTTTTCAAGCAATTTTTATTTTTTATTACAGAAGGTGGTATTTATCACGAACAGCGTGGTTCAGTGCAAAATAACGAAGCACAAAATCTGTTAGTCGAAGGACAGTATCAATACACAGCTCCTGATGGACAGGTAAGAAGCAAAAAATAATTATCAATATGTATATAAATATTATCTATATAAATATTATAAAGCTGAGTTTGTTTGTTTGAAAGCGCTAATCTCAGGAATTACTAATCGGATTTGAAAAATTCTTTTTGCATTATAAGCCCGTTACCTGAGGAAGGCTATAGGCTATATATAATCCCCGAAAAATGTGTGGTTCCCGTGGGATAGATTTGTTTTTGTCTAGGGACGAACCCGAAGCGTAGAGAGAGTGAGTCGCTAGCATTTTATATGAATATTACGTACAATTAACAACATATTTTTATTTACAATAAAGGAAATTACAAATATACTTAATTATATATATATATATATATATATATATATATATATATATATATATATATATATATATATATATATATATATATAATAAAATTCTAACTGACATGGGTCGAATCTGTACATTAAATATTTTTTGTAAAATCTTATTGAAATAGTCATTATTATCGATACAGAAGCCGGATCTATAGTTTTCAGAATTTATCTGTCTGTCTGTCTGGGAACGCACCACGACAAAGCCACTAAACAGATTTTGATGAAATTTGGTATGATGATAGCTGGTTATCCGGGTCAACATATATGATACTTTTTACTGCGGGAAAATATCTTATTTCTGAAAAATCTATACTAAACGTTAAAATAAATGTACACTTAATTATTACCGTACAAGTCATGTCCGCGTGGAATATTGGCAAGAATGCTAGCCGCATTCCCCCGTTGAATGGCAATGCCGATTCTTTGGGCGAAAAACGATCCAGCTCGCTCGTTCTTCCCACAAAAGCTTCTAATTATGGTCCATACAAAAGTTTACATTGTCCTTTATCTATACATATAATAAAAGTGTAACTGATCGCTGTCTGTACATGGAAGATATTTGAGAAAAACTATTATTAGGGGTTTTTATTAACGCAATAGAGCCCAAAACAATGATTTTTAGAAATTTTGTCTATTTGTCTGTGCGCGCTAATCTCAGAAACGGCTTAACCGATTTGGGTGCGGTTTTCACTACCGTATTGTGATAAGCTTTACTAACCATTTAGCATTTGTTTTATTTCAATCGATTCATAAATAAAAAAGTTATGTCAGTTTAAAGTATCACCTACAGACGAACATACACACAGGATAGGCTCATTTAGGTAATATTATAACATATTTTTTCAGGTAATTCGCTTGTTATATACAGCAGATGAGAACGGTTTCCATCCGGTGGGAGACCATCTCCCCACCCCACCTCCGATCCCGCCTCTAATTCAAAGAGCCTTGGACTATCTAGCTTCACTACCACCGAAAAACTACGAATAAACTCGTTTTACGTATAAATAAAAGCTTATGTTATATTATTGTGTTTTATTTTACACTACGCGTTACGCGTATCCATAAATCAGCGGTCTCAAAGCAAACACCCATATATTGTAGACTAGCATAGCCCGCGGCCCCGCCCGCGTTCAGATGATCAAAAACCAAATTCTTAGGTTTTACATATTGGTATACTCTTACATTGCAGTTTTTGTATATTTTCTCAGAAATGAGATATTTTGCCGCGGTAAAAAGTGTCTAATATGTTGACCCGGATAACCAGCTATCACCATACCAAATTCCATCAAAATCCCTCCAGTGGTTTTTCTGTGATGCGGTAACAGTTTAGTTTTAGTTGTGCGGTAAACGTTTTTTTTTCGGAAAATTCCGGAAGTCGAACTGGTGACTTACCACCTAGCTAGGTTAGGTAGGTGGACAGCTGTCCATACCGCTAGTGATACAAAATAAATGTATACATATAATAAAATTGTAACTAAGCCGAAACTGTACATTTAATATTATTTGGAAAATGTTATTGCAATAGACATTATTATCGATACAGAGGCCGAATCTATACTTTTTAGAATTTTTGTCCGTCTGTCTGTTACCGCATCACGGAAAAACCACTGGAGGGATTTTGATGAAATTTAGTATGATGATAGCTGGTTATCCGGGTTAAAATATAGGATACTTTTTACCGCGGTAAAATATCTCATTTCTGCTAAAAAATACAAAAACTGCAATGTAAGAGTATACTAATATGTAAAACCTAAGAATTTGGTTTTTGGTCATCTGAACGCGAGCGGAGCCGCGTGCAATGCTAGTAAACTTTATATACATAATTTTAGAATTGAGATGGATGTTGTTAACTAAATTTTTGTCCCGATTTTTTTATATTACTAAGTGGACCATAGTCCATGGCTTTTGCTACTATGTATATTTCAAAACGTTTTATATTTTAAAAATGGTCGCGTAATAAAAGGCATATCTTTATAATTTTCAATGATAATTTTATTACTTTTAATTCAAATAAAACAGTATGTGGTATATTAAAATATTACGTTTTTATGAAGCTTTTACAGCTGTTATTTAACTGGCACAAAATGGTATGAAGCAATTTTTTCTTCATTTCATACAAACGTTCACTCATTACGGAAATCGAACTGGCGACTTACCACCTAGCTGTCCGTACCGCTTGTGATGCGAAATAAATAAACTTAATTATACCAACATAATGAATTTTTTGGAGTTTTTAACTTTTTTGTCAGCATTTGCCCGATTTTTCTTTATATTACCAAGCGGACGAAGTCGTATGAGTATTTTAAAACGTAAGTAGCAATGTTATATGGGCTCTTGTAATAAAACGCATCCATACTAATATTATAAATGTAAAAGTGTGTTTGTTTGTTTGTCCTTCTTTAACGTCGAAACGGAGTGACGGATTGGCGTGATTTTTTGTGTGGAGATAGTAGGAAGCTGGAGAGTGACATAGGCTACTTTTTACCGCGGGAGATTATCTCATTCCCACGGGAGAACACGTTATGATACAACACAAAAAATATTTATGATCAGAATTACTTGAAACTTGGTATTAATGCTCTTCAATACAATTAAATAAATACGTGTTTTAGCATTTTTCGAAATTCATCCTTTAATGGGTTAAATTAGGGATGAAAGTCTGTATGAAACCTAACTTTTTAATTTTTTTGCAGTTTTAGCGCGAGCGAAGCCGCGGGTTCTGCTATTATCTTTATAATTTTCAATGATAATTTTATTACTTTCAAATAAAACGGTATGTGGTGTTCATATATTCACATATTTTGTTTATTTTATGAGGCTTTTACAGCTATTTAACTGGCAGAAGATGGGATGAAGTTTCTTGTTTATAATGCGAGTGATAGAATAAGTAAATAAGCGATTCTCATATTTGGCTCTAAATTTAAAAGAAAACTTATTTTTTTTTAATTGTACGTCGACGTGAAAATTATTTTTTTCTCCGCAAGTTTTTTTAAATTTATAATAATAACTGGCAGAACCCGCGGCTTCGTTCGCGGTAAACTAAAAAAAAATTAAAAAGGTAGGTTTCATACAAACTCTCATCCCCTATTTTACCCCCCTTGTGGGATGAATTTCGAAAAATTCTAAAACGCGTATTTATTTCATTGTATCGAAGCGCATTAATACTAAGTTTCAAGTAATTCTGACCATAAATATTTTTTTGAATTGTATTATAACGTGGTTTTCCGTGGGAATGAGATAATCTCCCGCGGTATAAAGTAGCCTATGTCACTCTCCAGCCCTCCATCTATCTCCACACAAAAAATCACGCCAATCCGTCACTCCGTTTCGACGTGAAAGACGGACAAACAAACAAACACACTTTCACATTTATAATATTAGTATGGATATGGATATTTTTAATTTATAATCCTACTAAGGTTACTCGTATATGCGAAAGTTTGTGAGGATGTATGGATGTATAGATGTACATGGACGTTTGTTGCTCTTTCACGCAAAAACTACTGAATGTATTTTAATGAAATTGTACAATAATATAGCTCATATATCAGAATATCACATAGGCTACTTTTTATCCCGGAAAAATGTACGGTTCCCGTGGGATAGATTTGTTTTCGCTTTCTTGCTTGTGTATGTGCTATGAAATGTGTAAAATACAGCAAAATTAATACTTTTTTAATATAGGACTTTAATCGTTTTTATCTATAGTATATAATTATCTCATAAATTGTAAATCAAAAATTCGTTATTAAATTAATGATTTATCAATCATTAGAAAAATACAAAAAAATGTATGTATGTTTGTTTGTTACTTGAACGCTGACAAGGCTGAACCGATTTGGATGAAATTCAGTACACAGATAGACGATGACCTGGAGTAACACATATGCTACTGTAAAGCTAGGGACGCAACCGATTGAAGTAAGGGTAAGCCGTTAGTTTAAACATAATTAATAAAATTGTAACTATTATTATTATTTTGTGGTTAATCTTATTGAAATAGACATTATTATCGATAGAGGCCGAATCTATAGTTTTTAAAATTTTGTCTGTCTCTCTAGGAACTTATCACGAGAAAACCACTGGATAGATGTTGATGAAATTTGTTATGATAATAGCTGGTTATCTGGGTCAACATATAGGATACTTTTTACTGCCGGAAAATATCTCATCACCGATAAATCTATAGGTACTAAACGTCAAAACGTAGAATCACTAGTTATAAATAAAATATAAATTATACCTAAGTTTATTTTTCATCGGGGGATCAAAAAAAAAAGAAGAATTTAAAAACAATAAAATATATTTAATTATCTAAAAATACAATATTACAAAAACCTTATAAAATTACGTTCATATCATATAAAAACACAATAAAGCCTCTAAATATATAAAATGGCACAATCAGTCTGTTAAGAAAAAAAAACATTAAAATTTTGGTAATTAAAATAAAAAAAAATCATTAATAAAACATTTAAATTATAACTTAATTAAATAAAAATTACTGTTATTTTAAAAAGAATCGTTTAACGTAATTTTGTACTAAACCTTAGGTAAAATAGCAAGAAAATACTCTTTAGTTTGTTAAAAATAACATATTTTTCATTTATCAATATCATTTTGTATGAACAAACTCAAAAATTGAAATTTTTATATATATATATATATATATATATATATATATATATATAAATATCTCGTGTCACGGTGTTTGTGGTCGCACTCCTTCGAAACGGCTCGACCAATTTTAATGATTTTTTTGTATATTTGGTAGGTATGAGAATAGGTCGAAAAGTATTTTTCACCCTCCTACTCCCACCCCTCCCATTTTTTAAACGAGATTTTATTATTTTTGTATGAACAATCTATACTAATATTATAGAGGTAAAGTTTGTGAATTCGTAAGTGAGGGTGTAGGGGGTAATCTCTGGATCGACTGAACCGATTTAGATGAAATTTGGTAAGAAGATAGATTGAGACCCTGGGACTTTTTATCCCGGAAATTGTCCTTTAAGGGGGTGAAAATGGGTATGAAAATTTGTATGGGGAAGCAATCTAGGGACGAACCCGAGCGAAGAAAGGGCGAATCGCTAGTATAATATATTTAAACACATTAATAATAATGATAATCATTACTTTACATAAAAATTACGTCATTATTTAATAATAAAATATATGCTTTCGTTTAATTTGGATATGTTATATCTAGACTAATATTATAAAGAGGAAAGAATTGACTTTTTGTTTGTTTGTATCGAATAGGCTCCGGAAACTACTGAACCGATTTAGATGAAATTTGGTTAGAAGATAGTTCGAGACCCTGATAAAATAGTTGGAGAACATAGGATAGTTTTTTTTCCGGAAATCATCCCATAAGGGGGTGAGAATGGGGATGAAAGTTTGTATTGGGAAGCGAGGGTGAGTCGCTAGTATAAAATATATTTATTAATGTAAAAACGAACCAACTCAAAAAAATCAAAACCCATACTAATATTATGAAATTAACGACATATTTTCGTCTGTTCGTTTGAACACTTTAATCAAAATTTAAATAAAGAAAATTGTACTTTTGTGCCCAAAAATTAAAACGAGTAAAATATTATATTTTGGACTTTCATTTGTTCTATTGTATATCTAAATATACATGTTGATATGTCTCCTTTAACCCTTTACCAAACTAGTTTTATTATAAAACAATTAGGGTATGTATGTCCATATTATATAAGCGACACCTTTCACTATCTATCTTCGGACTTATCTAAAGGTACAACGGTATCTCGATAGATGGCGTTGTCTGTTTGAAGCATTTTTTCACCTTCCGGTATTGTCACTTCCGTTCGATCTGTAATTAAAAAAAAAAACGAATTATATTAGTTAGAAAAAATGGGTACGTGTAACTTTTACGCGCGATTGAAGTAAAACTTCTTTGTCAAATATCGAGATTAAATTAAAACAAATCAACAATTAAATAAGGCATATTACAATCATATACTTATAGAATATCATATACGGAAAGAATATAATCTATACTTATTATAAAAATAAGTCCCCCGGCCGCGTCTTTCTGTCCTCCTGTCTGTCCTCCTGTCTGTCTGTACGCGATAAACTCGAAAACTACTGAACGGATTTTTATACGGTTTTCAACAATAGAAAGAGTAATTCTTGAGGAAGGTTTAGGTATATAATTTATTATGCTTTTATGTAAATTAGCTGAAATACGGCGACAAATGTTGAAGAGGTCGCAAAAAATCTCGCCAAATGGGAACTTTCCACGCGAACGCCGCGTAAACTAGCAAAGATACAGTTAAGTAATGTACTAGAGAATTCAAAATCTATAAAAATGCTACAAAAAAGTCCGCGATAGCATATCTCTATCTCTTACGGTTGACTTACAATAACCACTTTTATGTTAACATTTTTAATTAAAAACATTACGTTATTTTCAAAGTTATTTTCTTTAGTTCGGTATTAATCCTTATCCAAATGAATATTTTAGTTAGCTTAGTCATTTAATGCAGATTAAAATTGCTCTTTACACTAAATCAATCAGATGAATAGTTTTTGAGATATCGTTGTTAGAAGTAATTAGTAGCGAAACATTTTTAATGCTTGGCGAGCATTGAGATGCCTACGGCGAGTCCATCCCCTCTGCCCCGCATCGCTCGACCGCCTGCTCAAGCTATATAAACCGGGCGATGTAGCGCGCGATCCTAGGATACTTTTTACCGCGGGAAAATATCTTATTTCTGAGGAAAAATACAAAAACTGCAATGTAAGAGTATACTAATATGTAACACCTAAGAATTTAGTTTTTGGTCATCTGAACGCGGGCGGAGCCGCGGGCAATGCTAGTATTATATATTTGTCAGACAATAACAACGGTTACCATGACAACTTGGCAATGTAGTCCATCTCATTCTCTCGCAGGCTTAATCCTATATATTTATGTGTTTGTCTCTTTCTCTTGTCGCATTTCCCTTTCATCGAATTTCAAATCACAACGATTCTAAAGAAGTTTCACTTCAAAAAATTTAAACAAGTTGTTATCAAATAAACCCAAACTCGAAGGTGTCACTGGTAGCCATTGAAGAGTTCCACTGTCCACCTCCTGCGATCACCATCAGATCACCTCGATGGTTTAAAATTGTATCCAGCCCTTTTTACCGTCCCACTGCTGGGTGTAGGCTTCCCTTCAATACGAGGGGGATCAGGCCATAGTCCACCACGCTGGCCAAGTGCGGACGGACTGAGCATGGCTTTCGAAAACTTGCTAGGTTCTCTCAGACATGCAGGTTTCCTCACGATGCTTCCCTTCACCGTGAGCATACCAAAGGTTGTTTGGTAGATATCGCTTTTAGCAATAAGACCACCTTTTCGTGTTTAATGTATCTAACAAAATCTATACGTTTTGTCTTTATATTATTATGTGCAATAAAGATTAATAAATCTCTAATAAAACGACCGCGTTGAGATACAAAAAGAAAATACAATATTCTAATAGACATGACACAGACAATGTAACAAAGACATGACCACAGATCGTACAGTACTATACTACACAGATAATTTAGCAAATATTACAATTTAGAAAATGTGATAGCAGAGGTCATTGATTTGTACATAAAAAGATTATTTTAGATACATTTCAACAATATTATAAATGTGAAAGTTTTGTGAGTATGTATGGATGTTTGTTACTCAATCACGCCAGAACGGCTGAACGGATCTGGATGAAATTTGGCACAGAGATAGATTATTGTTTGGAATAGCACATAGGTACATACTTTTTATCCCGGAAAAATGTACGGTTCCCGAGGGATAGATTTGATTTTACTTTGTAATTAATAGGACTAATATAAACATACCCTTAGTTTTTCTAGTAACCGATGCAAATAACAACGCGTGTGTGAGAGATGCCACTATTGCTAACCCCGCTAGCATCCTGAAGGACCCCCGACCCCCCGCGTAACTGTACAGTTGACCCCCAACAAGGGATCCTAACGCGAAACCTGTGGAAAATGAGAAAAAAATATATAAAAGTAATGTAAAAAAACGTGCGTGTGTATGCACGTAAGAAGTTATACTTCTTTGACGTAACATAACAAAATAGCTTAAGATTTCATCCCGTATGTCACAACTCTCTGTTTATAAAAGGAATGCAGCTAACTTCATCATGTCGCTTTTTGGCTGTCGGTGTGCGCGCGCATCGTAAAAATTTAATCTCATAATTTTTCCCAAACGTGCCAAAATAACAGTATAACTTCAAAAAAATTAAAACTTAGAGTAATATCATGAAAGAATCCAGATTATGTTTAGAATCAACACTATTTAAATTGTAGAGTATAATATTGTACCATTAAAATTTCCTATTATAAGAGAATCGTTTCTTTTTGGAAAAAAAAAACAAAAATCTTTAACCCGAAAAATAGACTAGAGTATGCCAAAAGTCTAAACTTGAAAATAAAACGGTCAAGCGTGAGTCGGGCTCACGCACTAAAGTTAACAAATCACTATTTACCGGGTCTAAGTATAATTTAAAACCGTCCAGACCCCGTAAGTATACATATAAAACATAATCAAAATCGACCAAAGAAAATAAATACGATGATTTGTTTGTTTGTAATTGATGAAATCTAAAATTACCGAACCGTTTTTAATCAATAAATATTTTAATATCCTGTCTGTTTGATATTTATCACGCTAAAACTGCTAAACAAACTATAAAAATTCGGCAATGACATACATTTAACTATATTTTATATCAAACTATCATATCAAAACTGGTCTAATTTACCACTCTAAAATCTACTATGTACAATAATCGAACCGCCACTCACCTACACCATCGTCCATGCCCGCCACGATCCCCTGCACGGTGGCCGAGTACCCCTCGGGAGCGACGTGTGCCGCGTAGCCCACTATCGTGGAGTAGCAGAGGGCGTATGTAGGCCCTTGCATTATAGCCTTGGAGAGAAAAACGTTTTGGATGTCTTGCATATTGATATACAAAATCTCAAGATGCTATGATCGAAGATCTAGTTCCATGGTAAGCTACGAGGCCTGTGTTATGGATACCAGATAGGTGATACACTACACATATATAACTTTAAATACATACATATTATAAACATAAACACCCATGACTCGAGTACAAACATTCGTGCTCATCACACAAATGAATGCCCCCAGCGGGAATCGAACCTGCGACCGCTGGCACAGCGAGTAGGGTCACTACAAATTGAGCCATACGTGTCGTCCCGTGCAGTTAGCTAGTCTCATTGACATTGGAGAGATTCAAAGCCATTAGTACTAACACTAATATCGTGCAATGGACTAAGATCCGGATGCAAGATTGCTACGTTCATAGCGTATATAATCAAAATCAATTTTTTATATACAATAATAAAAGGGACCGCGGTGCCTATTCAAATGTGCCCGCTAGTGTGTTTAATTAAATAAATTATAGTTGGCTTTTTGGAACAAAAACGATACATTTGTTATTACAATGAATTATAATACTCCACTTCACAGAACTATACGTAGAGATCTTGAAAAATGATAGCTGCCGTTGCGCATTTGGCCACAACCTCTTCGCAGCCAGGTATTAAGCGGGTCATATTTTGTTACGTTTATACGTTCATGGCGTATGTTCATTATTAATATATCAAATTACAGCTATTTTTTTTTCTATAACTGATAAAATAACCTATGCTTATGTAAAAATATATAAAAAATGATGATGATATAGCAATATCACGGTCGGATCTTGATCCATAACACTTACCTCTATAAAGACGAGATGCCACGGATGCTGTATGAAGGAGATGAGAGTCAATCTCAATCCGTAGCAGAAGAGAGAGAACGTCATGGTCGTACCGTAACCCCATCGTCTTATTATTTTACCTGAAATTATAATATACATGTACACAATATATATTCATATATACAGGATCATTTTTAATTTACTGAAAACCTTTTGGGAATATACTATTTACATCATACGTTCATTATTTTCATACAAAATTAAAAAAAAAAAAATTTTACCTTCTAAACTTTAAAGTTCTAGCATCTGGCCAAGTTTAAATGAGCAAGCGTGGCTTCCCACACCCCTCCACCCCTCCCCCTCCACAACTCCCCCTCCACCGGACACGCACTTTCTCTTGCTAATGCTGGACTATTACCGTTGAGAAGGTGCAATAATAATATTTTTATTTTTGTTAAATTTAAGATATATTATTTTTTTTTCTTACAGATGTTGTTGTTATGATGTAAATAGTGTATTCCCAAAAGGTTTTCAGTAAATTAAAAGTGACCCTGTATACACGGAGTAGCCCAAAAAAAATTGTCAAAGCTAAAAATGGTAGCGTGATTTGTTGTTTATTCAACTATACTCGATTTTGCCATACAGATTTTTAATGTTGCCATACTTCCTTAAAAGAATAAGGGGAATTTCTCGCTGGCGCTAAAACTACATAAAAGACTCGTAAAAAGGTAGGTTTCACACAAACTTTCATCCCCTATTTTACCCCCTTATGGGATGAATTTCGAAAAATGCTAAAATAAGTATTTACTTAATTATTTTTAATACCAAGTTTCAAGTATGTCTGTTCATAAATATTTTTTTGGATTGTATTATAACGTGTTTTCCCGTGGGAATGAGATGATCTCCCGCGGTAAAAAGTAGCCTATGTCACTCTCCAGTCCTCCAACTATCTCACATAAAATATCACGCCAATCCGTCACTCCGTTTCGACGTGAAAGAAGGACAAAGAAACAAACACACTTTTACATTTATAATATTAGTATGGAGTATGGATTTGCTATTCCAGACTATAATCTATCTCTGTGCCAAGTTTCATCCAGATCCGTTCAGCCGTTCTGGCGTGAAATATAAACGTGTTAACTTTCTTGGGGCATTAAAGATCAAAAAAGTATTAAAGTATAAAATCTCACCAGAGAAGACGAAAAATAATAATTCTCTATACTAATATTATAAAGAGGCAGAGTGTGTTTGTTTGAACGCGCCAATCCCAGGAACTACTAAACTAAATCTGATTTGAAAAATTATTTTTGAATTAGATAGCCCGTTCATTGAGGAAGGCTATAGGCTACATATCATATAGTATATAATCTATCTATTCCATACTAACCGTTAAAACGTACCTAGATAAGAAGAGAACCGTATAATTTTAAAGTATAAAATCTCACCAGAGAAGAAGAAAAAAAGCAATTCTCCGATGAAACTCTGCGCCGCGACCACGACTCCTTCTATCAGCTTAATTTTGCCCGTTGTACCTGTTTCTTCTGCCAATTCTTCTAAGAACCTAGAAATTGACAAAGAATTTTATTATATACTAGCGACTAACCCTCGCTCCGCTCGGGTTCGTCCGTAGTTACGTTTTAACGTTTAGTATAGATTTCTCAGAGTTGAGATATTTTCCCGTAGTGAAAAGTATTTAAGTTTGTATTGGGGAGCAAGCTTTTTTTTTTTTTTAACCCACAGCGGAACCCGTCGCCGCAGTGCAATGGGGTGTGCAGGATCGTTTGCGCATTCACTGCAACACCCCTGCGGACAGCCCGTACCCCGCGGGCCTGCCTCGCCTAAACCGGGATGCCCTCGGTTCACAGAGCATCCCGACCGCCCCGATGACGTGCAGGGGAGAGAGACTCCCCCGCAGTAGCTCCTCTAGGGTGGCGGGAGAAGATGCGCATACCGGCGCCTCCTCCCCCCCAGCCGACGGCGACGAAGAGGGTCTGCTAAGGCGTTAGCCTCGCGTTCCCTCTCCGCCGTCTCCTTCAGTGAGATGACGGCCTCGCTGAAGGAGACCATCGCCGACCAGGACCTCTCATCGCGTAGCATGGCCCCCACCACGCTTCGCAACGAGAGGTCTCCACCCACTACCGCCATCAAGGCATGGCGCTGGGGAGCCCAAGCGGCGCATACCACGAGGGTGTGGTGCGAGGTGTCCTCGGACGCACCACACTCGTGGCATACGGGCAACGGTTCCCGACGCGCAATTTGACACAGATACTTACCAAAGCACCCGTGCCCGGTAAGCATCTGCGTCAACCTGAACGTCAGGACGCCGTGTGGCCGCCTGACCCAGCGAGACAGGAACGGACGAACCGCCCCCACCGTCGCCCGGCCAGCCGCTGGAGTCCCCAGGTCTTCCCACCAGCGCCGGATCAGTGCCTCGTCAGCTAGGCGCCTGATCCGAGCGACTCCCTCCCGCGCTGGACGTTCCCCTCGCGCCCGCTCACTCGCCCGAAACTGATAAACTTCGGCGAGCACCTCCGCCTGGAGCTCCCAGGGCGGATCGCCCGCCAGAAGTGTCGCCGCCGTGAAGGACACCGTACGGTATCCCCGCACCGCCCTCACCGCCAGGACCCGTTGCGCCTTGCGCAGTTGGGCCCTGTTCGGTGCGGAGAGGGCGTCAATCCACACGGGGGCCCCGTACAGTGCCATGGACCTCACGATGCCGGCATAGAGCCGCCGGCAGTGAGATCCAGGGCCCCCGACATTCGGCAGAAGTCTGCCGAGGGCCGAGGCGGCGCCGATCAGTCTCGGGGTGAGCTGGGCGAAATGGACACGGAACGTCCAGCGTCCGTCCAGGGTCAGGCCCAAGTAGCGCATATGGGCCCGAACCTCCACCATCCTACCCTGGACTCGCAGACAGGCGTTGCGGGGGGCACCCTTGCGTGGGCCATGAAAGAGGAGGGCCTCCGTTTTGGAGACGGAGACCCTCAGGCCCAGCATCCCTATCCGGTCAGCAACCAAGTTGGTGCCGACTGTGGCCAAGCGTGTCGCCTCCTCGTAGGAACGCCCCCGGGCTGTGACGAGGGTGTCATCAGCATAGGCGATGACACCGAGCCCGGGGAGAAGCGGACAACGCAGGAGCCAGTCATAGCCGAGGTTCCACAGTACCGGGCCCAAAACAGCCCCTTGTGGAACCCCGCAGTCAACACGTCGCCGACCGACCACCCCATCTGCCCCCGTCCACACGACCTGTCTGTCGCGGAGGTACGCGTCCACCACCCGCCGGAGATAGAGAGGCACCTCATGGTACCGAAGTGCCTCTCGTAGCGTCTCAAACGGCAGGGTGTTGAAGGCGTTGGCCACATCCAATGAGACGGCTAACAGCACGCCTCCCTCCTCCACCGCGGCCAAGGACCGAACCTTCAGGGCGTTCAGGGCGTCCACGGTCGACCGACCCGCCCTGAACCCGAACTGAGTCTCTGAAAGGCCCGGCCCCACCTCCTCGAGATGCTGAGTAAGACGGGCAACGAGAATTCTCTCGAAGAATTTGCCCATCTCACTCAGCATCACGATCGGCCTGTATGCCGAAGGGGAGTCCAGAGGACGACCCTCCTAGGGCAACAGGCACAATAGCCCCTCCTTCCAGATCTTCGGGAACTGCCCAACACGAAGGCATGCGTTGAATAGGTCCCGAAGATCCCCTCCAAGGTATTCCAGAGCGATGCATAGGACTCGCCCCGGAATACCGTCCGGTCCCGGAGCCGTCCTCCTGGCCCGCAGCTTGTCTCGGGCCAGGTCCATCTCCCCCTCGGTGATTGGGGGGAATTCCTCCACTCCCACAGAGCGCGTGGGAGGAGCCATCACCGGGGGGACGTGCCCAGACGACTCCGGGAACAACCCTCCGATCAGTCGCAGGAGGACCTCGGGCGGCGTGGTCTCCGTGACCGGGGCGCTGTGCGCGCGGAGCTTGTTCCGCGCGCTGATGTAAGGGCGCCCCCATGGATCCCGATCCAGACCCGCCAGCATTTCCTGGCGGGCCGCCGCCTTGGCCTGGCTGATGGCGAGCTGCAGGGCCTTTTTGGCTGACCTGTAGGCCACCCGCAGCTCGCTTTCCAACACCGGGTCCAGGCCATTCCTCCTGCGACACCGGACAAACCTCCTCCTATGCCAATTGCAGGTCGCCCGAAGCTGTGCGATTTCGGGCGACCACCAATACACGCTCCGGCGATGCCGGGCGATCCGCCTTATCCGCGGCATGGCCGCATTGCACACCCTCGTAAGGGCGTCGCACATGCGGCTAGCCAGCTCCTCAACATCGGAGCTGGCGCCCACCACACTCCCCTGGGAGCACCATGCCTCTACGATGGCCGCCTCCTTGGCCAGCTCAGTATCAAGCCGGCCCAGGGCCCATCTCGGGAACGCTCGAGAGGGCCCCCTTGGGCGGTCCACCGGCACCGGACGGGTGGAGATCTCAAATCGGATATAGTTATGATCCGACAGAGTCTCCACCTCCTCCTCTACCCTCCAGTTGATCACCCTGCGTGCGACGGCGGGGGTGGCGAACGTTAGGTCCACCACGGACCCACTCTGCTGTCGCACGCACGTGAACGCTGTCCCCACATTGAGCAGGGACAGACCGGAGAGTAGTGCCCACGTCTGAACGGCTCGCCCTCGAGCGTTCGACGTGGGATTCCCCCAGGCCAAGGACTTGGCATTAAAGTCGCCGAGGACGATAGTGGGCCTCGGCGACTGCCTGCAAACCGCAGCGCGGACGGAGTCGAGGAAGATCTCGAACTCCGCCAGACTGCGGTTGGGGGAGAAGTACAACGCAACGATGGCGTACTCTCCCCACCCTGCCACGACAAGTCCTTGGCCCCTCTCGATTGCCGAGAGACGGGGGCCGGTGCTGCTCCCAGACACTAAGGCCACGGAGCCCTCTAGGTCCCCCACCCAGTTCGGTTGGTGAGGAACAAAGTAGGGCTCACAGGCCGCCGCCAGATCTATTTCCCACTCGGCCATGGACTGCAGGAAAAGGTCCTGCGCTCCGGCCGAGTGGTTAACATTCCCTTGGAGGAAGCGCTTGTGGTCACCCATTATGACGACATATGCGCTTCCTCAGCCTGGCGGCTTCCGGCACTGACGACGGCTCCGGTCCTTAGAGCCGTCTTGCCTTTCATGATGGGTGGGTTGCAGTCTCGCCCACCCATCATATGCCCAGAGGGGCGCCCAGCATCTGCGCAGACCGCGCAGCGGACTGCCTTCGCGGTGCAGGCAGCGGAATGGTGCTCATCGCTGCCGCACCGGAAACACAGGCGCCCCCGTTCTACCCTCGACGGGCACCGAGGTAGGGTATGCCCCAGACCCATGCATCTGAAGCAGCGTAATGGGCGCTGCTCCAGAACCTCGACCTTGGCCGACGACCACCCGACCAGAAGTCGGCTTGCGTCGGCCACCTTCTTGGCTGCCGTAACTGGGCACCTTACGACAGCCGTGCCCATCCCCGCCTTCCCGGTATGAACCCGGCTCACCCAAACGGACTCGGATGCGCAGCCGCCTGCCCTTGCGACTGCCTCGACCACCGCCTCCTTGGTGACCGAGTCATCCAAGCCCCAGATTCTCAGCTCCCCCGTTTTTGCGGGGCGAGCGATGGTCGCCACCCCGTCGAGAACCTGGCGGAGCTTGTCCGCCAGCCTATCCGCCGCTTCCGAAGGCACGGAGGGCGACAACTCCAGCAGCCGAGCCCCCGTCGCTGCAACCCTCACCGTCAGGCCCCCAGTGATGCCCAACTGGGACAAGTCTATCCCCAGCCGCGCACGCTCCAGCAGCTTGGCGTAGGTGACACCTTTCGAGCCCACCTCTTGCTGGAGCGTTATAATAACAGCCGCTGTGCGCGGCGGAGCCGACACCTTTGGCCTAGCCGGCGCCGAAGGGGCCCTCTGCGCCACAGGGGCCTTTGGCGCCGACTTTGCACCAGCCGGGGCAGCCGGGGCCGCTGGGGGGGAGGACTTTTTCCTCTTCCCTTTACCTTTGCGGACCACCGTTGCCCATGTGCCCTCATCCGCAGTACTCGGTCCCGCCACAGGGGCCGGCGGAGCTGATCCCGCCACAGGAGCTGCTGGCGCCGGCTGCGACCTAGGGCGCGCCGGGGTTGCCGTCCTAGTTCTAATAGGCTGGCGCCTGCGTGCCGCCGAGTCCTCACCCGCCACAACCGCTACCGGCACTGGCTTATCCCGAGGCTCTCTCGGCGCAACCGTTGGCGCACCCGCCTCCCTCCTTTTGTCCGCTGCCAGAGGCGGACGAAGCGACCTAGCCGGCAGCAGGCGCTCCTCAATCCCTGCCAACTTGGCATCAATAAGGGCCCCAACCGAGGAAATGAGGGAGGCCCTTAACTCCTCCAAGGCATCCCCCTGCAGAGAGGAGGACGGAGCACTCGCCCTCAGCTCGGAGAACTGGCGACGGTGCGCCTTCACCTCCGCTTTGAGGTTCTCGACCTCCCGACGCAGCCGCTCGTTGTCAGCAGCAACCTTCCTAGTTTCCTCGCTAGAGGACCGACTCGCCAGGGTATCTACGATCCCCGTCAACGCCTCTGCAGCCAGCTTGAGACGGCGGACGTATTCTCCCTTTAAGTTGCCAGAGGTCCTGGCAACATGCAAGATCTCTGTCACACTGCGTCCCGCCTCTGCCCGCAGGCCCTGCACATCTCTTGCAGAGAACCCCTCCTCCTGGTTCTCGGAGGTCGACAGGTCCGAGCCAAACTCGAACACTGCCTGGTCCGCCCTATTCGCCTTGTCGGCCTTATCCCCCTTTTTCTTTCTAAAAGCGCGCGCCTCAAGTGCGCGCTCAAATTCGGCCTCCCTGGCCTCCTCCTCCATCCTGCGCAGATTCGCGCGCGCGCGGGTTAGAATCGTGCCACTCCCTGACCCAATGGGCCTACCCCTACGCGCCTTGTTCTCCTTGGCGCGGACTCGCTCATCCGTCTCCGTTTCCGAGCCAGTAGAGCCCGCCAACGGAGGACGCGGAGCAGTCCTCTTGCGCCCAATGGACGCATCTGTGTCCGCGTTGGCGTCTGAGTCGGCCATGACTCATTCGCCAACCGCACACACACGCAACACACCCAAACTACGCGACAAACGTCGCAAAAACAACAACAAATCCAATCAGAAAGAAAAATCAAAAATCCACGAGAAAAGCCAAAAAATCAAACATGTACAGCAAGAATCGGTATCCAGTAATCAAAACCAATCAATAACCAAATATACCAAAATAATTTGTTCAAATCCATTGGGGAGCAAGCTAGGCTAGGTATATTAAATATTTTTTGGAAAATCTTATTGAAATAGACATTATTATCGATACAGAGGCCGAGTTTATAGTTTTTAGAATTTTTGTCTGTATGTCTGTCTGTGACCGCATCACAGAAAAACCACTGGAGGGATTTTGATGAAATTTGGTAAGGTGATAGCTGGTTATCCAGATCAACATATAGGATACTTTTTACCGCGGGAAAATATATCATTTTTGAGAAAAAATAGAAAAACAGCAATGTAAGAGTATACTAATATGTAAAACCTAAGAATTTGGTTTTTGGTCATGTGAACGCGGGCGGAGCCGCGGGCTATGCTAGTTATATATATAATATTACAAAATTTCCCTTATTCCTTATAGAAAATCAAGACTAGTAGCATAAACAACAAATCACGCTACCATTTTAAATTTCGACATTTATTTTGGCGGACTCCGTCTATATATAATCTATATAATCTTATAATCTGAGTACAACACATAATAAACTTACCAAAACATATAATAAATTATAAAGCTATCGAAGGTCCCCGCGACCATCGCGAATATGATGAAAACGACCACTCTAGGCACCTTGAGTACATCTCTCAAAGCTTTACCAGAATCTTCTGGACTGGTGAGGGATGGCAGCTGGAATTAAAACAAAAAAGCAGTCATGAGGACTGCCGACAGAAGTGAAAACTTAAAACTATAAACAAACACTTGTTATATTTGGATATTCAAATTAATTGGTTGATATTAAATTAAAATTTATAAATTTTTTTTTCTTACCATGGAATACTTTATTTACAAAAAAGAAAATTACAAATATACTTAATTATATATACAAAACATATGTACACTTAGTTATTACTGTACAAGTCATGTCCGCGTGGAATATTTGTAAATTAAAACCGTTTAAATTTATCTGGTGTCGACATCTATCGGCACTCTGAGTGTTAGCGTTAACACGTCACGTGACCATGTCGATGACGACTTACATGAATTTACTCGCCATACAAACAAACCTGCCTATAGAAGTTTTCACTATAAAAATTAAAGCGTGCATATATCAATGTGTACACGCGCAATAAGTGAAACGTGTGTAGTTTATCGATACTTTTTATGAAATTCAATTTGTTTTAAATAATTAAGTAAGGAGATATGCTGAAAAAATATTTTTTTATCGATTTAAAGAGGAAAAAGTTTTTTTATTATTCACAGATTGTACAGATGGCGTTCAGATAAAATTTATTTTTCAATCAAATGTTGTAATTATTCAATAAATTATATACTCAAAATTGTAACGCTAATTCTCATGGTGCGCCTCAAAAAGTTAAAACCTAATTATACGCATTTTCGCATCATGCTAAGATAAAATAGGGAATATAAAAAATATATTTATAAAATATAAAAAAAATAAAGAGGGGGTATTATTTAGGGGGTTGTATTATTTACGGCATCAATAATTCTCTATTTCTCTCTCTCTCTAGTGAGAAAGAGAGCGAGAGAGATCTCACTTTCTTCATCTCTCACTCTCTTTCTATCTCTCGTTCAATTGTTAGGTTTACTATATTTAAAACCTTTTAGAAGTTACATCAAATATTGAAAAACAACTCATATATTTACGCCGTTAAACCCTACATTAATGACAATAATTAAAAAAAAACTCACATTAAGATTCCTACAAGCCCCAAAATCTATTGCGGTCGCAACGATCGCAATGATGAAAGCGGGTGTAAAGTCTTTGTATGTACCAGACAAAGCGTCAACCAACCAGCCCCCTAGTAACGCTGTTATCCCGTAACCCGCTGTGCCCCAGGCCCTTTGTGCCCCATACTTAGAGCCCCGTTCAGGACCTATAGTTTGAAGTAACAAAGGTAATTGTAGACAACAGTGATTTTATAGAAGGTTTTCGAAGACTATGCTTTAATATAGATGAATGGATGTAATAAGAGGCCCACGCCCAGCAGTGGGTAAAAAAGTGGGCGGATAATAAAGCAAAATACTATTCATACTAACAATCAAATTTATACTGATGAAAAAAATCTATTAAGTTACAGTGCAAAAATGGCCAAATTTGTAAAATTAATAAATTCAAGCCAAAAGAGAGCTGTATTTCCCTTATATTTAGATATCGTTAGATTTATTTTGTTAAAACTCATTTCGAATATCGATTAATCGAAATATATAACTAAGGATACTTCCGCTCTCAGCTTTTACCAAAAACTTTTACATATTACTCACAAAAAAATACCTTGTCTTTGAAGTGAACTTTTTGAAGCTTGCGTTCAATTCCGAGTTAAGCATGTACACAAACAAATAGACAAAATAACTTGAAAATGGTTCTTTTATATGTAAATTATTAAGTTAAGTATATACTTTTTTTAATTATTATTATTATATTCGAGAAAAAATAATATATTATAATTTATAGATAGTTACATTGCACAATGCAGTAGATGCTGCTTGAGACGCGATTTACATGTTAACTAATCTGATTTTAAATAGGTTGAGGTATTTACTATTTAATTCGGATAGTACCAATATATTTGCTATAAAAAAATAACAAACCTATATTATCAAACAGCGTATCCGCTCATATTATAACATTTCTTAATAAAGAGGCGAAACGCAAAAAAAATGTTTCCTCAAGCTATAAAATATGAAATATTACATATAATATTGTAAATTATTACCATAATAAAAAAATAAACTTACCTAGAACATCGAAACACACAGCATCCCCTATACAATTGGCAACATTGAACGCAACCGTACCAACACACATTAGAACTACGAACGCCCAAAAAGTAACTGTAGTATAAAAACTTGCACTATCAATATTTACTGGTATCTTTATTTCTTTTATTGTACTCTTTCCAGAAACTTCTAGATTATTCGCTTTCGAATTTTCCACTTCTCGTTTATTACGATTTATCAAAGTTAAATTTAAATTATCCTCAAAACATAGCAAATTACAATCTTTTATTGGAGTACACATCGTTTCTCCCTCTCGCATGTCATCCGAACCCATATGTAAGAGCGAGCAATTTATATTTTTATTATCTATATACATTGTATTTATATACGTCGAATTTGACAGGTACACTTGAAATTCATAATCTGTGGTACAGTTCCAATGGCAAGTATATTTTTCCAAAATGGCGTCCGTTTTTTCATCATAAGGTTTGACATTAACTGTATCGTTAAGTTGGTACACGGATTCCTGTACAACTTCTTGGTATTCGACCTCGTCGGGCATCGGTAGGAACCATAGACTACAATATGATCCACTCATGACTAGAATAAGAAGCATGAAGACTAGTTTCCTGTGATTCTGAAATATATAATAATAAATAGATTAAATATTTTATTATGTATGTAAATGACAGTTACAATAATTTAATAGTCTAATCTAAACATATAATAAAACTAGCATTGCCCGCGGCTCCACCCGCGTTCAGATGACCAAAAACCAAATTCTTAGGTTTTACATATTAGTATACTTTAACATTGCAATTTTTGTATTTTTTTCTCAGAAATGAAATATTTTCCGACCCGGATAACCAGCTACCATCATACCAAATTTCATCAAAATCTGTCCAGTGTTTTTCTCGTGATGCGGTAACAGACAGACAGACAAAAATTCTAAAAACTATAGATTCGACCTCTGTATCGATAATAATGTCTATTTCAATAAGATTTTCCAAAAAATATTTAATGTACAGATTCGACTTAGTTAGTATTTTATTATATGTATAGATTGTATAGTGAAAGTGATTTTGTGTGTGTGGGTGTATTTTTTTATTGCCTACAATTTTTCTTATATTTCAGTACTATAAATATAGTATTTGACAATGTCAATACAACATTTATTGTGTAATCGAAATTTATTTTAAAATAATTGAATTAATAGTATAAAAAATGTTTTAAAACACAACAAAATCGAAAGTGCATAATATTTAACACCATTCAGACAAAGAAAGACAATAGCATTCCCAAGGAGGGTTGACGTCAGGCAGGCGGCCGGTCGTAAAACTTTTGCCAAATCCTATCAGCAGTACACTGAAGATGTACTGCGCCGACCCCAAGTGATTTGGGAAATGGGCAGGGAGAAGAAGAAGAAATATAGTAGCAAAGTAACTCACCGGCCAGAAGTCCACGACGTAACCGAACAACGGTTTCGCGGCTGCCCACAATAGGGGCAGGACCGCCGTCACGAGCCCCATAACCGATGGCGACACACCCAGTTGCCGACCGTAGACATTTAACTGAGGTAGAAGCGGGCCTAAAGCTGGAATAACGTGAGGAATCAAAAAATGCTATATTTAAATTTTTATTTATTGAGAACATTTAGTTACACATGACTCTATGACCTTTTGGAGTGGAGCAATAATATTCCATCTATACATATAATAAAATTCTGAGTCGAATTTGTACATTAAGTATATGTTTTTTGGAAAATCTTATTGAAATAGTAATTAATATCGATACAGAGCCCGAATTTATAGTTTTTAGAATTTTTGTCCGTTTGTCTGTCTGTGACCACATCACGAGAAATCCACTGGACAGATTTTGATGTTTGGTATGATGCTAGCCGGTTATTCGGGTCAACATATAGGATACTTTTTACTGCGGGAAAATATCTCATCTCTAAGAAATCTATACTAAACGTTAAAAGGGCGAACCCGAGAGCGTGAGTCAATAGTCATTTACTATTTTTATCTATTAATTGTTCTTTGTAATATGTAAATATAAACTTTATAGCGGAAAATTTCTTGAGAAGAAATTATGATGTTAGAAAAAGATTAACAGATAAAATATTTTGAGTAAATATAACTATACTTTAAAACAATATTTTTCTAAGAGTCTTCGTCGTAGTATCTTAAACCAATAATGAAAATCTAAATTATGTATAATTTAAATAAAAGTGAAATGCTGTTCTATAGTTGCGTATAACATGAGAACGGCTGAACTGATTTGGATAATACTTTTTTTGGAATATTTGCTACTAGCGACTCACTCTCGTTTCGCTTCGAGTTCGTCCCTAGTGAGAAACATAAATAAATCTATCCCACGGGAACCGTACACTTTTCCGGTACAAAAAGTGCTATGTGCTATATATATATATATATATATATATATATATATATATATATATATATATATATATGTGTGTGTGACTATAATCTATCTCTGTGCAAAATTTCATCCAAATCTGTCCAGCCGTTCTGGTGTGATTGAGTAACATCCGTCCATCTATCCATCCTCAAAAACTTTCACGTTTATAATATTACTAACAGAACCCGCGGCTTCGCTCGCGCTAAAACTACAAAAAAATCTTTAAAAAGGTAGTTTCATAAAAACCTTCATCCCCCTATTTTACTCCCTTATAGGATGAATTTGGAAAAATGCTAAAACACGTATTTATTTAATTTTATTGAAGAGCATTAGTAGCAAGTTTGAAGTAATTCTGATGATAAATATTTTTTTGGATTACTTATATTATAACGTGTTTTCTCATGGGAATAAGATGATCTTCCGCGGTAAAAAGTACCCTATGTCATTCTCCTGCCCTCCAACTATCTCCACACAAAAAATCACGCCAATCCGTCACTCCATTTCGACGTGAAAGAAGGACAAACAAACACACTTTCACAAGTATGGATAAATATAGCCCTAAGAATATTCTAGAAAAACTGTAAGTGTTCTGAAAGTGTTTTTTTATAAATTTTTGATGAACTCAACATACACACATTATATGATAGCGTATATTTGTCATAAACTAGAATTTCTTAGCAAAAATACTCAATAACTAAAATTGGCCCGACCTGGGATTTGAACCTAGAATCTCATGTACATGCTAGCCTCTAGACCTCCGAGGCAGTTAGTGTAGTAAATTATATAATATTATGTTATATCACCTTATCGTTAAAGTTAGAACAAATTATGTTTGCACGATACAATATCTCATAAACTTAACTAGATTACGACAATTATTACTGTGATATGATAGGTGTAATCCTTTAAATAGTATCAGATAGCATTATCAGATTTTATTAATCTATACAGATAAATAAAATTGAAGTGTCTGTTTGTAATGTCAAAATAACAGCTTTTTACTAAATATATAAATTACTAGATTTCCAGGATAAAAAGTGTCCTTTGTCCTTCCTAGGGTGTCAAAATATCTTCTTACCAAATTTCATCTAAATCAGTTCAGTAGAACCAGTGTACACCCCGGGAAGGACATAGGATAGTTTTTACCCCGGATATCATCCTTTAAGGGGGTGATAATGGGGATGAAAGTTTGAACGAAGAATCAACCTATATGAACCTATGAAATAAAATTAAAATCTAGTCAATTAAATTTATTATAAGCACTTTTGAATCGTCATATAATTTAAAGAGCGTCAGTGTAGTCAGTAGTTGAGGAAGCTACCACAGGCTTGAAAAGCAGTTCTGCTGAGAAGATCCAGCGAGAAACTCAACAGTTGCTCTTTTAGATATATAAGTTACATTAATAAACATAATATTACAGATAGCTCGCATATGAGTCAATATATGACAATTCCACAAATTTCCATCAACAGGAAAATCTTGAACACAGTAATAACTTTACTTAATAAACTATTAATTGTGGGACTAGCGGCTCACCCTCGCTTCGCTCAGGTTCGCGTCTAGAAAAACAAAAACAAATCGATCCCACGGGAACCGTACATGTTTCCGGGATAAAAAGTAGCCTATGTGTTATTCTGATGTATGAGCTATATAATTGTAAAGTTTCATCAAAATCCATTCAGTAGTTTTAGCGTGAAAGAGTAACAAACATACTTATATACTCACAAACTTTTACATTTATAATATTAGTATAGATATAGATGATTAATGCACTATATTTGTTTATCTGATTGTCGGGTCGTTGTGGTTATTGACTGATATTCTACGCCGAAGGTCAATCTAGTTTTTTTTTGAAGTGAAACTTCTTTAGAATCGTTGTGATTTGAAACTCGATGCAACGGAAATGCGACAGTAAAAAGAGACAAACATATAAATATATAGGATTAAGCCGGCGATAGAATGAGATAGAATACATTGCGATGATGCCATGGTAACCGTTGTCATGGTAACCGTTGTTATTTGATAGAATACATTACACAGGAAGTGAAAAATAATAAAATTCATTACTGATTATTATGTAATGTTTATATTTATGTCAAATAAAATGTAAATTAACTTTTAAACTTGGTAAAAATAATATAAATAAAAAAATCCTTATGATTATCCTACTCCTGATACGATGTGTGAATTGCACATTTTCTTTTTTTTTAATCTATTTTTATTTACGGACTTCTTAGCAACAGTCAGTCATACCCATCGTTCCCTTAAGACATGTATACCACTAATAATACTAGTACCTCTAATTATAACTTATTTTAACTTAAATTGATATACAGTTTTAGCTATCTCTGAGTCAGGTTTAGACAGTGCGCTTTGAAAAACTCCCACATCATTCTAGCAAACGTTAAAACGGCGCATCAACTCGTGTCTCCTATCCGCGTTAACTCTAGATCTTGATTAAAAGAATATTTTGACGACACGTATGGCTCAGTTTGTAGTGACCCTACTTGCTGTGCCAACGGTCGCAGGTTCGAGTCCCGCTGGGAGCACTCATTTGTGTGATGAGCACGAATGTTTGTACTCCAGTCATGGATCTTCATATTTATAATATGTATGTACATATTTAAACTTATATACATGTAGTGTATCAACTATCTGGTATCCATAACACAAGCCTCGTAGCTTACCATGGAACTACATGGTGCTGTGTGTTAATGTTCCAACATATTTATTTATATTTAACACATATGATTATTTGGTTTGGTTGAAACAAAAGGAACACAATGACGTCAATTTGTTTAGATACGGATTTAGTTTTAAGAGTCACTTGAGAAGCTAATATTAGTATAGATTAGTATTCATTTCATCCATATAGCTATTTAATCTTGTAGAAATAACAGAAATTTAATTCCGGTTCATAAATAAAAATAAAAACTTAAAAAAAACCGACTTCCCGGCACTAAAATGTAAAAAATAACTAAACGGGGGTTTTCATTTAGAATAGATACCTAATAGTAGGGGAGCCCAAGAGGGGATTTTCTGTAGTTACTCGAGCGCGGCAGATTAACATAAAAGAGGTTACCTTGCACTCTATTGAGTACTTTCACCACAATATAAGTCTTCTATATAAAGGGGCGCGTCTAGGGAAGCCGATTAAAATATTTAAAAAATGTTTTGATAGGGTAAAAATACTTGAAACCGTCAGATTAAGGTGTGGTAGGCTAGTCACATCCTGAAAAGTGTCCAATTTAATAATCTGCCGATTTGCACAAGCCTAAGAGGCAAAAATCATCATAAACTTTATAGTCGATTATAAGTACTCAATAGAGTGCAAGGTAACCTCTTTTATGTTAATCTGCCGCGCTCGAGTAACTACAGAAAATCCCCTCTTGGGCTCCCCTACTATAATCAGATATTTTCGAAGTCGGTGCCAGCCGATGCAAAGGAAATCTAATATATTTTAATACGCAAAATACATATTTACCTATTAGATATTCATATCTTAAAATATTGTCCGCTGGCACCGACTTCGAAAATATCTGATTAGGTATCTATCCTAAATGAAAACCCCCGTTTAGTTATTTTTTGCATTTTAGTGCCTGGAAGTCGGTCTTTATTTTTTAAGTTATTATTTTTATATTTTTAGTGTAGACGTAATAATCCAAATCGGTTCAGGCGTCTTCGAGTAATCGGTGAACATACATAAAAAAAAAAGATTCCGACGAATTGAGAACTCGTTTTTGGAAGTCGGTTAAAAATGTCAATTTAAAGAATCACCTAGGGACGAACCCGAGCAAAGCAAGGATGAGTCGCTAGTATATAATATAACAAGTGTTGTGAGATTGTACGTAGCTCTTATTCCTTTAATTTAGGGGCCATAATTGAATAATACGAGCTAAATCTAAAATGTCTGAGGGGACCATTTGGAGCCTTGACCTTTGGTGCAGACACATTCGAATTTCACACGCATCTGTGTTTTAGGATGGTTGTACAGTAAATATAAAGGGCGATATAGTTTAAGAATTTTTTGTATGTATATAAAAAATTATCCAAGTATAGGTACATTTATATTCCGAGAGCTGGCAACGAATTTTGGGAAGGCCCTTTTGGCAAGTTGAAATTGTGAAAAAATATAATTGGTCCGCGCCGGATTTCTCCCGCTAGGAGTTGGCTTCTCCCCCGGGAATTAACATTTTATCCTGGTGTAATACATTTCTAATATAAATTTTACAAAAAAATATAACTATATTTAAAAGCATACTAATGATAAAGAAAGATTCCTTTTTTTATAATAATTACACTACGGGACTTAAACACACAAATTTGTTAGTGGCTGTAAATCTTATTCCCAACGTTTCCACTGTGTTGCACCAGCTGTTGGTACAGGCTGTCTGCACAAGTTTCAGTTCTGTAGTATAATTATTATATAATTATGGAACACGAAAATTTTAAAAGTTATATTCATTTTTTTGACTTCCTAATATCCATATAGCATTAGCCACAAAGCTAATTATAATAAATCATGATTTTTTAATGAAGAAAGTTTATGGGCTATACAATGGTTAGTGTGAGAAAAAAGTATATAATAAAGTTAGTAGAATTGTTAGTTCATAATATAAATTCATCTTTTTATTAAAGACTAGGTACATTTTAAATGTAATAGTTATTAGCCAGCCTTAGCCATTTAAATGTTTTTTGTTAATTTTTCATTTTTTCACTTTATTAAAACGTTCTGTGGGCCTCAAGGAACATATAGGAAAAAAAAATAGCCAAATTGGTTCAGCCATTCTTGAGTTATGCACTTACCAACATTCATTTTTATTTTTATAGATTTATTTAATTTTAACTGTTTACAGTCAGTTTATTGACACAAAATTTGGCTTTCAATTTATATTTAAAGTGATATGGTGATGGTACCATGAAACATTTTTTTTTTAATGAAGAGGCAAGATTTTTTTTATTTTTATACAAATATAAATAACATAAAAATTATATATCAGTTATATTATATATAGCTTATTAATTTATGCATACATTTTAACACCACAAAATAATCATAATTGAACATACTAAAAATCTACTTTAGAAGTCAATTATGAAAATCTCCAATATCTTCTTATTGAAATTTAAATCTAGTAGAATAGTATCTTTATACATACAAACACAAATATAAACGAAAACAAAAATTATTAATGTGCCTTATCATTAATAAAATACATCGTTTGATCTTTTATTTCATTTAATTTATACAATATAAAAATATTGTTTACTCACCAGCGAAAAAGAAGAAAAAGTGCAATTTTATGGGCAATAAGCCCCTGTTGACTTTGAACTTCATTTTATCAATGGCACAACACTTTTTCAATAATATTTTTATTTATTATTGCATATTTTGCAACTTTTTGCAGTTATTAACGCATAATATAAATAACTAGACTACTAATTCAAACTCGCTCGACCACTTTCTAATTTTACATCGTACTAAATAAATAAAACTTGTACTTGATTAGCTTAAATAGTGGTGTTTTATTTGCTTGTAATGTAATTGTATTTACTGATAACGAGACCGTGATAAAAAAACGCAGTAGCTTTTGTTTTGTAATTTGACAGCTTGTGTCATGTTTGTGTTGTGACTTGTGACAGATAATGATGGACGGCGCAGGTAAAAATAATGGTCACAGATATAAAAATACTGCGATAATGGGAAAGAACTGTGCCTTTTCTTCCGCCAGGTGTCGCGATCATTATGGCCTTCAGTATATTGTAAAGCTCTACAACGTGGATGGAATGTTTTTCGTTTTATTTAAAATTAAGTTAAAGTAACAACTTGTGCAGTGCCGGGATGCAAAAAAATGGATATCGTTTGTTCCCAAAAGAGAAAACCTGAAGAAATTGTGGGCTAATGCAATAAGATGAGCAAAACTGGCGAAATCACAATCTTCATATTTAAAGCTGTGGGCATCATTCTAAAGAAAGTGATTTTATAACTCTTTAATCGTCTACAGATGAATATATTTTTTTTTTATTTTTTGTACTTTTTTACATATTAATAATACGAGTTTCATACAAAAATTTATCCCCGAAAAATGTTAAAACATGTATTAATTTAATTGTATTCAAGAGTAATAATACCAAGTTTCAAGTAATTCTGATCATAAATAATTTTTTGCCTATATAAACTTTATTACCCCCTTTCACCCCTTTAAGGGATGAATTTCGAAAAAAATCAAATAAATATATTTCTTAATTTTTAATAAACTTATATATAATGTTAAAGTTAAACACCATTTTCTCATTATTTCACATTAAGAATGAGAAAGTTTCATACAATCTTTGATTCACTATTTTATCCACTTGTAATATAAATTTCAAAACATCCTTTCTCATAGAAGCATGTAACATTATATGAAATACGTCTACCAAATTTCACGTTTCTACGACCAACGGCTTAGGCTGTTTGTCAATCCATCAATCAGGATCCCCGCAAGATGCAGCTCTCCTCAGTTCTTCCTTCAGCTGGTTTAACTTCCAGGTACAATACATTGCACAGGTAAGATGCGAACACAAAAGCAGCAAAAAACCGGGTATAATGAGATATCACAATAAATTGCTTAACCTTAGACTTAATGAAAATAGGCCATACGTGTAGCGTCCTCCTTTCGATAAACCTTGCCAATTATCATAATACTTTTATAAGAATTATTCAAAATTACGTAATTATTCAATATTATTACTAAAGGAATAAAATTCAATAATGAAACTTTTATGTTATGTTTTAATGTTTAGTATAGGTATCCACCACCACTATCAGCACCCACCAGCTATCATTATACCAAATTTCATAAAAATCTGTCTAGTAGTTTTCTCGCGATGCGTTCCAGACATACAAACAGATAGATGGACAGACAGACAAACAAATTCTAAAAACTAGATTCGGCTTTTGTCATTCATGCTCTACGATAAGTATTTCAATAAGATTTTCCAAAAAGTATTTAATGTTAAATGTACTTTAAAATTCGATTTAGAATTTTACTATATATATAGAATATAGTTTTTTTTAAACCTATTAATCTTAGCATTTAATTATGTTGGTCAATTTAATAAATATTAAAAATACTGACCTAAAATATCTCGTGAAGTTATTTTTTCTATAGGCTTGTAAATGTAATATGTATAACTTTTGATTTTTCCTAATTTACTACAGATGAGAATACATATTCAATAAAAAAAAAACGACTGTCATTTGTCAGAAGAACGCGGAAAATTTGAATTTAAAACAATCGACTATCTAAAATCCAAATGACGACCTCTTTGTGAAAGACAACATTATTATAATTATAAAAATAACTTGAAAAAGTTTAAATATGGACGATGAGGAGTTTGTAGGTTGCATTAATTGTATGAGTACAACCGATTTATGCGACCTATTTGTTTGTTATGCAAATAATGAACAAACTTATGGACAAATGCTTGAAACCTGTTTCGATGTGAAGGTTAATTTTTAATTTCTTATATTTACATTAGTGACTTACTTATCTAACATTTTCAATGAAATAAACAATAAAACTTTTATGTTTAAATTATGAATATATTTTTCTAGTATATAAAATTTAAATATTTCAGGTTACTAATGATTTTAAATATATATGCGCAAATTGTGTTGAAAAACTAGAAAAAGCATACACATTTAAACTACAAACAGTTAAAAATATTGACATGCTGCAGAGTATCAAAGGTGAGTTATCTTAAAACTATATAAACTTTTTCAAGTTATCTACCTAATCTATTTATATATATGTACATACATTTATACATATAAAAATTATGACAAGAAAATAAAATTTTCCCTTTAACTTCTACACTCCGAAAATATTATAGTGAGAGCATGGCTTGAGCTCTAATTATTACTTATTATTTATTTGCTATTTATTTAACATAATTAAAAAAATATAACAATAATGAAGTTTTTAAAAAATCATTAAAGTAGGTACTTATTTATTAAATAAAAAATAATAAAAAGAAATTAGAAAAAAATAAAAAAATAAATTAATTAAAAATAATCCTGTTAATATTATGAATATGAAAGTTTGGATAGATGTTTGTTACTCACTCACGCCAGAACGGCTGAACGGATCTGGATGAAATTTGGCACAGAGATAGATTATAGTCTGGAATAGCACATAGGCTACTTTTTATCGCCGAAAAATATATGGTTCCCATGGAATAGATTTGTTTTTGTTTTTCACTAGGCTGAGTTGCTAGTATTTAATATATTGTTTAAATAGATGAAGAGTATCTAGATGAAACAATATTAGAAACAGATGAATCTCAAGATAAATCACAGACACAAAAAATTGTGATTCTTAGAAAACGTGGCAAGGATGGAGATAGGAGAGAGGATGATGATGACGGTATGTTTGTATTTAAATAAAAAAATATTTTTAATTTATCTATCCAGGTAAATAAAATTAAATTGTCTGTTTGTCATGTCGAAACAACAGCTTTTTACTAAATGCATATAAAATTATATACAGTACTTATAAGAAAAACACAATATTAAAATTTTTGTCTGTCTGTTTGTTCCGGTTCATCTCCGAACAGCTACACTGATTTTGACGGGACTTTTACTGGCAGATAGTTGATGTTATAAGGAGTAACTTAGACTACTTTTATATTAGAACAAAATCAGGTTTCTGCTCAAAAAAATTAAACCGTACCTAGGGACACACCCCAAGGGAAACGAGGGTAAGACGCTAGTATTTAAATAAAACATAATTACATTTAAAATTAAAAAAAAAATCTGAATTGATTTTAATTATAATTTTATATATTTGATTGATGGTAATATAAATGCAATGTAGGTGTCGATAAAAATTATTGAAGTTAAAAGTTTGAGATATTAGTACATTTTTTAAATCATAATAATTTTTGGGACATTAACACACAGCACCATCTAGTTCCACGGTTAGCTACGAGGCCTGTGTTATGGATACCAGATAGTTGATACTATACACATATACTTAACTTTAAATACATACATGTTATAAATATAAACACCCATGACTAGAGTACAAATATTAGTACTCATCACACTAATGAATGCCCCCAGCGGAACTCGAACCCGCGACCGCTGGCACAGCAAGTAGGGACACTACAAACTGAGCCAAACGTGTCGTCTAAAGGAAGTAGTAAAGAACTTTCCAACTCATATACTAACTTAAAAGCAAAGAAAAATACTTTAGCCTTTATAATATTAGTAACTAGCGACTCACCCTCGTTTCGCTCGGGTTCGTCCCTAGATTGCTTCCGAGTACAAACTTTTATCCCTATTTTCAACCCCTTAAGGGATGATTTCCGGGATAAAAAGCACTCTATGTCCTTCTCAGGGTCTCAAACTATCTTCTTACCAAATTTCATCTAATTCGGTTCAATAGATTCAGAGATTACCCCCTACAACGTCACAAACTCACAATCTTACAAACATTACCTCTTTATAATATTAGTATAGATAATTCATACTTGACGAATTAGAGGAAGAGCATGAGATAGAAGCTCTGGATGAGACCACGTGTATATACTGCAATCTGCAGTTAGACTCAGTCGAGGGTATTCATCATCATATACGGATCGTACACGGTCTGGAACCTCGTACTGGACGGAAAGTGAGAGAGTGCAACCTCTGTGGTGCATCTCTAAGGGATTTGGCTGATCATTTTAAAAGGTATTTGTTAATGTGGTGATTTTTAGGGTCTATGCACATCATGTTTAATTTTGTTGATGAATTTTATATTATCGTGGATGTAATTTGCTTATTATATTTTGCCTTAATAAAATGAACAATTGTAGATTTATTGCGTACTAGCATTGCTCGCGGCTTCGCCCGTGTTCAAATGACTAAAAACCAAATTCGGAGGTTTTACATATTAGTATAGGTACTCTTAAAATGCAGTTTTTGTATTTTTTCTCAGAAATGAGATATTTTTCTACGGTAAATTGTATCCTATGTGTTGACCCGGATAACCAGCTATAATCATACTAAATTTCATCAAAATTTGTCCAGTGGTTTTCTTCTGATGCGGTAACAGACAGACAGACAGACAAACAGATAAAAATTCTAAAAACAATAGATTCGGACTCTGTATCGATAATAATGTTTATTTCAATAAGATTTTCCAAAAAATATTTAATGTGCAGATTCGACTTAGTTACAATTTTATTATATGTATAGATTATTGATATATAAAAACATATTTGTAGATACACATTTCCTTACAAATATGTATCTCTTTAAAAAGTGGCGTCGACATGTGACGTTAAGTCAAAACAAAGAATAAAATTCAGAAATCGAAATTTCTTGTCTAAACACAAATTCGAACTTACGCACACCGCATAGAGTACTTTTTTAAACGAAACAACGTGCGTTTTAATTTTGTCATCTGAAAAGCAATGAATAAGAGAGATTCGTAAATCGAATAAAACGTGTGTGTGTGTACTTACGAGTATGTACGCACGTAAGAAGTTATACTTCTTTGGCGTAACAGAACGAAAATAGCTAAAGATTTCATCCCGTATGTCACAACTCTCTGTTTGTAAAAGGAATGCATTCATCATGTCGCTTTTTGGCTGTCGGTGTGCGCGCGCATCGTAAAAATTTTACTCTCACATTTTTTTCAAAACATGCCAAAAGAAGCATAACTGCTTGCATTTTTTTAAGGACACTTTTTTATACATTTTCTATATCAATATGTAATCCGTATAAAAATACAAGATAGAAAAAAGTATACATATGAATGATAATCGCGCGTAGATATTGCGTATAAAAGTTGTAGTGTGCATAGACCTTTAGTGTATATTCTATATTTTAATCTGTGCTGTAACATTGGTGGTTAGAATTAGCAGAAAGTAAATTCTTTGGCTTTAAATAAAACTATCTTTTCGGATTTTTTCGCGAATTTATTTTGATTTTTGGTTCCCGACTTTCCTTTTTTTTTGAGTCTCTCCCGTGACCATGATTGCTGTAAAACATTCGTAACGTCGGGAACCAAAATTCAAAATAAATTCGCGAAAAAGTCCGAAAATCTATAGTTTTATTTCAAATGTCAAATATTCGCGTATATCTTTAGCTTTACGCTATTAGTAATAATGTATGTAAGTCTGCCCGATTTGTTGACATTTATGATTACTGCTCCGCTCCCTTGGGTAGTAGCATGATGATATATAGCCTATAGCCTTCCTCAATAAAAGGGCTATCTAACGCAAAAATAATTTTTCAAACCGGATTATTTGTTCCTGAGATTAGCGCGTTGAAACAAACAAACAATCAAACAAACAAACTCTGCCTCTTTATAGAATTAGTATAGATTAGTACTAACAACTGGTTGACTTTAATTTGTTTTTATGACACTTTAAAAGAAAATTATTCCACCCATAAGGGTGAGATTGTTACGATTGATAGACGTATCATGAAAATCGGCCCACAAAATAATATTTGCGAATAGTTATTGAGTGTTTCTGGTAAGAAATTGTTATTACCAGCCCGGAATTCGGAAGTTGGCACCCTCGTGCCGAGCAGTACGTAAAGCCGTCGGTCCTGCGCCTTAAGGGCTGATCCGCACTATAGCACCTATGACAGTTCGTTCTCGGTCCGATATCGGTCTGGTAAAGTATTGTTATACAAGAAACGTTGCTAGAGTTGTGATTTAACGGAATTTGACTCTTACTGTAGTGTGAATGCATTCATTGTTCCTTGTATAAAAATACTTTACCAGACCTATGTCGGAACGAGACCGTGATGGACTCTATAGTGTGGGTCGGCCCTAACTCACCGGTCGTGTCTCGTGTCGTCCCACCGGAGTATGAGAGTGATAGGAATAGAGAGTACACTTGTGTCTGCGCGTACACTTCTTCTTCTTCTTCTTCTCCCTGCCCATTTCCCAAATCACTTGGGGTCGGCGCAGTACATCTTCAGTGTACTGCTGATAGGATTTGGCAAAAGTTTTACGACCGGCCGCCTGCCTGACGTCAACCCTCCTTGGGAACGCTGTTGTTTACCAATGTCGTGCAGGAGACCCGAGGTGCGATAACCAGCACTAGATCGTCTTCTACGACACTTGCAGTTTTTATCTTAATTTTATTTGCCGCGTCGTTTCAATATCCAATTTAGAGTTAATTTTGTTAAATATGTAATCATTCAATTTCATGTCGAACCACACCACAATTAATGTACACCAAAATTCAGCAATTTTTTCACTACTTTCACTGGCATAGCCAATTGCTTACGTTATTCATAACTTAATACTTGAAGAACTCTTAAATTTACTTCTTTAAATGACACACACATATTCGGGGATGTTATGTTTACTCTTTCCAAAACGTATTCATTTTTGGTCTCTTGAACCTTAGAATCTTTTAAGGCATTTCAATAGTTTTCTTAAAAGATCAAAGTTTATTTTACTATATAATTTTTAATAAATTTTAACACATTTTTATTTTACACTTGTGCACTATAATATCTCCTGCGCAGTTGGCTAGTCTCAATGAGACTGGCCGCCGTGAACGGAATCGGCCAGGAGGATATCATCATTTTTGGCAAAAAAAAATCCTTTTTCTAATTTTTCCGTTGAATTTTTAGATGTCACAACTCGAACTTTGAATCTGAGGAGCGTCAGTACGCGTGTCATTTTTGTGATAACGTATATAATAGTAAGAAGGCGTGCTTCACACATTTGAGAATGAAACATGGATGTAAGTATATTTGTTAATAAATATGTTGGTACATTAACACACAGCACCATCTAGTTCCATGGTAAGCTACGAGGCTTGTGTTATGGATACCAGGTAGTTGATACACTATACATATGTATAACTTTATAAACATACAGATTATAAATATAAATACCCATGACTGGAGGATAAACATTAGTGCTCATCACACAAACGAATGCCCCCAGCGGGACTCAAACCTGCGACCGCTGGCACAGCAAGTAGTGTCATCACGCAACTTAGCCTGCTTTTATTTTGAAAAAAGAATTTAAAAAAAAAGAGTACCGCGCAAAAAAAGTTAAACCCATAAAATCGTGACTGTAATCCGTTAAATAATGTTTATAACGTTAATTGTATAATGTTTTTTTTTAATTTCTATTCTATATAGAATGCATAAGTCCCAAATTTAGCGATAGTGAAATGAGAACTGAATCGGTTTTATTTTAAATAAAACTATCTTTTCGGATTTGGTCGCGGATTTATTTGCATTTTTGTTTCCCGACGTTTCGAATGCTTTACAGCATCCATGGTCACGGGAGAGACTGAGGTGTTACATGTCTTGGAGGTATAGTTGTTACAGACAGCCTACCCACAATTAACCAAATGAAAATTGCACCAATTACTATTATTGTGGGTAGGCTGTCTGTAACAACTATACCTCCAAGACATGTAACACCTCAGTCTCTCCCGTGACCATGGATGCTGTAAAGCATTCGAAACGTCGGGAAACAAAAATGCAAATAAATCCGCGACAAAATCCGAAAAGATAGTTTTATTTAAAATGTCAAATATTCGCGTAAATCTAGGAAAGTATTATGTGAATCGGTTTTTAGTGAAACTCTGCAACGATCACACGCCCAAATATTCTTCCCGCGATCGTAAGAAATGTCACATCTGTGGGCGAGATTTCAGCCAGAAGCAAATACTTAATAATCATTTATGGAAAGCGCATGGGTTTGAGGTAATACACCCTTTTTTTTCTAACAATTTTTCTATCTGTCCATTCATGGCGTTTATCTATACATATAATAAAATTGTAACTAAGCCGAATCTGTACATTAAATATTTTTTGGAAAATCTTATTGTGATATAGACATTATTATCGATACAGAGGCCGAATCTATAGTTTTTAGAATTTTTGTCTGTCTGTCTGTTACCGCATCACGGGAAAACCACTGGACAGATTTTGATGAAATTTGGTATGATGGTACCTAGTTATCCGGGTCAACGTATAGGATACTTTTTACTGTGGGAAAGTATCTCATCTCTGAGAAAAAATACAAAAACTGCAATGTAAGAGTATACTAATATGTAAAACCTAAGAGTTTGGTTTTTGGTCAACTGAACGCCGGCGAAGCCGCGGGCAATGCTAGTTTATAATATTAGTCCTATAGTAGATATATTCTTTTCAGGTGGAAAAACGTAAAGCTTTCTTTTGCCCACTTTGTTCGGAGAGAGTGAGTTATGGAGCAAATTTTAGCGCTCATCTCTCAGAACGACACAACGTCACTGAAGAAATTGAACATTTGGAGTTCAGTACTATGAATGGTGAGTTGTTTGATAGAAATCAAATCAAATGGCCTTGTTGAAAATGCATATGACAACTGCACCAGCGTCTAATGATGAAATACCTTTATATTGGCTTTTATCTAAAACGTTTTCATTTATTTGAACGGGTCCCTAATTCTTATTCTAAAATAATAGTAGCCTAAGTTACTCCTTATAACATCAGCTATCTGCCAGTGAAGGTCCCGTCCCATTCGGTTCAGCCGTTTCAGAGATTAGCCAGAACAAACAGACAGACAGATAGGCAGACAAAATGTTTAAAAATTGTGTTTTTCTTATAAGTACCGTATATTATAATTTTATATGCATTCAGTAAAAAACTGTTATTTTGTAATTACAAACAGACACTTCAATTTTATTTATCTACTAGTGACTCACTCTCGATTCGTTCGGGTTCGTCCCTAGCTTGATTCCACATACAAACTGTCATCCCCGTTTTCACCTCCTTAAAGGACGATTTCCGGGATATAAAGTATCCTATGTCCTTCCCAGGGTCTCAAACTATCTTCTTACCAAATTTCATCTAAATCGGTTCAGTAGATCCAGAGATTACAAACTTTACCTCTTTATAATATTAGTATAGATGTCATCCAAAGTGCTTCGTTTTATCTAATCTATATGATTTGTTGTAAAACATAAGAGACTGGTAGTAACAAAATATGCCAAAAAGTGTTGCTGTCCTGTATATATTATCTCTTTTAATATTATAAATGTGTTTGTTTGTTTGTTTGTTTGTTGTTTTGTTTGTCCTTCTTTCACGTCGAAACGTAGTGACAGATTGGCGTGATTTATTGTGTGGAGATAGTTGGAGGGCTGGATAGTGACATAGGCTACTTTTTACTCTATATATTCTATACTTACCGTTAAAACGTATATGGACGAACCCGAACCAAGCGAGATTGAGTCGCTAGTAATATTTTAAATGCGATAGGCATTTGCTTGAATTATTTATTTATTTTATTCCATAACAGATTTTCTTCTCTACAAAAGTGCGATACAAGAAGAAACTAAGTTCCGTTTCCGTAAAACTACGGCCAGCAAGCAGACGATTGAAGGTGTTCGGTCTCATTACATGTGCAGTCAGTCCGGGATTTATGTTTACCAGGTGATTGTCCCTCTTTTTATCTCTATCCCGTGGGATTGGATCTTTATTAAAGTCCAAGATTTATATGTCCCGGTGAGTTGCTAGTTATGAATAAAACTATCTATTCGGAATTTTACGCGGATTTATTTAGAGTTTTAGTTCCCGGCGTATTTTTGAAATTTAACTATATATTTTTGAAAATTATTAACTATATATATTTTTTTATATCTAAGACTAGCGACTCGCCCTCGTTTCGCTCGGGTTCATCTCTGAGTTGGTTCCCCATACAAATTTTCATCCCCATTTTCACTCCCTTAAGAGATAATTTCTGGGATCAATACTGTCCTATATCCTTCCTTCCCAGGGTCTCAAACTATTTTTTACCCAATTTCATCCAAATCGGTTCAGTAGTTTCGGAGCCTATTCCGGTACAAACAAACGAACAAATCTTTCTTTCCCCTTTATAATATTAGTATAGATAATAAATTTTCCTCGAAAGGGTAAAGGCAAGCGTCCAGCCCCCGAGCGACAAATATACAAAACGGGTAAAGCGTGTCCCGCGCACATGATTGTTACCGAAACGCTGGATAAAGTGTTGGTCACCTTCTACAAAACTCATGTTGGACATGGGAGTGAGTATTTCACTAGCCATACAGACATACATACATACATATTATACATACACATACATAAACAAATACGTCAATACATATATATGCATATACTTACAATACATATACACAAAGGTCCTCAACTTATGTATAAATATACTTGAGGCATATTTAGCAATTGTATTTGACCCAGAAATCGATTTTGTTATAAAGCATAAAAAAAGGTATAAAATTTGCGTCTTTTCAGAAATCACGCGTATATAAAACTTAAAAAGTAAAACCTTATCTAAAAATAAAATTTGATTCGAATCGTTAAAACCGTTTTCGAGATATACAAAATTTACATAATATACGAGAAATTCGAATTTATACATCGATCAAAAAAGTACTAGATACACAATCCCATGCAAAAGTTCTCTTATAACTGTCACCAATTGTGTTTAGGTGATTGTTCTAGTTGATATAAATATACAACAATGTAAATTGAACTTTAAATGCAATGTTTAAAGTTGTTTTTACAAAAAAAAATTAAGAGCGCGCTCAAATGTTCAAATGAGCGCTCATCCGGTGAGGACATTTTTGGTCGCTGATTGTGTTTCTAGTGCATGTAATGTACTTTATTGATCGATGCGTTTATATTATTTTACTAGATATTTTATAAAACCAGCAATACCTACCTGCGGCTTCGCCCGCGTCCAAACTTCCGATCGCTAACAAAATTCACAGGATCACCCGCTGGGCTAATCTGAAGATTACCTGAAAATTTCATCAAAATCGCTCCAGCTGTTTTGAAGTATATAGGACACATACATACACATATCGTTTTTTATTTTATTTAATTAACAATTTATATTTATTTATTTCTCGGAAAATGTAGTTTTTAATAAAAATTTAGTGACACACCGACTGCAGCGCCACCTACCGGATCCATTTGTGAATTCAAACCTTGCAGGGACCCACTCGAATATACACAAAAAATATCATTAAAATCGTTCCTGCCGTTTAGGAGATGATCAGTGGCACACCGACTGTAGCGCCACCTACTGAGTCCACTTATATTTTCAAATCATCCAGGAGTCCATTGAAATATACACACAAAATTTCATCCAAATCGGTCCAGTCCTTTAGGAGGAGTAGATTAACAAACACACGTACAGAAGAATTATATGTATAAGAAGATTTCATTAAAATGTAATACATATTTTATCCAAAAAGCATGCCCATATTACGAACCACGAGAGCCTAAAAGGCCGAAAAACGAGGAGAATAACGAAATTTTACTAGTATGTGATACATGTGGCGCCCGATTGCCGCCAGACAAAATACATGCGCATATCAGTTCGCATGGGAACACAATGTTCCCATGCGAATATTGTTCCCAGGTGAGTGCAGTGTTCCCGTGTTGTCATTGATGTTTTAGTGTTGGTTTAGGTAACGTTTAGGTTTGTGGTTTTCAGTAAGTGTTGTTAGTTGGGTTTTTTATGCGGTTTCATTTTTGGCTTTTTGGTTTTTGAAGTGTGGAATATTTTACAGCAAATATGCATCTTGCCAGACCAAAATAAATCCGCGAAACAATCTGAAAAATAAGTTTTATTTAAATTGTTTTAACTTATTTTAGATTTGTGGTTGAAAGTTGTTTTTTCATAGTTTGTTGTTGTCTAGTTTATTTTTTTTATTAATTACTTTCTATATTTGTTACCCATATTTTTGAATGATATAATTGCACAAGGAACTTCGATGTTCCCATGTGTCGACACACAAGTAGATGTGTTCCCAAATAGATGAAGTGTTCCCAAGTTGATATTAATGCTTAAGTAGAATTTAAATCTAAATATATCTTTCAATAAACATATATTTAATATACCTATTAGTTTTCACCCGCTATACTTAGTGTAAATGGATAGGGATAAAAAGTATCCTATATCCATCCTCATGCTGCAGTCTATGTATTTGCCATCTAAATCTGTACCGCGGTTTTAGTGTAACAGACAGACAGATAGATGGTTAATTTCAAATTTATAATATTAGGGTAAATCGTATATGTAAAATTAATGTTACCATAAAAATGTACTTCTCAGACAAATGCAGTTTTTTTTATAAAGATATTTATTTACTTAATATACTTAATATGCTTTGCTTGTTTTATATAGTGAGTTTGTTGTTGTATATATGTATTGAGTCATATTGGGATATTAGATAGTTTAAAACCTTCTTCAATAAATAATCTAAAAAAGAATTATTCAAATAAATTAGTAGTTTTAGAGATTGGTGTGTACAAACAAAGTTTTAGCTTTATATATTAGTGTAACATATAAAATATATAATTTGCATGTCTATTTGTTACATTTTAGATTCTCTTTTCTTTGTGGACTACTTTTAATAATGCTACTTTTAGTTTAAAAAAAAAATAAAAAAAATGTTCCCACGGGATTGGGTATTTGAGTGATATACAATAACTTTTTGGTAACTTTTCGATTTAAATTAACACAGTTACTGTTTCGACTTTTAAGATAATTTTCCCGCGGGAACTTTATTGGTTTTTCTTTTAATATAGAATTATTTTATATTTTTATTGATTAATTTAATTAAAAATAAATTATTTCTTTAGCTATTTCAAAGTATAGAGGAATGGACGATTCATGTCAGAGCGGAACATCGAGCGTCAGAGTTGCTATAACATAGTGTTTTATTAAAGACTGAGATTGCCATCTTCAAATAAAAGATATTCGTCTACTAAATTATAGTCTAAGCTATAGATATAATAAAATTGTAACTGGTCGCTGTCTATACATTGAGGATATCTAAGAAAAACTATTATTGGGTGTATTTTATTAAACCGATAAAACTCAAAATAATGATTTTTTGTTTTTAATTTTCGTCTGTTTGTCTGTGCGTTTGTGCGCGTTGATCGCAGCAACAGCTTAATCGATTTGGGTGCGGTTTTCACTAATGTGGTTGTGGTAAGCTTCACTTAACATTTAGTATTTGTTTTATTTCAATTAAAATTTTTTTGTTAATTTAAATATTTACGGGTGAAAGGCTATTTGGTTTAAGCAACATTTTCTTAACTTTACAGGAGAGCCAATTTAATGAATTTTTTTAATGAATTGGCTCACCTGTAAAGTTAAGAAAATGTCGCTTAAACCAAATAGCCTTTCACCCGTCGATATATTCATACTAGCACTGCCCGCGGCTCCGCCCGCGTTCAGGTGACCAAACATTCTTAGGTTTTACATATTAGTATATATATATTAGTATACTCTTACATTGCAGTTTTTGTATTTTTTCTCAGAAATTAGATATTTTCCCGCGATAAAAAGTATCCTATATGTTGACCTGGATAACCAGCTATCACCATACCAAATTTCATCAAAATCCCTCCAGTGGTTTTTCTGTGATGCGGTACCAGACAGACAGACAGACAGACAGACAAACAAAAAAACAGACATACAAAAATTCTAAAAACTATAGATTCTGCCTCTGTATCGATAATAATGTCATTTCAATAAGATTTTCCAAAAAATATTTAATGTACAGATTCGGCTCAGTTACAATTTTATTATATGGTTTTTTTTTTAGTAGCACTTACTATGAAATCTTGAGTTTTATTTTATTAGTTTGTGATGCAATAATAATTTGATGTAATCTCACTGATTTGATGCTGGTCGCGGGAGGTGGACAGTGGAACTTTTCTATGGCTATCAGTGACACATATATATTGGTTTTGAACATCGATCAAAAAATTACTAGATACACAATCAGCGACAAAAAATGTCTTCATCGAATGAGCGCTCATTTGAACATTTGAGCGCGCTTTTAATTTTTTTTTTGTGAAAACAACTTTAAGTGATGCATTTAAGGTTCAATTTACATTGTTGTATATTTATATCAACTAGAACGATTACCTAAACACAGTTGGTGACAGTTTTAAGAGAGCTTTTACATGGGATTGTGTATTTGGTACTTTTTTGATCGATGGTTTTTTTGAATATATAAAAATGTTAACCCCTTGATGGTTGAAAATCTTACCGCATTTGTTTTTTTTTTTTTTTAATTAATGCAACCGGTTTTATTTTGATTATCGTAAGTGATTTTAGTTATCGTTAAGAAGTAAATGAGCTGAGTTGTCGATATGAGAGGTGTTTTTGTTGGTTAATAAATGTTTATATTTTACATGTTGTTTTATTGTGTGTGGTATTTTTTACGTCCTTGTTTTGGGTAAATTATATTATTTTTTTTGTCGGTAATCTATTATTATAGTTTAAGATCCCGATGCATGTGGTGGACCCCTCAGTATTTCCAGAGGAAATATATTTTTTTAACTTTAAAACATTAAAAACGCGACCCAGATGTGACCCATCCCCATCCCATCACCCATGAATCAATGAGTATTATGGGTGTAATGATTAATGGATCATATACCTAAATGGATTGATAATTGATATATGTATATGGATAACATACACAAAAAAATCTATACTAATAAATGGAGGGCCGATTATTTTGTTCGTTTATACTGCGATAACTACTGAACCGATCGGAATAATACTCATACCATAAGATGCAGCGTGTTTCGGAGAAGGTTTTGGTATATAATATACTAGCATTGCCCGCGGCTCCGCCCGCGTTCAAATGACCAAAAACCAAATTCTTAGGTTTTACATATTATTAGTATAGGTACTCTTACATTGCCGTTTTTGTATTTTTTCTCAGGAATGAGATATTTTCCCGCGGTAAAAAGTATCCTATGTGTTGACAAGGATATCCAGCTATCATCATACTAAATTTTATCAAAATCTATCTAGGTGTTTTCCCGTGATGAGCTAACAGACAGACAAAAATTCTAAAAACTATAGATTCAGCCTCTGTATCGATAATAAAGTCTATTTCAATAAGATTTTCAAAAAAATATTTAATGTACAGATTCGGCTTAGTTACAATTTTATTATATGTACCTATAGATGTGCGGGCGGAGCCGCAGGAAAACGCTAGTAAAAATATAAACTAGAGTCAAAATACTTCATTATTGAAGTCGGTCAAAAATCAATCAAGTAACATTGTGTTATAATAGATTTTCCGTTTTATGTTTTACCATGCAAAAAAAATTGTATGACTAAGCGAAATTCCGTTAAATCGATATGCTATGTGTGTGGGGAATACTTGAATTTATATTATTACTTGAAATAACCAGCGTTTATATTCGATTTTGGTTCGGCTATTACAATTTGCACCGCTCGCCATCGACAGGGAGTTCATGCTCACACATTGCATCCCAAATGGGCCCGTACAGTTCAGTTTCAGAGAAATTTCCTCCCATGGACCATTTTGCTGTGGAATGGACACGCTGCCGAGGTTTTCCCAGAGGGCTACAGTATGGGGTACTTAAGGTCGCTCAGCGTGCTATGGAGAGGGCTATGCTCGGAGTTTCTCGAATCGGATTCGAAATGAAGAGATCCGACAGAGAACCAGAGTTATCGACATAGCCCAAAGAATTAGCAAGTTGAAGTGGCAGTGGGCTGGTTACATATGTCGCAGAACCGATGACCGTTGGAGTAGACGGGTTCTAGAGTGGAGACCACGGCTCGGCAAACGTAAGATCGAGCTCAGTGGCGTGCCATAGGAGAGGCCTATGTCCAGCAGTGGACGAAAGCAGGCTGAACATGATGACAGTATGGGCCCTTCAAAAGGGGAGTAAATAGGTTTTTGAGGGTCGGCAACGCGCATGTGATGCCCCTGGTGTTGCAGGCGTCCATAGGCTATGGTAACCGATTACCATCAGGCGGACCGTATGTTTGATTACCATCGTCGTAATATAAAAAAAAATGTTGTTCTCCTTTTTATTGTTGTTTACCTGTTTTTTTAACATTGCGGAACAATAAAGCGCACACAACCCTTTCTTTTTTAACGTTTCGAATTGCATTTACGCAAATCCCACATTTACATATTACATTATATAATATACATATTATGTGATGAATTACGACACGCTTGGCTCAGTTTGTAGTGACCCTACTTTCTGTGCCAGCGGTCGCGGGTTCGAGTCCCGCTGGGGGCATTCATTTGTGTGATGACGAATGTTTGTACTCCAGTCATGGGTGTTTATATTTATAATATGTATGTATTTAAAGTTATATATGTGTAGTGTATCAACTATCTGGTATCTATAACAAAACAAAACTTCTCCAGTATTAATGGGACATCGCAAGATCGCTTAAACACTCGATTGCTATCAGAGAAGTACCAGGAGCAAACCGCATGATACACTGTCCACCGAAGTGTGCCATCTCTCAGTGTGTCTCATGGCTTGACGCTCGGCTGAATTGCGGGGAGCTAATTAAACTACACTCCTCGTGTAAATATGGCCATAACGAAGGCACCTCTTCAGCTGTCCCAAACTTCTATATCCTTTAAATGACATTCTTCCTTCTAAAGCCGTTGGTTTCAATAATATTTATTGTTTCTTAACATTTGTGTTTATTCCAATAAAAAATTAAATTGTAGTCATATTATTATTTGTACACTTGCTTCCCCATACAGACTTTCATCCCCATTTTCACACCCTTAAGGGATGATTTCCGGGATAAAAACTATCCTATGTCCTTTCCAGGGTCTCAAACTATCTTCTTACCAAATTTCATCTAAATCGGTTTCGGAGTTTCGGAGATTGGACTGGAGTACAAACATTCGTACTCATCACACAAATGAATGCCCCCAGCGGGACTCGAACCCGCGACCGCTGGCACAGCAAGTAGGATCGCACAAACTGAGAAAAACGTGTCGTCAATATATATATATATATATATATATATATATATATATATATATATATATATAACATATATAACACTATATATATATACATATATATATATATATATATATATATATATATATATATATATATATATTTACATATGAAATAATATATTAAAAACTGTTCCCAATAAATAAATAAATAAATACGTAAGCAATTAATTACATATACAATATCTACGTAAAATGAAGATACCCGTTTCCATTATCTAATTTACTTCTCCACTCGTATTATTATAACTTCTTAACCTGTTTGGCGGTCATTGCCTAATGTTGCCATATATATGTGATTTCCCGTTGTTAAGTATTTATTTAAAGTATTTCTAATCAAGAATAATTATATATTTATATTATATTATATTAAATTTTAGTATGAGAAAAGTGTACTAAATTCTCTGATTTTAAATAATTTTTAATATTTAATCTGCAAAGAAGAACATTGTATTGAGATGACTTTAAAATAGAATTAAATTCTCAAATAATTAAAATCCAAATTAAAAACTAATAGATTATTGACTACAATATTGTTTTTTCAGGTGTTGATTTGTAAAATTTGCATTCCTGATTAATAATATCCTCCTGACCGATTGGACCACGGTGGCCAATTTCCCTAAGACTAGCCAGATATAGGAGATATTATAGTGCACAAGTGTACGCGCATACACAAGTGCACTCTCTATTACTCTAAAAGTCCTATGGGACGATACTACCGGTGAGAGCTAAAGCGTAGGACTGACGGCTTTACGTGCTCTCTGAGGCACGGGGGTGCAACACCGCAAATTCCCAACTCCGGGCTATTACAGAGAATATCTTAACTGAAAATCTCAGTAATCAAACTTCTCCCGATCCGGGACTCGAACCCAGGACCGCAACATCGTACATGCTAACTACTAGATACCGAGGTATTCCTGATTACATTCATTTTGTTACAGCTGACACAGTAAATAATAAGCATCCACAGGTACTAATATTATAAATGTGAAAATTTTGTGATGATGGATATTACTCTTTCATGCCAAAATGGTTGAACGGAGACAGAGATAGATAGATTATAGTCTGCAATAGCATATAGGTCATCCCGGAAAAAATGTCCCGTGGGATAGATTTGTTTTGAGTAAAAATAAACAAGCAAACTCTATTTGAATATGCAAAGTGAATTAACTTATAATAACCTTGGACGTAACCTTGCCTTTACATTAATAACAGCGATGACTAATTTTATTTGCAAGAATTTACAGAAAAACATTGAAGCAATTTGTTATTTTTTATTTAGATTATTTGTAATTTTTTTTCTACATAAAATGTATATTAGTACATATAAAGAAACTTTTTTAAATCAAGAAAAATATATATAATTTACAAATGAATGCATATTCATGTGTGTTATTTTTTTAATTTAATGTTTGTTATTTTATTTGCGATTTTTATAAAAGTTATATATTATTATAAAAGTTATTTATTTGATAAAAAATCAAAACACTAGCTGATTCAAATAAGATTTATTTACTTTACAACAAGAAATTATGTAAAAGAAGGTAGTTAAATGTTATACGATTAAAAACTTTTTCATATTATATTTTATTATTTTCAATATAAAAGAACCTTAAGGGGAAATCCGATTTCCACAACTGGCAACACTCAATCGGTTTTTCCAACACTTCACTTCATCATTAAAAGGCCAAACGTTGTTAAACTCGTATAAGTGTGTTGTGTGTTACCTATTGTATAACGAAATCTAGTCAAAAATAAATATGACTTTTTAGAATTAAGTGATTGTGAATATTAAATGATGCATTTCGCTTTATTTCTTATTTTTATTGGTGAGTCTTTGTTTATTATAATTGTTTTATCTTTTGACGTAACTGTCGAGTACGAAAATATAAAAAAAAAAATTAGATATCTACGTATTAGGTAAATCGTTTCAGTCAAATCTATATGACATGTATTCTATACATATAATAAAATTCTGAGTCGAATCTGTACATTAAATATTTGTTTGGTAAATCTTATTGAAATAGTTATTAATGATACAGAGGTCGAATCGATAGTTTTTAGAATTTTTGTCTGTTTGTCCGTCTGTTTGGGAACGCATTACTAGAAACCCACTGGACAGATTTTGATGAAATTTGGTATGATGATAGCTGGTTATCCGGGTTGTATCGGTTCTTGTTCAACATATAGTATACTTTTTTCTGCGGGTAAATATCTCATCTCTGAGAAATTTATACTAAACGTTATATATGATTGTAATAGACCTAAATTGTGCGTTAAATTTTGATTAGATATTTTGAATAAAAAACTAATATAGAATAAAAATTGTGTGTTGTTTGTTATTTCATCGCGTTGTAGCTTAGATTGTAATTCGGAATGGAGATAGGGTTACTCTTGCCCCGCGGCTACGCTCGCATTTTTGATTTATTGTATGTAAAAGTAAGTAGTATACTTAATATATTTTTAAAAATTAAATACTGTATTAGTCGTACCTTTGCCGCATGTGGAAACCGGATTCAACCTTAGCGCCGCTTGTTCTGCCTTGTTCTAATTAATGAAATCTGCCTCATTAATGAAATTTTCCATAAAATTGATAAAGTTTCGATAAAGTTTAATTTCATTAAATTATTATTTTTTTGAAAAATGCAAAAAAAAACTTTCAAAAAATATACCTACTAATATTTTTTTTGATTATTCATTTTTTGGAAAATTCAAAAAGCATTTTCGATAACATTTCGATTTTTTTGTTTCACCTTCTGAATTTTGCCGCCCTGGGCATTAGCCCCGAGTGCTCCTAGTGTAAATCCAGCGCTGTTTGCATGTCACTTCTTCTTCTTGACAATACATATATTAAACTAGCATTGCCCGCGGCTCCGTCCGCATTCAGATGACCAAAAACCAAATTCTTTAGGTTTTACATATTAGTGTACTCTTACATTGCAGTTTTTGTATTTTTTCTCAGAAATGAGATATTTGCCGTGGTAAAAAGTATCCTATATGTTGGCCCGGACAACCAGCTATGTATGACCATACCAAATTTCATCAAAATCCCTTTAGTAGTTTTTCTGTGATGCGGTAACAGACAGACAGACAGACAAAATTCTAAAAACAATAGATTCGGCCTCTGTATCGATAATAATGTCTATTTCAATAAGATTTTCCAAAAAAATGTAATGTACAGATTCGGCTTAGTTACAATTTTATTATATGTATAGATAGAGGTCAAAGTTTTTTAGTTTGTATGTACTTTATAATCACTCGAACTTCATATAGTAATTCTTAAAAACTTTATATTTATTCATTTACTTGAGGTTCGCCCTCGCATCGCTCGGGTTCGTCCCTAGGTACGTTTTAACGGTTAGTATGGAACAGATAGACTTATATATTAGATATATACTTATATTTATTTTGTACATAGGTACAAAATATACACTTCTGAACTGTACGATTTTCCTGCTGTTTTTTTTTTAAATTTTTTTTTTTTTATACTTAAACCACCTATACACACTCTCATCAAAATAAGAAAAATATTATTCAAATCGGTCCAGCCGTTTTTGAGTTTTAGCGAGACTAACGAACGGTAAATGATTTTTTTTATATATACGAGTATAGATGTGCCTACTACAAAAAACATATTGTGTATAACCGTTCCTTGGTAGTCGGGTAATTACTGTGTACAAATTATGACTTATCTCTTTAAGATAACCTCGAGCGTGAGAGCTTTAGCTCAGTAGGCAGTGGTAGCCCAGTAGTAACGCGCTCGCTTGGGAAACCGAGTGAAGCGGGTTCAAATCCCGGGTCTCGCACCTCTGATATTTTCATGTGCGAATCATTTCTAACATGATTACCGCTTGCCTTACGGTGAAGGAAAACATCGTGAGGAAACCTGCAAGTCTGTGAGAACCTAGCAAGTTTTCGAAAGACATGTGTAGTCTGCCAACCCGCATTTGGCCAGCGTGGTGGACTATGGCCTGATCTCAGCTACAATGGGCTATAACTGGTCGACGTAGCTAGGGCCGACCTCGGCACCACACCCAAAAATAAATAATAATAATGGCCTGATCCCCCTCGTATTGAAGGGAGGCCCGTGCCCAGTAGTGGGACGTCAAAAAAGGCTGAATACAAATACCAATTTGTTTTCAATATATGCTGTGGTAGAAAGATTAGCACGTTTATCGAGAAACAAGCAAAAAGGGGAATTCCCAACGGAAATAATAAATAATAAAATAATATTTTTTAAATTTTTAATAGAAAATTTTCATGTCTCATTTAACTTCTTTAGGAGATGAATTCACCTTATAAAGAACTCTTGTGCATAATATTTTCTTAGATTTACTATGAATATTTGACATTTTAAATAAAACTATATTTTAGATGTTTTTCGCGGATTTATATAGATTTTTAGTTCTCAACGTTTTAAATAAGTATTTTACGGCAATGGTCACGAGAGGGACTTGGGGCAAACCGAGAAATCTGGAAAGATAGTTTTATGTAAAAATAGCGATTTACCCTCGCTTCGCTTGGGTGCGTTCCGAAGTATTTTTTTTTTTTTGCAGGACCCTATTTTTTCTAAAATAAAAGTAGCCTAACTTACTTCTTATAATATGAGCTATCTGCCTGTGGAAGTCCCGTCAAAATCTGTCTAGCCGTTTCGGAGAGACAGACAGAGAAACATTTTAAAATTATAAGTATACTAGCTTTGCCCGCGGCTCCGCCCGCGTTCAGATGACCAAAAACCAAATTATTAGGTTTTACATATTAGTATACTCTTACATTGCAATTTTTGTTTTTTTTCTCAGAAATGTGATATTGTCCCGCAATAAAAAGTATCCTTTATGTTGACCCGGATAACCAGCTATCATCATACCAAATTTAATCAAAATATGTCCAGCGGTTTTCTCGTGATGCAGTAACAGACAGATAGACAGACAAAAATTCTAAAAACTGTAGATTCGACCTCTGTATCGATAATAACGACTATTTCAATAGGATTTTCTAAAAAATATTTAATGTACAGATTCGACTGAGTTAGAATTTTATTATATGTACCTATAGATTAGAAAATACCCACTACAAGTATATTAACTGTTTCTGATGATGTCAATTCAAGTGGTTATTCACCGTGCTAGATATTATTTATTTATAATTAAGTGATTGGCAGTCGTAGTCCAGTGGTAACGCGCTCGCTTAGGAAACCGAGTGAAATAGGTTCAAATCCCGGCATAAACCTCTAATATTTTCATGTGCGGATCATTTCTAACATGATTACCACTTGTCTTACGGTGAAGGAAAACATCGTGAGGAAATTTGCATGTCTGAGAGAACCTAGCAAGATTTCGAAAGACATATCAAGTCCGCCAACCCGAACTTGGCTAGCGTGGTGGACTATGGCCTGATCCTCCTTGTATTGAAGGGAGGCCCACGCCCAGCAGTGGGACGTTAAAAAGAGCTAAACACATATGTACATTCATACATACATATATATACAAGTGACTAGTTAGCAAATACATATGTCGTGAGATAAGAGACGTGCTCATAGAATTCCATGAATCTCGTTACTAATAAATATGTATAGTAAAGTAGGGGAATAGTGCTATGAAAGAGACAGGTTTAGAATGGGACAAATTAAACTTACGGCACTTTCTTACAACATTTACTCAGTAATAATATTGACGTAAATATCTTTTGCTTTTCAAAACAAATAAAATGGCGAAGCGTAGTTTATTTTGTGAATAAAAGTATTTTATTCGTTGTTTGTGAAGTTTATTTGGTAAATTATTTAAATAATATTTGATAGTCATTGTATCGCTAACTGACCATTGGTTTAACTACTTAAAAGGTGAGTGCACAATAATACAAAATTATTCGAAAATCTTTTTGTACTTTCTGATACTTCTCTGATAGCAGGGACCTTTTTTTTTTTTTTTTTTTAACCTTGGGAAATGCATTTACGCACGACGTGTGGGACTCACCGGCGTAAAACAGCCAGTACTACCCACTAAAACCCAACAAAACCTTCCCCCGTCTTAATGGGGCGTCGCAGGATCGCTTGCGCATTCAACTACGACGCCCCGACGGCAGGTCTGCCGAAGCAGACCACCACAACCATGGGGTTGCTCCACAGTCCACTCTGCTATCAGAGAAGTACCAGGAGCAACCCGCATGGTACACCGCCCCCCAAAAAGGGCCACCTCTCCCCGCCCACCGAAGTGGGCAACCTCCCTGTGCGTTTCTTAGCTTCGCGCCCGGTTAGGTTGCCGGGTACTACTGAGCCCCCCCACCACGACAAGGTGAACGCACGTTGGGGGGGATAGCAGAGTGGACCTTGGAACAACCCCGTGGTTGTTGTGGTCTGCTTCGGCAGACGTGCCGTCGGGGCGTCGTAGTTGAATGCGTAAGCGATCCTGCGACGCCCCATTAAGACGGGGGAAGGTTTTGTTGGGTTTTAGTGGGTAGTACTGGCTTTGCCGGTGAGTCCGACACCTCGTGCGTAAATGCATCCCAATCTTATATAAAGACGGGGGAGGTTCTGTTGGGTTTTAGTACTGGCTTTACTAGCCGATGAGTCCAACATAACCACCTGTATGTGTACAAGTGGAATGTGTAAATGTATTTCCCAACATTTAAACGCATCGGCCATATTACGATTAAGTATGGTATATTATAGGTATACTAGCGACTCACCCTCGCTTCGCTTGGGTTCGTCCCTAGGTTGATTCCCCATACAAAAACACAGCCAAAAATTCTAAAAACTATAGATTCAGCATCTGTATCGATAATAATGTCTATTTCAATAAGATTTTCCAAAAAATATTTAATGTACAGATTCGAGTCAGTTCGAATTTTATTATAGATGATAGATTTCGTCAGCTCTAACGATTTGGATAAAATTTTGTATTTAGACAAAGTTTTGTTTTTAAGTTTATCTATGGAAGTTTTTCTTCTAAAAAAAAATTTTAACATCTTTTCAAAAAAAAAAAAAAAAACACGAATTTACAAACGTCCCGGTACTAATTAGTTTTGAATGACCAAACATCGTATATAATCGATTAACAATACAAAACAGGAAAAACACGAAACTATAAAATAGAATGAAAGATGTTTTAATACGTGAATAATTTTAAAAGTGGACTCAATTATGAAGCAGTGATGCTACAATGAAAAATTTTGTTACATCTATACTTAATATTATGAAGATTGAAGAGGTAGAGTTTGTTTCTTTGTTTGAACGCGCTAATCTCAGGAACTACTAATCCGGTTTGAAAAATTATTTTTGCGTTAGATAGCCCTTTTATTGAGGAAGGCTATAGGCTATATATCATCATGTTACTACCCAAGGGAGCGGAGCAGTAATCATAAATGTCAACAAATCGGGCAGACTTACATACATTATTGTTTAAAACTGATATCTATACATATAATAAAATTCTAACTAAGTCGAATCAGTACATTAAATATTTTTTGGGAAATCTAATTGAAATAGAAATTTTTAGAGTCCGAATCTATAGTTCTATGAATTTTTGTTTGTCTGTCTGTCTGTCTGTCTGTCTGTCTGTTACCGCATCACGAGAAAACCACTGGACAGATTTTGATGAAATTTGGTATGATGATAGCTGGTTATCCGGGTCAACATATAGGATACTTTTTACCGCGGGAAAATAACTCATTTCTGAGAAAAAATACAAAGACACAAAACTTCATTGTAAAAGTATACTAATATGTAAAACCTAAGAATTTGGATTTTGGTCTTCTGAACGCTGGCAGAGCTGCGGGCAATGCCCTCTCAATACGACACGATTAACACACGTTCGAAACAGAGCTTTATTCTAACACAAATCTTCATAACCAGTCATATTTGTTTGTAATTAAATTAACTATCATAATATTAAACACGACACGTTTGGGTTTGGTTCAGTTTGTAGTGAGCCTACTTGCTGTGACAGCGGTCGCGGGTTCGATTACCACTGGGTATATGAATTTGTGTGATGAGCACGAATGTTTGTACTCCAGTCATGAGTGTTTATATTTATATTTATAATATATACGTATTTAAAGTTATATATGTATAGTGTATCGACTGTCTGGTATCCATAACACAAGCCTCGTAGCTTACCATGGAACCAGATGGTGCTGTGTGTTAATATCCCAACATATATATTATTTATTTATTATTAAATAGGACCTTTCCTGTTATGACAAATATTTAAGTTTTATCTGCACATTGATTAATTATAATTAATAGCTAATACTGTATTCCGTAGAGGAAAACCAGTTGTTATTATGCAAAACTAATGATTTGGTTAATCGAGTGTGGGAAAACTGCCATTTGCCAAGCTTCAATAGCACCTCAGACAGATGAGGTAAAGTTTCATACTCTAAGCAATTATGTTAATTTACAGTGACAAGCTTGACTCGGTTTAATTATGATATATCGAATAAAATTTATGAAAACTTATGTAAGTTAAACAGTAACAGAGCTTTTATGTTTCTATCGAGGGATTATTTGAGATTGATTGGAAGCTTTACTTTGTATTTACGCTTACTAAATGACTGACAATTTTCTTTGAAGTTAATTAATTGCTTGATAAGAAATTAATTAGATATTTTTGGTTTTCATTCTCAACCGGATTAAGCTTATATCTGAACTCTATGTAGAATATGGCGCCTATTATTTATAAATTTATTAAAAATCAATTAATATGATTTTCTATGGTTTTAATTATTGCATAATTTAATCTATATCTCTATCTTTTCTTAAAAAAAAAGCAAAGCCATAATGGTCACGGGAGAGACTAAGGTTGTAGACGTCTCAAAGGCGTTATATACTTGTTACAGACAGATGCCAGTTACAGTACAGGACTAGGTACTTGTTGGGTAGGCATTGTCTGTAACAAGTGAAGACCCGCCGATTGAATCTAAAAGGACAGGATAGTTTTTATCCCAGAAATCATCCCTTAAGAAGGTGAAAAGGGGGATGAACGTTTGTATGGTGAATCAATTATTTCTCAAGTAAGGGATACAAAACTCATCATACCTACGTATAACTAATATTATACTAATCTAATACGTTGTCTATTTTGAAACTGTTAAAACCGGTCGAACCCGAGCTAAGCCAGGGCGAGTCGCTAGTATAAATACTACAATAATATTATAAACAGGTAAAGTTTATAAGTTTGTGAGTTTATTTGTAGCAGTTAATTTCTGGAATTACTGAACCGATTTAGATGAAATTTGGTAAAAAGATAGTTTGAGATCCTGGAAAGGACATAGGATAGTTTTTATCTCCAAAAATCATCCCTCAAGGGAGTGAAAATGGGGTTGAAAGAATAAGAGATAAGGCAATAGTCAATTACGCTGCAGGTTGGTGGACACACGTCTTTCGAAAACTAGTTGGTAGAAATAAAAATGGATATTAACTTAATATTTATTCTGTAACTGAAAAATTCTGAGCAGATATCTCTTTAACAAAAACTCACTAAAAGACAATCTGTATTCAGTGCTTTTTAACGTCCCACTGCTGGGCGCGGACCTTTCTTCAAATGCAATGGGGTCAGGCCATAGTCCACCACGCTGGCTAAGTGCAGGTTGGCGGACTTCACACGTCTTTCGAAAACTTGCTAGGTTCTCTCAGACATGCAGGTTTCCTCACGATATTTTCCTTCACCGTAAGACAATGCTTAGCCCTAACAGCTGGACTTAAAAGCATGAAAGATGGCACAAAAGTTCCGTAAATAACGAAGCTTTTTAAAGCTCATCCCATATACCTACATTTAGTGTAGATTTTTTTCATCATGTACCTAAATGGAAATTGAATATCGGGCGACAATAATAAATTTTTGACATTTATTTTTTCTCGACAGGTTCCTCACCAGCTTTTACTTTAAGCACTTTTGGAAAGAAAACCTCAAATATTTGCGCGTGAGTATTATATTTATATTATAATATGCCAACTGAATGTAAAGAGAAAATTCCTATCACATAAAGGGGTTTGAATATAGTTCTATGGTAGCTGGCATTAGCCACCTACCTGCCTTAATTTTTTTTCAGAGTAGCGACGCACAATAAATAAAAAAATAATCACTCATGAATCTAGATAGAGGATACTTAAACGAACAAAAAATACTATGCAATATTGCAACCCAAGGTGTCACGTTCCCGAGATAGTTTAGTGTAAGCAATGTCTAGCGTCCATAATGATCACAGCGAAATTGGCCGCGGTGACCGAAATGGGCAGAAAGACATTATTATTTATTAACTTATTGCCTCAATGGTCTCAGTCGTGGTCGCCTCGATGGTTGTCACAGTCGTGGTCGCCTGGTCTATATTATACTAGCAGTACCCGCGGCTTCGCCCGCGTTCAAACTTCTGATCGCTACCAAATTTCACAGAATCACCCGCTGGACTAATCTGAAGATTGCCTGAATATTTTATCACAATCGCTCCAGCAATTTTGTAATGCATAGGGAACATATATACACACACTCATTTTTATTTACATAGATGTACATAATATGTGTATGTATATGCTCTAAACGACATCACTTTTACAGGTATGACGAGTTTTCCTGTAAGAATGGGGACTGCTTGGCTTTGGAAAAGGTCTGTGACGGTGTAAAAAACTGTATTGATGGCTCGGATGAAGCTTTCTGCTCGGGATCATCGTAAGTACCTAAATTTTTTTTTATTGTATTAACAAAATTTAATATATGTACATAGTAGCGAGTCACCCTCGCTTCGCTCGGGTTCGTCACTAGGTACGTTGTAACTATATATAATTAGAAGGCTATAGCCTTCCTCAATAAACGGGCCATCTAATGCAAAACGAATTTTTCAAATCGAATTCATATCTACTTCCTGATAAAGCGCATTCTAAGAAAAAAACTCTGCCTATTTATAATATTACTAGCATTGCCCGCGGCTCCGCCCGCTTTCAGATGGCCAAAAACAAAATTCTTAGGTTTTACATATAAGTATACTTTTAAATTGAAGTTTTTGTATTTTTTCCAGAAATGAAATATTTATCCGCGGTAAAAAGTATCCTATATGTTGACCCGGATAACCAGCTACCGTCATACCAAATTTCATCAAAATCCCTCCAGTGGTTTTTCCGTGATGCGGTAACAGACAGACTGACAAAAATTCTAAAAATTATAGATTCGGCCTCTGTATCGATAATAATGTCTATTGCAATAAGATTTTCCAAAAAATATTTAATGTACAGATTCAGCTTAGTAACAATTTTATTATATGTATAGATTATAGATTTATACTGATAAATTATTATTTTTTTCCTTTTCAGAATGTATGATGAATCTTGGGAGAGTAACAGAGTGAAACGTCAGTCAAGTTGCCGGTGAGATATTTTTATAATTTACTAGCAGAACCCGCGGCTTCGCTCGCGCTAAAACTACAAAAACACAAAAAAATTAAGTTTCATACAAACTATCATCCCTTAGGTATTTTACCCCCTTATTTGATGAATTTCGAAAAATGCTAAAACATGTATTTATTTAATTTTATTGAAGAGCATTAATAGCAAGTTTCAAGTAATTCTGATCACAAATAATTTTTTGGGTTGTATTATCTCGTGTTCTGCCGTGGGAATGAGATAGTCTACTGCAGTGAAAAGTCTATGTTACTCTCCAGACCTCAAACTATTTGCACACAAAAAATCACGCCAATCTGTCACTCCATTTCGACGTGAAAAAAGGACAAACAAACAAACACACTTTCACATTTATAATATTAGTATGGATTATACTTTAATCCATACTAATGTTCTAGATTCGACGACACGTTTGGCTCAGTTTTTAGTGACCCTACTTGCTGTGTAGGGTTCACACTTTCACTGTAATATTGCATTATTAGTAATTTTAAAAAAGTTTAAAAAATAACGTTTTACTTATTTTATATTACAATGAAAGTTGAATAGAAAATGACTATATTCGTCAATTCTTGAATGTTTTCAAACTCGAAAAATTTTTTTTTCATTAAAACCATTTTTTTAAATTGTTTATTTTAAAAATCAGTGGGCCACCTCGAAATATTGAGTATTTTTTTTTATTTCCTAAAAAATTTTTATAAGCTACAAATTGTACCCCCAAACTAAGAAAAAAAAATTTTTTTTTTCGCTCAACCCATATGTATATACTCGTATACGTATAAGGTCTCCTTTCATCCTATTGAAGTACCGAACCCTGAAAAAGATCATTAAAAGATATCTTGTAACAACTCGGAAATATCGACGACCGAATTGACTAAGTACTCCATTTTTTTTTGAAATCAGTCAAAAATTTAACATTTTAAATGAAATTTATTTGGAACTAGCATTGCCCGCGGCTCCGCCCGCGTTTAGATGACCAAATAGCATATTTTTAGGTTTTACATATTTGTATACTCTTACAATGCAGTTTTTGTATTTTTTTTTTCAAAAATGAGATAATTTCCCTCGGTAAAAAGTACCCTATATGTTGACCCGGATAACCAGCTATCATCATACCAAATTTCATGAAAATCTGTCCTGTGGTTTTTTCGTGATGCGGTAACAGACAGACAGACAGACAGACAGACACACAGACAGACAGACAAAAATTCGAAAAACTATAGATTTGGATCGATAATAATGTCTATTTCAATTAAATTTCCCAAAAAATATTTTTAATGTACAGATTCGACTTAGTTTCAATTTTATTATATGTATAGATTATGATTTTTCAGCAAAAATCAGTGGCAATGCCGTGATGGTACGTGTATAGGATTCGATGGGAAGTGCGACGGTATTGTCGACTGTCCCGACGGCAGTGATGAAACTCATCCGTTGTGTAGAAAAATTCAGTAAGTTATACTTGAACATCTTTCCTTGTACGTATGATACCTCATTTTTATTTCTATAAATATTTTTGTAGTTTATAACAGTTGACGACACGTTTGGCTCAGTTTGTAGTGACCCTACTTGCTGGACAGCGGTCGCGGGTTCGAGTCCCGCTGGATTCATTTCTGTGATGAGCTCAAATGCTTGTGCTCCAGTCGTGGGTGTTTATATTTGTAATATGTATGTATTTAAAGTTATATATGTGTAGTGTATCAACTATCTGGTATCCATAACACAAGCTGCGTAATCGAACAAAAACAGCTAAAGATTTCATCCCGTATGTCACAACTCTCTGTTTGTAAAAGGAACGCAGCTAACTTCATCATGTCGCTTTTTGGCTGTCGCTTACGCGCCCATCGTAAAAATTTTACTCTCATATTTTTTTTCCAAACGTGCCAAAAGAAGTATAACTTCAAAAATTGAATTGAATTGTAATTAAATGGTTTATAGATGTCAAAGTAATTGGTTTCGCTGTACGTACGGTGCGTGTGTGGACGGGACCGCCCCTTGCAATGGGATTCAAGAGTGTGCGGACAATTCTGATGAACTATTGCCGAGATGTCGCAATGAAACTGATGAAGTTCGGTAAGTTTTATATTAAACTAGCATTTCTGTCGGTTCTGTTTGCGTAGTTTAAAATTAACGGATTGTAATATAAACCAGGGCTCGGAACCGGTTTAAATCAAATCAAATCAAAATATTTTATTCAGCATTAAATTATTACAATTTTTTACTGAACGTCACGAGTCTGCTACCAGTTCGGAAAGAAGAAGCCTCAGACCTGAGAAGAACTGGCGAAAGAGACTCAGCGGGACCAATATCTTTTCTTAAAGTATAATCTTTTTTTAAAGTAAAATTATAATTTTAATATTTCTATCAATTTGAAGTAGCCTGGAGGCGATCATTTCATTCCCAAGGTGTGCCATCTTCTGTAAAGTCATTTATTGTATAATAGCCTTTAGCACACAAACGTTCTTTAATAAAAAAATTTTGAATTTGGCGATTGAAGCCTTTTGAACATTTTCTGGGATCCTGTTGTACAAGCGTATACATTGTCCATAAAAAGAATTACTCTGTGTAGACGAGTCACAGGTATTACAAGTTTGTGTTTGCTCGATATTATAAAAACGGTCTATTTCGGTAATATATAGTTAATTTATCGCTCGTTCTTTAACCGGTTTATGAAAACGAACGGTTTAGTAAACCGAAATAATAACGGTTAACCGTTATTCTTTAGTAGGATTAGAAAGAATGGATTTCGGTTTTAATACCGAAATAAACCGGTTAATTCATTCATAAGTAAGAAACGTGCGTGCATCCTTTCACTAAACCATTGACCATTAGCAAAGATGCGCCAAATGTAAACACACAAAAACTAATTTTAACCGGTTATTTTTGTTCATGGAACCTAAATTCGTCAAAAACCGTTCTCCCAGATTTAACCGGTTAAACAACGTAACCGAAACCTTAAACCGGAAAACCTTTCGGTGACCAAAACCAATTCAAAATTTGAACGGGTTTCTTCCAAAAAACTTCCAACGGTATTTACTCCTTTAGAGTTTGAATTTCCGAAAATCCTCCCTTAACGGATACTTACTTCCTAGTATGAGGAATTGTATGAGATTTTTCAGTTTCGGCCACAAGTGTTTTGGTGGAACATTAATTATTACTAGTGATCGCCACGTGGTTGAAAATCAACCATAATTCCTTAAGTTTGGTCGATATTGAGGTTCTATTCTCAATTTGACCACAGACTTTAACAATAAACAAAAGAGTATATATTTGTGTGTGTCAAATACAAGGTAGTGTGTGTAATGTTTTTTTTATTGATTTAATGTTTTTTTTTATGCATATTTTTTTCCAATATTAGTATTTTACACAATTTCATATTCCTCCGTCCGCGTAATTTGCGTAAAAACGGGTACAAAGTTTTTCCTTCAAGTATTAATATATAGATATTATTTCCACTGTAGAGGCCAATTCAAATGCCAGAACGGACAGATGATCCCCGCGTCGCAGCACTGCGACGGCGCGGTGGACTGCGCCGACGGCTCGGACGAGACGGTGCGCGCGTGCGCGGCGCGCGTCTGCCCCGCGTACGTGTTCCAGTGCGCGTACGGGGCTTGCGTGGACCAGGGGGCCGATTGTGATGGGGTCAGTTAGTTTTGAGGTATTTCTCAACTATGTGTGTTTGTGTGTTTGTTTGTTAGTCCTTAACGCTAGCCGTGTTCCAATATGCGTGCGGAGCGGGCGTGGATCAAAGTTCAGATTGTGATGGAGTAAATTATTTTTTTATTATTTTTGAGGTATTTTTCAACTCTGTATGTGTATGTGTGTGTAAGTGGGTGCATGTGTGTGCGTGTATGTGTGTGCGTGTGTGTGTGTGTGTGTGTTTGTAAGTCCTTTACGCTGAAACGGCTGGGCGTATATGAATGGAGTTTAGTACACATATTAGAGGACCAGTCCGTCTTACGTGTTCCAATGTAGGTAAGGAGCGTATGTGATCAGATTGTGTTGTGGATGGTTAATGTTCGACTTTGTATTGTATGTACTTTTTAAAAAAGATCGCTGCTTAGTACACAGATACACTATGACTTGATGACTCACAGGCTACATATTTGGAATCATTAATTAACAGGAGACTCTTGTTTATGGTTACCGAAAGGATCACAGATTGATGTATAGTGGAGAAGATACGAAGATACAATATATACATATAATAAAATTGTAACCGAGCCGAATCTGTACATTAAATATTTTTTGGAAAATCTTATTGAAATGGACATTATTATCGATACAGAGGCCGAATCTATAGTTTTTAGAATGTTTGTCTGTCTTTCTGTCTGTCTGTTACCGCATCACAGAAAAACCACTGGAGAGATTTTGATGAAATTTGGTATAGTGATAGCTGGTTATCCGGGTCAACATATAGGATACATTTTACCGCGGGAAAATATCTCATTTCTGAGAAAAAAAATACAAAAACTGCAATGTCAAAGTATACTAATATGTAAAACCTAAGAATTTGGTTTTTGGTCACATGAACGCGGGCGGAGCCGCGGGCAATGCTAGTTACATATAAATTCATGTGTGTACATGTTTGTTAGTCCTTCACGCTATAACAGCTGCATGGATTTGGACGAAATTTAGTATAGTTCACTAAATTTAGATGAATATAATTTGGAATAACATATAGGCTCTTATTAGTAATAAATTTTGCCAAAAGGTGTCGCTATCTTAGTATCTAATACAAAAGGCGTTTAAGACGTTAGTACAAGATACTTTGATAGATTGTCGATATATGAATGTCTTTCTCTGTACGCTTCATAGAAACAAGACTGCGCCGACAATTCCGACGAATCAGACGAGCTTTGTAACCGAATGTCGTCTGGGACGTCTAAACCAATCGTTCCGACGAACAAGTGAGTCTGTTTTATCTTACGTATTTTTATAACGTTTTATATAACGTATGTGCATTTGTATGAATGTCTGCTATGTGTTCTTAAACCATTGATCCGATTGTGATGAAACTTTAGTTGATTATTCTGTATACACTTGCGGAGGTTTCTGGTGCAAATAAAAAGATTTTTTCTTTGGACACTTGTCTTTTATGCGTTTTCAAACCATTCAAGCTTAGAGCGAAGTAGCGTGCAAACGCGAGTCCCTATATGGATATAGAAACAATGTCAAAACTGACAAAAAAAATTTTTATTCAGCCTGACCCGGGACTTGAACCCAGGACTTTTTGATCTGTGATCAATTGGAACCAGATCTACCTACACATATTAAATACTAATTACTGCTGTCATTTTGTTTGCTTGTTTATAAATATTCTAATACATACTTAAGTTATGGGTTCGATGTCCGCACGAAGTAAATGCTTTTGTTAAGTAATACTTTGTAATATCTTCGTTTAGTTAAAACAAAATGTGGTGTTTTTAACAGATTTCATTAGTGTCTGTATAGTATCTAAAGTTAAAAGGGAATAGTCAAAATGCTCTCTTAAAAAATTGAATTAATTAATGAGACCACTATTATAAATTTGAAAATTTGTATGTATGTTTGTATGTTACTCCTTCAAGCTAAAAGGGCTAAACGGATTTAAATGAAACTTAGCGTATAGAGTATATTCTGAAGGAACACGTAGACACTTAGTAATAATAATTTAAGTAATAATAATTTACTATAAGCACACTTTCTCCATAAAACATAACTAAAAATTCTCTTTGTCTTTGTCCGGGTAGACGAAAAAAAAGAGAACCTACCTATACAAATAAAATTGTAACTGATCGCTGTCTGTACATGGAAGGTATTTGAGAAAAACTACTATTGGAGGTATTTATTAACGCAATAGGATCCAAAACAATGACTTTTAGAATTTTGTCTGTGCGTTTGCGCGCGGTAATATCAGAAAATTTATTGTCACTCCGAGCTATAATTAATTATATACATTTTGATATGGTTTATTTATTAATCAAAACATATGACACTGCGCGTTGCCAGTTTGCGCCGGATTCGTCGACACGTCATATATCACATGACGCAAGTCTGTGACGCCAACCCATAAGTTTTGCTAGCAAAAATCGCTCAACGCGGCTAAAGAAGTTTACACTTGAATAAAGAAATTCTAAATTTTTCTAGACCCGCACCTCAAGGGGGTAAATGCGTGTTACCACCTTATCCTAAACACGGCATGTATACGGTGGGTGGGAACGCAAACGCGTTACCAGGACAATCTTATCCGAGTGTGTTTATAAATATCACATGCAATCCCGGTTTTGGTGTCGAAGATCAAAGAGATTCTTTATATTGCTACGACGGTGTTTGGTCCGCGGACATGCCTCAATGTATCCGTGAGTATATTTTGTTGTTTTAATTTATTATAACCTGTAAAAAAATTTAAGGGATTGTTTTTTTTTAATTTTTTACCCTCCCAGTGTTATGGGTCTGTTTTTAAAATGCCATTAAGTATTACGTAAGCAGAATTTTAGCTATTATTAACCCCTCCCTCCCCCTTGTCAGCAAAAGTAAGCAAAGCTCTCACTCCCCCCTCCTGTACTTACGTAAACATTACGACTCAATTATTTTGGGGAATCCCTGAACATGATTTTCGGTTTTGAGCATAGATAAATAGGATATGGGAATTTTTATATATGTGTTAGTTAAATTACAATATACGAGAATGAAAACTGTATAATAAAAATCTATACATATAATAAAATTGTAACTAAGCCGAATCTGTACATTAAATATTTTTTGGAAAATCTTATTGAAATAAACATTATTATCGATAGAGGCCAAATCTATAGTTTTTAGAATTTATGTCTGTCTGTCTGTTACCGCATCACAGAAAAAACACTGGAGGGATTTTGATGAAATTTGGTATGATGATAGCTGGTTATCCAGGTCAACATATAGGATACTTTTTACTGCGGGAAAATGTCTCATTTCTGAGAAAAAATACAAAAACTGCAATGTAAGTAAGAGTATATCTAATATATAAAACCTAAGAATTTGGTTTATTTGGTTTTTTGGTCATCTGAACGCGAGCGGAGCCGCGGGAAATGCTAGTAATACCATATTATTTGTATTTTTAAGCATTAGTTCTTTTTCCCTTCAAAGAGTGATATAAAATTAAAATGTTAGCTTTTTTTCTTTTTTTTTTTAATAGAGTTCGTTAGCTTTTTTTATTTATTAATATTTATTTCCTTAGATTTATACACTCAGTATACAAATTGTTATATGTATAATATTTTAAGAGATTATTATTTGGCTTCATATTTATTTCTATATTTATTCCAGCTAAATATACAGGTTTTAAATAACTTATACGTGTAATAATAAATATTTTTGTTTTCAGGTTTCTGCCGTCTGTACAAGCATCCAAGTGTAGAATATAAGTGTATTATAACTGGAGCGAATGGTTTCGAAGGTTCTAGAGAGTGTGGGGCCTTTGAACCCGCTGGTACTGTGGCAAGACCTGTATGCAGATCCCCCAATTACTACTATTCAGGGATCCTATCCCTCATGCGATGTATCGATGGGAGTTGGGACTATGTAGCAGTTTGTAAACCAGGTGGGAACAATATAACAATAAAAATTAATGATTCCATCAAAATTTACATCACAAATTATAATACTGATGCTAATATATTAATAAATGCTGGCAATCAGAATGTTAGTCTAGAAGGTAACGGGTTGAATGTTAATATCGTTAATTCTAATGATAACGATAATAGTACGGGTAGTAACGGGAACACGCACAAGTTACCGTTTATCGTTAGTTCTAATGGTAACGCGAGTAGTACGGGTAGTAACGGGAACGCACACACGTTACCATTAAATATAGGTGGTAACGTGCAATACGAGACAACTAGTAACAGTAGAGAAATAACAACTACTCCAGGTATTTCAAATTATGATATAGATAAAGGTGATTGGAGAATGACTCAAACAAAAGTTACGATACCAAATAATAATTTAAATTACCAAACTCATATCGTTCCTAATAAAACTGAAAATCCTATTATATATTTCACAAACAGACATTGAATAATGGCAGTGAACTAATCAAGTTTTTGACCATTTCTAATCTATACATATAATAAAATTCTAACTGAGTCGAATCTGTACGTTGAATATTTTTTGGAAAATCTTATTGAAATAGTCATTATTATCGATACAGAGGCCGGATCTGTAGTTCTTAGAATTTTTGCCTGTCTGTCTGTCTGACCGCATAGCGAGAAAACCACTGGACAGATTTTAATGAAATTTGGTATGATGATAGCTGGTTATCCGGGTCAAAGGATACTTTTTACCGCGGGAAAATATCTCATTTCTGAGAAAAAATACAAAAACTGCAATATAAGAGTATACTAATATGTAAAACCTAAAAATTTGAGTTTTGGTCATCAGAACGCGGGCAATGCCAGTCTATCTATATTAATATTATAAAGGTGAATAGATATGTTTTTTGTTTGTTTGAATGAGCTGAGCCGAACTACCTGATATTTTGTGGCCTTAAAGAAAAGTTATAGGCTATCTTATACCATGATGTAGCCTTTGTGTTATTCCAGACTATAATCTATCTCTGTGCCAAATTTCATCCAGGTCCGTTCAGCCATTCAGGCGTGATTGAGTAACAAACATCCATACATACTCACAAACTTTCACATTTATAATACTGCCGAAGGATAAGTAATCCATACTAATATTATAAATGTGAAAGTGTGTTTGTTTCTTTATTTGTTTGTCCTTCTTTCACGTCGAAAAGGAGTGACGAATTGGCGTGAATTTTTGTGTGGATAGTTGGAGAGCTGGAGAGTGACTTTTTACCGCGGGAGATTATCTAATTCCCACGGGAAAACACATTATAATACAATCCAAAAAAAATATTTATGATCAGAATTACTTGAAACTTGGTATTAATGCTCTTCAATAAAATTAATTAAATATGTGTTTTAGCATTTTTCGAAATTCATCCTATAAGGGGGTAAACTAGGGGATGAAAGTTTGTATGAAACTTACCTTTTTAGACTTTTTTTGTAGTTTTAGCGCGAGTAACAAAACATATATATGTATACTATTAGCATTATTTTGTAATTTCATTATCGAGTAAACTAGTTCCTACATTGAATAAGTGCGTTTGACACCTTTAAGAAGTTTAGTTTACATATTCTACTCAAATAAAGGCGGCTGTACACTCCTGACTGGTTCTTGACATTCGCCGAGGGCTTACGTGCGAGAAAGTTGTTTACATATACAAATAAATACTTTCTTAGGCAGTGGTGGATTTACCAACACATTTTAAGGGCGGCGAATTTAGGGCAGAATTTTTTTAAGCGTCTCGCAAAAATCAGAAAAATTCTTGTAACAATTCCAAACATGATTGAGCTTTAATTAACTCAAAAATATACCCAAAAACTATTTCTTAAGTGTCATGTCGACCAAATTGTTGAATTGTAATAATAATCAAGTAACTGACAGTTATAGAGGTGAGGGCGGTAAATATTTAACAGCCTGTGTAGTTAGAAAATGTGTAAATACGCCATTGTTCTTAGGGCCTATACACAACATGTTTTATGAACACACTAATGACGCGTGTATCATGAATGTATGTCATATATGCATATTTTGTGCTGATTATTAAAAAAAAAACAGATTGTTTCCACGTTATCGATACAAACTCGCGACAAGTGGGTGTCGACAGCGAGTAACAAAACGTCGTGTGTATAGGCCCTTATACTCGCATGTCTCATAGTGTATAGCGAGAGTGTGTAGATGCAATAATACTTAAGGTTCTTTGAAATTAATATTACAAAAAAAAGCTGTTATTAATAATATAATGCTTAATAAAATATTTCTATTAAGTATCATATTTGCGAAATTTCGTAAATTTGTAAATAAAATGCGGAATTCTGTAAAGTAAAACGCATTTATCAAATTATCAGTATTAAAATTAATATATGGAACAATAGAAGCTTTTTTTTTAACTTTGTAGAATTCCGCAGCAACAACCGTATTTTATTTGCGGAAATCCGCAAATTCCGCCACACTTGCCAGTGCCATAAATGTATATTTTTATTTTTTTATATAAATAGATATATAATATCCAATGTAATAAATAATATATTAAAAAGCTTACATACATACATACATGTGTATAGTTGATTGTTTTTTTTTGTTTTTTTTTTAATTATCTAGCTTGAGTTTTTGAAGTTATACTTCTTTTGGCACGCTTGGAAAAAATATGAGAGTAAAATTTTTACGATGCGCGCGCACACCGACAGCCAAAGAGCGACATGATGAAGTTAGCTGCATTCCTTTTACAAACAGAGAGTTGTGACATACGGGATGAAATCTTTAGCTATTTTCGTTCTGTTACGCCAAAGAAGTATAACTTCTTACGTGCGTACATAAGTACACACACACACACGTTTTTTTAATATTAAAATTGTCTTCAACGTTTTGTTTTGTTATAAAAATACTAAAATGTCATATAGTCACACACTAAACCTATGTAGGTATGGCCTCATCTATACATATAATAAAATTGTAACCAAGCCGAATCTGTACATTAAAAATTATTTGGAAAATCTTATTGAAATAGACTTCATTATCGATACAGAGGCCGAATCTATAGTTTTTAGAATTTTTGTCTGTCTGTCTGTTACCGCATCAAGGAAAAACCACTGCACAGATTTTGATGAAATTTGGTATGATGATAGCTTATCCGCTAGCTAGCTAGGTTATATAGGATACTTTTTAGTACGGAAAAATATCCCATTTCTTAGAAAAAATACCAAACTGCATTATAAGAGTATGTATACTAATATGTAAAACCTAAGAATTTGGTTTTTGATCATCTGAACGCGGGCGGAGCCGCGGGCAATGCTAGTGGCTTATAAAACCTTAAATCAATTAGTAACATAAATTAAGCCAAATGTTATAATAAAATGTTTATATTGTATGTTTGAATGTTAGTAGGATGGATTTATAATAAATTAATTTTAATTCAACAATTAGTAGTTTCTTTATCCTTTATCCTCCATCCTGCTAATATGGTACTTACATAATGATAATTTTATTTAAATTAACAATTTTAATGTAAGTTTGTTTTGTGTTTTTTTTGTTCTATAGCTAAAGTTTATGGAATATATAAAATCCTTGAATGTACCAACATTAAATGTGTCAGTCAAAAACCTACTGCCAATCAAAACTGTCAGTCATAAATTTAATGTCAGACTATGTCAAATTAAATAAATAAATAATAATTAATTAATTAATACGTGGGTCTGTGCTGGCGGTCGCGGGTTCGAGTCCCGTTGGGGGCATTCATTTGTGTGATGACGAAGGTTTGTACTCCAGTCATGAGTGTTCATATTTATAATATGTATGTAAAGTTATATACGTGTAGGGTATCAACTATCTGGTATCCATAACACAAGCCTCGTAGCTTACCATGGAACTAGACGGTGCTGTGTGTTAATGTCACAACATATTTATTTATTAACACATGTACTCAATTCAATTAAAAATATATGTATATATCACCTTAATTTAAATCACACGCATATTCCCTATTGTGTATATTGAGTTTTTATATATCAATTCTCTAGAAGCATAAAATTATGCACAATATTAAATAAATACGAGCACTAACTATAAGAACGGGTTTTTAAATTCCTCCCCTAAGGAAGGGTAAATAGGGGATGAAAGTGTATGGAAGTTGGTCATTTTTGAAGTTAGTCATATGGTATCATACTTGAGGTTTAAGCTTCTATTTATATCACCGATGGGAAAACCCATACTCGTTGTTTGATCGTTTATAAAATACTGTCTCAATCTATATTCATTGGTAGTTACACTGTAGTATAGGGTTTTATTTGTATTTATTATGGTGCTGTGTGTATGTGTGTGTTAATGTCCCAACATTGCGGGAATCTATCTCATTCCTACGAGAAAATACGTTATAATACAATCCAAAAAAATATTTATGATCAGAATTATTTGAAACTTGGTATTAATGCTTTTCAATACAATTAAATAAATATATGTTTCAGCATTTTTCGAAATTCATCCCATAAGGGGGTAAAATAGGGGATGAAAGTTTGTATGAAACCTGAACCTTTTTAAGGGTTTGTTTGTAGTTTTAGCGCGAGCGAAGCCGCAGGTTCTGCTGCTATTTATATACTAATATTTATTTTATCAGTTTGTAGCTTTACTGATGTCATATGAGACGCTACTACCAAAGTGGTACAAAACAATAAGCCCTTATTATTGCCCTATTAATAATTTTAAAACTAGAAATGAAAATATTCATTTAAATTTCTGTTATTTAAAATTCAAAGTATTTTGTAACAATATTGTCCTTTTTACCGCCCCACTGCTGGGCGTGGGCCTCCCTTCAGTACGAGGGGGATCAGGCCATAGTCCACAACGCTGGCCAAGTGCGGGCGGACTGAGCATGTCTTTCGAAAACTTGCTAGGTTCTCTCACACATGCAGGTTTCCTCACGATGTTTTCCTTCACCATAAGACAAGTGGTAATCATATCAGAAATTATTCGCACATGAAAATATCAGGGATTTGAACCTGCTTCACTCGATTTCCCAATCTATAGCGCGTTACCACTAGGCTGCCACTGCCATATTTATAAATAAAAAAAAAATATATTTAGAATTAACTAATTTTTTGTATCTTACACAATATTCATACTTTCCGTACAGTTAGTTAATTTTAAAATATTCTTCTACACAGAATGCGGAACAATAACTCCGGGTGGAATGCAACTTATCATAGGCGGTAAAATTGCCAGAAGAGGGGAACTACCGTGGCATGCGGGAATTTACACCAAGGTTACTACCCCGTACATGCAAATCTGCGGGGGTTCCCTCATATCTACGTCCGCTATTATATCTGGTGAGTATTGTCTATACATATAATAAAATTCTAATTTAAGTCGAATCTGTACATTTAATATTTTTTTGGAAAATCTTATTGAAATAGACATTTTTATCGGTACAGAGGTTGAATCTGTAGTTTTTAGAATTTTTGTCTGTCTGTCTGTTACCGCATCGCGAAAAACCACTGGAGGGATTTTGATAAAATTTGGTATGACTGTAGCTGGTTATCCGAGTCAACATATAGGATACTTTTTACCGCGGGAAAATGTCTCATTTCTGAGGAAAAATACAAAAACTGCATTGTAAGAGTATACTAACTAATATGTAAAACCAAAGAATTTGGTTTTTGGTCATCTGAACGGTGGAGCCGTGGGCTAGTTATAAATATGTCAAGACATTAACAAACAACACCATCTAGTTCCATGGTAAGCTACGAGGCTTGTGTTATGGATACCGGATAGTTGATACACTACACATATATAACTTTAAATACATACATATTATAAATACAACAGCTATCGTTTATGACAGGGGTTTCAGCAGTGAAATCAGCCATGTGACTGCAAAACTTAGTACTAAGACCTGATGGTGGCAGCGTTCTAATTGTTGTCCAGAAAAGCATCATATCAAAATGGAGTTGGGAAAGGGATTGTAAAGATTTGTGGGTGGTATAATATATTTGTGGGTGGTATAACATATTTTTGGGTGGTATAACATATTTTTGGGTGGTATAATATATTTTTGGGTGGTATAATATATTTGTGGGTGATATAATAAATACCTAAAGTGAAGCTACGTTGCTAGTATATAAGTGACTAGCGACTCACTATCGCTGAACTCGGGTTCGTCCTTACGTTGATTCCTTTTACAAACTTTCATCCCTATTTTCACGCACTTAAGGGATGATTTCCGGGATAAAAACTATCCAATGTCCTTCCCAGGATGTCAAACTATCTTCTTACAAAATTTCATCTAAATCGGCCCAGTAGTTTCGGAGCTTATTCGGTACAAACAAACTAAAAATCAAACCTTTCCTCTTTATAATATTAGTATAGATTTCTATTATCTAATTATTTATTACAGCCGCTCACTGCTTCTGGAGTGATATAACAAAATTACAATCGGCTACAAACTATGCAGTAGCCGTGGGGAAAATATACCGTCCATGGAATAACCCGGTTGACGCTGATGCCCAAAAATCTGATGTAAGTACTATACTGTGCCATTTAACTGCCTCGGTGGTGTAGAGGCTAATATGTACCTACGGCTGCACACTCGGAGGTCCTGGGTTCGAGTCCCGGGTCGGGTCAAGTTTATTTATTGAGTCTTTCTGTATAATAAGTCTCAGTAACAGCCCGGAGTTGGGAAGTTGGCGGTGTTTCACCCCCGTGCCTCGGAGAGCACGTAAACCCGTCGGTCCTGCGCCGACACTCTCACCGCGAGTGTCTCGCGTCGTCCCACCGGAGTATGAGAGTGACAGGAACAGAGAGTGCACGTTGTGTCTGCGCTCTCCCTCACACGCGCTGCACTATAATATCTCCTGCGCAGTTGGCTAGTCTCAATGAGATTGGCCGCCGTGGCCGGAATCGGTCAGGAGAACATCATCATCATCACTTATAAGAAAAAAACAATACTTAATTTTTTTGTCTGTCTGTCTGACTGTCTGTTTGTTCTGGCTAATCTCCTGCCCGATTTTGACGGAATTTTCACTGGCAGATAGGCGATGCTATAAGGTGTGAGTTACTTCTTATTCAACTTTTTTTTTTAACGTCCCACTGCCGGGTACTGGCCTCCCTTTAATATGAGAGGGATCAGGCCATAGTCCACCACGCTGGCCAAGTGCGGGCGGACTGAGTATGTCTTTCGAAAACTTGCTAGGTTCTCTCAGACATGCAGATTTCCTCTGTTTTACTTCACCGTAAGACAGATATTGGAAAACCTCATGAAAACGTATGAAAAATCAACCAATTTCCTATTATAGGTAGCTGAAATAAAAATACCCTCAAGATTTCAAGGTGCTGCGGCAAATTTCCAAGATGATATAGCTCTAGTGTTAGTGGTCACACCGTTCATACTGCAGGTGTTCATCCGTCCTGTCTGCATCGATTTTGATGTGAATTTCGATCGGCAGCAGTTGCATGAAGGGAACTTGGGCAAGGTACATCAGAAAAATTTGATATACATACATACATTGTTACTTTTTTTTTAAATTACATTTAAAGAGGCTTTTTTAAAAGCATTTCTGAATATTTTTGGTCAAAATATTTTTGGATATAAAATCAACTTGAATTATATAAAAAATTGTGTGTATATCTGTTACTCATTCACTTACTCTTAATATCCCACGGGATTAATGAATTGGGATTAAAAACGTCTTTAATAATAAAATTTTGTTATAATCAGTAGCCTATGTGCTATAGTAAATTTCATCAAAATCCGTCCAGCCGTTATAGCATGAAAGAGTAACAAACATACAGATATACAGACTATTTAAACCTATTTAAAGTGCAATGAAAATTAATGCCAATAGGTAGCAGGGTGGGGTCTTACCACCCAAAACGGTACAGCATCCCAAATTCTGAAAGTGGTGGATCTTCCCTACGTGAAAGTAGAAGATTGCTACGCGAGATCTCCCATCGAATTTAGAGAGTACATCACTAGTGACAAGATATGCGCGGGATATACTAATGGTAAGTTATGGTAAATAAAAAAGAAAAAATTAAAATTACCATAAAAAATGGACAAGTGCGAGTCGGACTGACCGAGGGTTCAGTACTATGAAACATTAAAATAAGTTTATAATCGCAATTATTTTGGTGATGTAGTGTTGTGTGTGAGAGACAGATAACATACTATCTCTGTCCCTTTCACTCTCACAGACCGGTGGAACGACATTTCAACACCCACGATGACAGATGGCTAAAGTTCTTTGCTTAGCCAACTTCCAACTCCGGTCTGTTACTGAGAATTTCTTGGCAGAAAAACCCAATAATTAAACACGACCCATCCAGGGACTCGAACTTGAACCACTTGAATATATAAAACATATATACACACACACACACACACACACACACGCACACGCACACGCACACGCACACACACACTCTCTCTCACACACAATACACAAACACATATATGCACGCTAATTTATATTTTTTATTTTTTTTGTTTGTCTTAATTGATCTATTTAAGTTTGTAGTATTACCCATAATATTATAATCAGATAAAAGATAAAATTACGTTTTTACGAAAGGGCGGGGTCTCCTAATACAGGCAAATTATTTGCTTAAAAGGGGATCTCAACCACAAAATTTGAAATTTTGATTTGATTTGAAATAAATAAATAAATTTTAAATTAATCAATTAATTATATGTTAATTTTTATTTCAAATGTAAATGTATATTGTTATCTAATTTATAGTTTTTATTGTTGTGTTATAATAAATAAATATTATATATCTACATATAATATAATTTCAAATTTCTTTCAGGAACGACTTTATGTCAAGGCGACAGTGGTGGGGGTCTGGCGTTCCCTGCATCGGAATTGGGCACCCAACGTTATTATTTACGGGGTATCGTGTCAACGGCTCCCAAAAACGACTTCTCGTGCAATATCGACGCCATAACGACATTCACCCAAATAATAAATCATGAACATTTTATTAGGCAACAGTTGATAACCTAATTTCATTTGTACAACTATCGATTTGCTCTGGTTCTGTATAGATTTTAACATATACATAACTCGTTTGAATAACTAAAAAAAAGAAAATTTTACGCCCTAATGGGGTGGAATTTTGCAATTTTTTTCTTAGAGGATTCAATATTCAATACAAATTTTCGTGTTTCTGCTTTTATGTATGATTAGCGACTTATGATCATTTCGCTCGGGCTCATCCCTAGCTTGATTCCCCATACGAACTTTCATCCCCATTTTCAACCCCTTTCGGGATGATTTCTGGGATAACAAGTATCCTATGTCCTTCCCAGGGTCTCAAACTATCTTCTTACCAAATTTCATCTAAATCGGTTCAGTAGATCCAAAGATTACCCTCTACAACGTCACAAACTCACAATTCATAAACTTTACCTCTTTATAATATTAGTATAGATGATAAATGAATAAATATTCCTTTCGTCCCATATTTTTCGTCTTCAGATTACATACTGCTTAAAACTTTGAATAAGAACAATTATTATTAATTTTAATTTAATGACGACACGTTTGGCTTAGTTTGTAGTTTGTACTTGCTGTGCCAGCGGTCGCGGGTTTGAGTCCCGCTGCGGGCATTCATTTGTGTGATGAGCACAAATGTTTGTATGTACTCCAGTCATGGGTATATATATTTATATGTACGTATTTAAAGCTATATATGTGTAGTGTATCAACTATCTGGTATCCATAACACAAGCCTCGTAGCTTACCATGGAACTAGATGGCGCTGTCTTAATGTCCCAACAAAAAAAAATCTGAAAGTATTTATTCTAATTTTAGTCCGGTAACTTTAAAGATAACAGATTTTGATTCAAACCAACTCATTTTACCTCTTTAGGGGTTGAATTTCCAAAAATCCTTTCTTACCGGATATCTACTCTCTATGATAATTTCGTGATTAACATATGTGCCTATATTTTTTATTCTTATAGTCTGGATGTACTTATAATGCCGGGTCCACACTATTGCTACTGTATTAGTTTATTTTTTAATAATACAGAAACTTCGTGGTGTAATAGAGAAAAAAGAAATAAAATATGATGTCAGAGAATACATTATGTATTTTTAAGCTATCGTGTCGTTTTATTTTAATATAGAATAATTAACAATAATATTAACATAGCAATAGGGAATATGCATGTTTTTTTTTTTAATTCTTGTATACAATAGCTTACATCGTAATTGTAAAAAATATCCAGTTCCAAAAAACTAAAATTTAGTTTTTTTTCAATATCATACCGTTACGGATACTTGAACGCCCGCCATTTCACGCGCTCGGCGTGACGTCACAGTATGATATACGCACAGAGACATGACGACTTTAGTTTATAGTGACAAAATGGCTAATCGCTCTGTTATGATATACTCTGACATTCGGTCTGACCAATGGCGTTCGTTTCAACTACTTTAAATTTACCACCTATATTTGCACTTTTTATAATTATTGTCTTAAATGAAAAGAAATTACATAAAAAATATTATTATAGGCTTAATTCAAAAGCAATAAAAATCATAAAAAAAATATTTCACCTTTATTTAAAAATATTTAAAATTCGCAGCAAGTGCGTTTTCAGGGATTTGTTTGATATTTGTGACAGATACTCGTAGCAAGTGTGTGGATACGGCATTATATTTTTGTACTAAATAAAGAATTTAACTAACTTACTGATAACTCGCCGTTTAAAACACTGAGTTTAGACTCTTGAGGGATGGAAATATGCACAAGAGTTCGTTATATAACGAATGTAAGGGGTTTTTGAAAATTCATCCCGTAAAGAGGTACCGTAAATAGGGGATGAAAGTTTGTATGGAAGTTCGTCGTTTTTGAACGTAGAACATTTGATTAATATAAGTTAATTATTATTAAAATATGCTCAATCGTTTTAAGTCATAGATAAAACGCCAGATCAAAAAAATCTAAACTTAATTTTTCCTTTATTCGAACAAAGACTAAAATAGGTGTGATAAGTCAAAAATGTATGTAATCTAAAAAAAATGTATGGAAATTTGCCATATTTAATTAATTTTAGTTTTATATATATGTAATAGCCCTCTACCACATACCTACATACATATATATGTATGGTTCATACAAATAAATGTTCTCTCTAGGAAAGCAACCAGCGATCTCGATAACTCACTACAACCGTAGTTGTCGTCTTACTATATATATATATATATATATATAATATATATATATATATATATATATATATATATATATATATATATATAATATGTATTTTTTAAAGCTAATAAATGTTACAAATTGTATATGCATTTTGATTTTTAACTGACTTCCAAAGAGGAGGTTTTTAATTCGTCGTTTTTTTTTAATCTTTATTTATGACTAGCGGCTCGCCTTCGCTTCGCTCGGATTCGTTCCTACTTAGGTTTTAACATTTAGTATCGATTTCTCAGAGATGAGATATTTTCCCTCAGTAAAAAGTATCTTTTACGTTGACCCGGATAACCAGCTATCATTATACCAAATTTCATCAAAATCCCTCCAGTGGTTTTTCTGTGATGCGTTCACAGACAGACAGATAGACAAAAAATCTAAAAACAATAGATTAGGCCTCTGTATCGATAATGTAATGACTATTTTAATAAGATTTTCCAAAAAATATTTAATGTACAGATTCTACTCAGTCAAAATTTCATTATATGTATGTATATTATGTACTGTATGTATGTATTTTATGAACTGTATATCTCAATTACAAACGGTTTTAATAATTGAAATTGAGTTTGATTTTTTATTTAACTATATTCAACTCATTTTAATGAAATTCTAATAATATTAATTTAATAAATTAAATCTTTCAAATAAGCGCCATCTATCGTTTATTCAGGCTTAAAATAAAACGCACGATTTAATTTTTGTATGGGATGCGATTTCCGTAACCACTGTATGGGGTCTCATCACGAACAAAAAAATATATATTTCAAATATATGTCAATAGATGGCGTTATATGTATCGATTAGTTATTAATCAACCATCTCTTGGCTTTTTCCCTATAGGGGTCACCCCTCCTAAAAATTTTATGCCACTCTTGACGATTTTGCGTCATTTCTCAGCGATTTTGTGTCATTTCTCGGCGATTTCGCGTCATTATCGAGAAGTTTTTAAATTTGGTGTAAAATTACGAGACGTGCGAGATTTGGGATTTGAACCCGCTTCATTCGGTTTTCCAAGCGAGCGCGTTTCCACTGGGCTAGAACTGGTATAATCCAATAAAATACTTTTTAAAGAGAATAATTTATTGAATACAGTATGTATAATCACAACTTGTTAATACTTCACGTGAAGAGTTTATATTACCTTAATTTATTTACATTTAACTCACAAAATGTACCAACTCAATAAGAAAAATTGTGGGGGGCCTTTTTAAAAAGAGAGGCCTCAGGACAGATTTTTTTAATTAATTTGTTTATTACGTATTTAATATTAAAACAGTCTTAGTTAAAGAGTTTGAAATAATTGTAAGCATACGAAAAATGCAACAGGGAATATGCGTGTGATTTAAATAAAGGTGATTTTTTTTTACTATCTTTATTGCGTTTGAATTAAACCTATGTCAATATTTTTAATGTAATTTCTTTTTGATTAAGAAAATAATTATTAAAAAGTGCAAATATAGGTGGGAAATTTAAAGTACTTGAAACGCAACGCCATCGATCAGACCGAATGTGACGTCAAAGTATATCATAACCGAGCGATTAGCGAATTTGTCGCTACAAATTGCATGGACATTTTTGTGTGTATTCTGACGTCACGCCAAGCGCAAGAAATGAAGCACGTTTAAAATATCCGTATAGGTAGGATATTTAAGAAAATATTGATACTAAATTTTATTTTTTTTTGGAGCTGGATATTTTTTGTACAATCATATAACGATGTAAGCTATTATATAAAAAATAAATAAAAAATCACGCATAATCGCTATTAAGAGTAAAAACACAAATTATATGGGGTCAGTACATTTTGTTTGCAACAATCAAAATCTTATACACAGAATGTATCAAATGAAACACGAGAAAGGCTAGCTTTAAAAAATACATTATAAGTAAAGACAAATTTCTAAAAAAATAATATTCATATTTTTTCCTTAAAGAATAATAATAAATGCAATTTTATTTTATAATTTATTATAAGCCGCAATGTCGAAATAGTGGACCAAAAACTTATTTGAATTAGTAGATTTTTAAATACATATACAAAACTAAAATTGTTATATAAGGCCCCCGTTCAAAGGGGGACCTGAGTTCAATATTCGAGAATAGATGAGGCAAAAAAACACCTTGGCAGTTTTTAATAATAAAATTTACAAAATAATAAATTTTAAATATATTTTTTTAACTAACAGTTCGGTGTGTAAAAACAAAGTCATCTCCGTACATACGTAGACTATATGTAATACATATTATTTTAAATAATTAATTGACGTAATATAAAGAGCTAACGACGGATTTAAACTTATTGTGTTTTTATTTGTAATGCTAAAAGAAAAATAAAAAGTTTTTTAATTAAATTAGTACGAAAATTGTCAATTTTGACAGCTGAAAGTAACAATATTGTAACTCAGTTATGTACAATTTAAAAGTCTGCAGGATGCTTAATTCCTCAGAAACTTACAGCAGATATAGCGTGTTAAGGCTCATAATCGATACAAATATTAAAATTTAAATATCCTTTTTGACCTCTTATATCAAATTTAATATCTAGTACGTATTTCACAAAAACGTCGAATTCGTTTTAAAATTAGTACATTCTGTATAGAAACATATGAGACCCCAAATATTTAGAGGCCTAAATTTTAAATAGATGTAATTAATTTTCTATAAAATTTAATATTATTTAGTATAATTAATATAAAAAAACTAAAAGTTGAAAAATTAAGTTTATTAAAAATAATTTTCATTGACATACACAAATCTATACTAATATTATAAAGAGAAAAAAATAGTTTTTTTTTTGTATGCTTCTTTGTAATAGATAAACTAAAAAATCTACTGAACCAATTTTAAAAGTTCTTTCACCTATCAAAGGCTATATTATCAGCGAGCAACATGCGCCATTTTTTTTTAAATTAGAGATCCCCACGAAATTTGCAATAACGTAACTATAAAAATATTTATCAATGTTTATAATATTAACTTAAGTATACTAACTACATATATAAATATGTTAAATCATTTAGAACAATGAAATCTATCAGATTTTGTTCTAAAGTTAATGAAATAATGTTTTTTTTTTAATTCAGCACAGAGGTTTTTAAGATAAGGTAGTTTTATAAATCATTAATAAGTTAAGTTTCTTACTTGACTTTAAGCAGACATTAAAAAATAGAAGAAATTACGGTTAAATGTTAACTGTATTTTATAAAATAAATAACAACGACAAATCTTCTTTATAGTTTATAGCTCAAATATTGAGTTTATTTACAATTATAGTTTAATCCAATACTAATTTATGAGCGAGGCCCCTTTTTATTGGGGGTCTTATACAATTATAATGTAAACGTTGATTTAACTTAAGTTTAATTTAAATTCAGTGTTATTATAAATCATTACAATGAATATTAAATGTTTAGTTCTATTGATGTCAGATTGTGAGTTGATATTTCATTTAAATTCGTATAGTAAAAATTAGCAAGGCCCCTCTTTATTGGGGGCCTCATATTTAGTAAACTTTTAGTATATATTTATACCCCTAAGTCACATATAGACACCAATATATTCAATAACTACTAATATTCCAACCATTTTGTTTATTTTCATTTTAATACTAAAATATCATATTACCCAATTTTGATTCATAATTATTATTCATATGAAGTAAAACGCCAATTAAGTTTTCAAATGCGGTTTGCTTTTACATATATGTAATTATTAGACAAAAAATCCTTTATTTTCAATAAATTCTTAATGCGTTAATGTTATTACACAATTATTGTATGGGCTTTTATACAATAAAGTTTTTTTGCATATATTTTTTGTACAAAAATCGATATTGGCAAGGATCCAATGTGTAACTAAATCTTTGACAATTTAGATAGTTATTTATTCTGATTTTTCCCCCGCTTTTATATAACTTTTTTGTTTGATTGACAATCAATTGTCAAACTATGCCGTAATTAGAATAATTAATTTCTTTTTAATTGTAAATTATATCGGTGCCTTTACTTCTAAATTATTGTGGACAGACGAGCTTTGACATCAAGAACCTTAAGCCTCTCCCGTGACCACTTTTACTGTAGAACATTCGAAACGGAACGAAAAATAAAATAAAACTACGATTTTTATTTGTCAGATTATTGATGATTGAATGAATACCAAAATTCAATAACAACTGTGCCTTTCTTCGAAATATCATGGACATACTTATAAAACAATCAACAGATTATTTTATAAATATAATTATATGTTAATATAAAAAGGCCCATTTTGAATATTATAAGAGGGCCTCAATATCATTCATATAATAAAATATTAAATTCTTTATTAGTATGGCTAAGATTTTAACGACGTATTTTAATAGTTAAATTACTATTTACCTTCAACTTTTCTAACCCGATATGCCTCAGTCAATAAAATTATCACAACTAACGATTCGTTATTTACTCAAATCTTACATAAGTACGACAAAAATATAAAGGCCCCCTAATAGCGAGGGGCCTTTACGCTTACAATAATAACAATTATTTTATAATAATAATAGCAATTCAACCATAGTCTTGATTGCTAACGCTAATTTAATCAAAGATTACTTAAACCGTAGTTTAAAATTCAGTGTTGTTAAAATAATCATCAGTCTCAATATGAAATGTATAGTTCTGTTGATGTCAGGTATCAAAACTACGAGGCATGTATCTGAAAATTAGTAAAAATAAAATTAATTATATATTCTAATATTATAGAGAAAAGAGTTATTTTTTTGTTTGTTTGTTTGTATCAGCTCCGAAGCTACTGAACCGATTTAGATGACATAGGATAGTTTTTATCCCGGAAATCATCCCTTAAGGATGTTAAAATCGAGGTTATAGTTTGTATGGGGAAGCAAAAATAAAAGTAAAGTAAAACAAAAATCGAAAAAAAAGAAAATTTCTTGTTTTAATTCCAATTGCATTCATCAAATTGTAAAAATAAGTACTTGCGATAAAACAGTCTTAAATTTTCCATAATATATAGAAATATTCATAGATAAATAAAAAAAAATAGGGTTTGCTAAAAAAAGACAACACAACCTAACACTTATTAATTATATGATGTTAATATTCTCTCTGTCTATTTTTCTCTCTCTATCTCACTCCAACTCACCTTACACTAAAATCATGTATCCTGAATACAGCATATTGCGAATTCCTAAAAACTGGATAGAAATGCTCCACCGGCTCAGTGAGTAGCTTGTGACACAGTTTGGGGTTCGATTTCATATTGGGATACTCTATATCCCATATAGTTTCGAAGGAACAGCCGTTTCTGTAATAGTTAAAAAGCATTAATAAATAATAAATATTGTAGTGTATTAGCGTTCGTCTGACTCGCACTTGGCCAGTCTTTTTTTTTGTAGTCATACTTATTTTTGTATGTTTGGAAAAAATTATGAGAGTCAAATTTTTACGATGCGCGCGCACACCGACAGCCAAAGAGCGACATGATGAAGTTATCTGCATTCCTTTTAAAAACACAGAGTTGTGACATACGAAATGAAATCTTTAGCTATTTTTGTTCTGTTACGCCAAAAAAGTCTAACTTCTTACGTGCGTAGGCGTACATAAGTACACACACACGGTTTTTTTTTAATTTTAAGTTAAACAAAATTAACTCTCACTACGACCCCATGGTTGGGAACACCTGTTCTAGAGTGTATAGATGCTATATATTATTTTGAATGAGAAAGTTTGTAGAGAAAGTGTATGTTTGTTGCTCCTTAACGTTGAAATTCGGATGGCTGGACAGATTTTGATGAAATTTAGTATACTGATAAATTATGGCTTGGAGTAACACATTTGGGCGTTTATTTTACGTTAGACAGCGAAAGAAACGCCCAAACGAAGCGAGGGTAAGTCAATAGTATTCAGCCCTTATTAACATCCCACAGCTGGGCGTGGGCCTCCCTTCAATACGAGGGGGATCAGGCCATAGTCCACCACGCTGGCCAAGTGCGGGCGGACTGAGCATATTTTTTTTTTCGAAAACTTGCTAGGTTATCTCAAACATGCAGGTTTCCTCACGATGTTTTCCTTCACCGTAAGACAAGTGGTAATCATGTTAGAAATGATTCGCACATGAAAATATCAGAGGTGCGAGACCCGGGATTTGAACCCGCTTCACTCGGATTCCCAAGCGAGCGCGTTACCGTTAACTAGGCCACCACTGCCTGCCAAGTCATAAGTAAATAATATAAACTTTATACTACACGTTTCTACACTCTAGACGACACGTTTGGCTCAGTTTGTAGTGACCCTACTTGCTGTAAAAACGGTCACAATGGTTCGAGTCCCGCTGGGGCCATACATTAGTGTGATGAGCATGAATGTTTGTACTCCAGTCATGGATGTTTATATATATTTATAATACGCATATATTTAAAAGTTATATATATGTAGTGTATCAACTATCTGGTATCCATAACACAAGCCTCGTAACTTACCATGGAACTAGATGGCGCTGTGTGTTAATGTACCAACATATTTATATTTATTCCATAAAAAGATACTAACCTGCTCTTCCCGTAACAGTATTTAACTTCAACTATCAAATAAGTAGCCCTTAGTTTATTCAATTCTTGATAGTAATCGTGTGACAAGAATCTTCCATACATCTTATACACTGCGTATGCGCGTTTTCTGTAAACATTAAAAAGTTTTGACGTTTAGTATAGATTTCTCAGAAATGAGATATTTTCCCGCAGTAAAAAGTATCATACATGTTGACCCAGATAACCAGCTATCATCATACCAAATTTCATCAAAATCCCTCCAGTAGGTTTTCCGTGATGCGGTAACAGACAGACAGACAGACAAAAATTCTTAAAACTATAGATTTGTCCTCTGTATCGATAATAATGGCTACTTCAATAAGTTTTTCCAAAAAATATTTAATGTACAGATTTGGTTTAGGTAAAATTTTATTATAATATGTATATTTTATTATATGTATAGATGTACAACATTGCTAATTAGAATATTATAAAAAAAATGTAAGTTTTTAAATAAAACTATCTTTTCGAATTTTTTCGTAGATTTATTTTGATTTTGGGTTCCCGACGTTTCGAATGCTTTACAGCAATCATGGTCGCGTGAGAGACTAAGGTTTTAACGTCTTAGACGTCTCAAATATGGCAATATTATTTATTTAATTTTATCTGTTATTATTATCATTATGCCAATTTTTTTTAAACTTTATTAATTCGCGTAAATCTAAGAAAGTATTAATTGTAAGGTTTTTAGGTTCATTTCTCTTTTCTTCCAAATTATCTCACACTTTTGACACATCACAAACCTTAGTCTCTCCCATGACCATGTTTGCTGTAAAAAATTTGAAACGTTTTGGACAAAAATTAAAATAAAAAAAAACCAAAAAAAAATCCTTAAAAAATTAAAAAAAAGAACGACTTTTTTTCTTGTTGTTCTTTTTCTTGTTCTTACAAACAATAAGAAGAAGAAGAAAACATTCCTTACCTAGCTTCCACATGTTCATAGTGGGGGTGTGCCACTATTGGTCGTCTAGTAGATAGCATGACACTTGACAAAATGGGCATCGAACCCGCGAATGCTCCATCCCCTGCCTCCTTCGATATCCACTGTAGCAACTGCTCTTGGGGATAATCGTTAAATTCACCTAAAACAGCGTTTCTCAAACTTTCAGTTCCAAAATTCTCAAACTTTTTAACCAAATAGGTGCAATAAAATTTCAGGAACCTTTAGTTCAGTCAATAATTAAGTTTAGTAGCTATTTGCTGATGCTTTTGTGGATAATGATTAATTTTCACCTAAAACAGTGTTTCTCAAACTTTGAGTTCAAAGGTTATCAAACTTTCTGCCAAATTAGGTCCAATAAAATTTCAGAAACTTTTAGTTCAGTCAATGATTAAGTAGCTATTTACTAACAGATGCTTTTATCTATACTAATATTATAAAGAGGTAAAGTTTGTGAGTTTGTGACATTGTAGGGAGTAATCTTTGGATCTACTTAACCGATTTAGATGAAATTCGGTAAGAATTTGAGACCCTGGGAAGGACATAGGATACTTTTTATCTCGGAAACCATCCCTTAAAGAGGTGAAAATGGGGATGAAAGTTTGTATGGCGGATCAAGCTAGTTTGAAATAAAGTAATAAAATGTATGGCAGATGGTAAATCTCAAACTTTTAAACCGGGTAGTGTCATAAAATTCCAGCACCAGACAGTTTCTCAAACTTTTAGTCTAGTCAAATGATTATATTAAGTAGCTATTTGCAAAAAACTATAAACATACCAACGTGAGCCATTTCGTGCGAGACATTTTGCGAGAGTTCCCTCAATAGCGGCAATATGGCGATGGCCCAAAATATCGGCACATATTTCGTTATGGACTTTGGGAACCTGAAAGTTTAATTAAATAAATTAATACTGCCATCATAATAAAGAAGGCCCTGACTAAGAGTTGACTTAAATGAAGATTTGATGAATCAGCAAAAAAAAGCTACTTGATAGTCTTACTCGTAAAGCTCTAAGTCTTATGAATCCGGAGATACCATAACCATTTTCATCGTAACTACGTCGCAAGTTCTACTAAGCACTAAGACAAAACTTCAAATAATATCTCGAATCAACGAAGTTATTTTTTATGAAGGTAGAATAATAAGTATCGACTTTTTCTATTATTAAAGAATGACTTGTCCGTTTGTCTTTCTGTTACGTTATGTTTATGTGTTACTATAGGTAAAAGCCTATGTGTGATACAAATTTCATTCAAATACGTCCAGCGTTACGTACTAACAAACATACAAATATACAGCACTTGTACATTTAAAATGAGTCTGAACAAGATTATAGCCGATTCAACATAAGATATACTTACATATAATAATTCTTGTTGGCTATGAGAGAGCAAACTAGGCACATTTGAGTAGAAAACAGCAGTTTCAATCGCATAACAAGACATGCCATAACACCAAAAACAACCATTTGCGAAAAATTATAAAAAATCGCCGGTTCCACGCACAAATTCTTCAGGAAGAACATAACAAAGTCCTTCATCTGTTCACGCTTTTGCATGTTACCGTGCATTTTTGACAGTATCACGTCCAAATCCCTCGGGACATTCCTATTTCTGATCGATTCGGAATTATTCTCAATCCCGCTATCATCATCATCCCCATCTACTATCTCTTCCTCTTTGCACACATCGTCTATCTCTTTCTTGCATTTAAAAATGGCGGTGGACACCCAAAAATTGACTACATTCACGCCACTCAACAAAGCAAAAGGTATAAGTAGGGACTTTGTCATATTTTTGATGGAACTAAAGGGCAAATAGTCGAAAACGTCTGAACATGTGTAAATAAGTGTATGAAAAGTTTTATAATCTGTGAATTTGGAATATAATATGTCCCAAACGTGCGAATCGTCTTGAACTTCGAGAAAATCGCAAATAACTTTTTTTAAATACAACGACGACGTCACAGCCAATAAAATTCTCAAGAAAACGAGCCAAGTCTCCACAAATAGATCTAATCGATTTTTAATATTTATTCGGAGAGTGCTGAAAAATAGGCAATAAATCGATATTACTGCGAAAAATGATGTGTAGAGGGATGATTTTAACATATCATTCCCTTGTAAAAGAAGGATGGCGGTGTGAAGTCCGCAAAAGTGGGAGTGGAGGAAAATCGATAACGTTTTTGTATCGATTATTCGTAATTGTTCCATTACAAAAAAAATGGCGGTTTGAGTTAGGAAAATGAATTGGGTGAATTGCCAGAATAAGAGGCATAAAGAATTTGTGATGAAAATGCCGACCTGAAACAAATTTTGTTACATAATTTGGCGTAATAGTTATTCCTCGTGTCGTATCGAAAATCGGGTTTAATAATTCATTAAATTTGTAAATTTTTGGGGCTATTTTGTATCTATTTTCTTAGAGATGGGATATTTTCCCGCAGTAAAAAGTATCCTATATGTTGACCGGGATAACCAAATATCATTATACCAAATTTCATCAAAATCTGTCCAGTGGTTTTCTCGTGATGCGTTCCCAGTCAGACAGACGGACGAAAATTCTAAAAACTATAGATTCGGCTTCTGTATCGATATTAATGATTATTTCAATAAGATTTTCCAAAAAATATTTAATGTACAGATTCGACTCAGTTAGAGTTCTATTATAATATATATAATTATATTTATAAATATGATAAATTATACAATTTATATTTATAAATATGATAAACGTTATAGGCGTCATCATATCATCACGTTACAGCTTAAAAAATGGAGCAGTATATAAATAAACTAAGCGAACGAAGCCGCGGGCAAAAGCACGTCATATGTTAGTTTTCTACAATCCTACTTCATATAAACATTAAGTATACCAAAGCCCACACTTCTCCATACGCCCAATAAACTTAAAAAGGGGTACATTTTTTTTCTTTAATTATTATTATTTAATTATTTAATAAATGTGAATTTCTGTGTGATAAAAGAATTTTTTAACGTTGTTAGATAACGCCATCTATTGACAAGTAGCAGTTAAAAAATATAACTTTTATCCCCCGGGGATGAATTTCAAAGATGTGTCTGCCTTATGTTGGACTAAGTTTCATCCCAACTCGTTAAGTAATTTAATAAGAAAATAGACGTTTAGAGAAGAGATTAACTTTTATTTATGTATTTATTTTATTAAATTGTTTTAAATAATTTTATATTATTAAAAACAAAAAATACTTATTAACACTTTTTTTACTATAAATATTTCCACATCCCATCCTTAGATTTATTTATGATTTAATATTTAAAATTTATATTAACAAATTTTGTGAAGTACTCTGTTGGCATTTTGGTATATTTTGAAATCATTTTGTAATTTTGTGGATAGACACTAGACACTGTCTGTAACGAGTATTAAATATATGACCTTTGAGACATCTAAAACTTTAGTCTCTCCCATGACCATGTGCGCTGTAAAGCATTCGAAACGTCGGGAACAAATTATTAATTAACCAATTAAATAAAATACCATTATAATATTAACATATTTACCTGTAATTTTAAAATATTATTTTTATTCTTCTCCCTTAGTTGTAGGGTAAGAAGCCATGTTTGTAACAACAGCAAGGGCGCCGCTAAATTCTCCCTTTCATTAGGTGCCCATTGAACTCTAGTACATTCTGCGTGGTTCGCAAAATATTGGACTACAGCCAGGAGACCACCTAAAATGCTTTGGCTGAAGAAAAAAATATGGGAGAAAATCAGCCAAGTTCCTTATAATTTAGTAGGACATAGTTGTTTGGATTAGTCACTAATAAATAAATAGCGTTCAGAGTTGTAAGTCTATCTCGCTCTATTTATGTGAAACAGAGAAAGATGCTGATGTTAAACTGCTGAACCATTTTTGATAAAATTTAGCATTTGTTAGGCTTTTTCGTTGATCTTGTTATTTAATTAATCATTGACTCGAAATTGATTAGAAATCAATAAAATTCTGCGGGACATTAAAGTATTTGTAAATTCCAAAGTATATAATAAAAGTAAACATTAGTAACGCGCTTTTTCTTTGCTTGCGTTCATCCCTAAATAAGCCGTTGAATTTGAGAAATGATGGGCATCCCACACGACATTCGATGCCCAATTTCACCCCCTTTTGGATTGATTATTGCGACAAAATGTAGAATATGTTCTTCTCCAATGTTCAATCTATGCCTATTTCAAAATTCATCAAAATTGTTTCAGCTAATCAAAACCGAATAGACTGACTTATTATTTTCCCGCCATTTGATCTGTCAATTTGACACGCACACCTATCTCTTTCACTCACCTCAAAACAGACGCGTGTAGGAAAAGGACAGCAACAGTCAAGCCAGCCAACCACCATATGGCCTCTAAATAAAAGTAAATTGGTTGCCCAATTCCCACACAGCTTTCTATAGGTGTGTGACCCTCACCACGCTCTACCATATGACATTCTCTATAGGTAGAGTTGATCCATGGTTCGAAATATCGATACATCGCGCCAATTATTACCTGTAGTATGAAAAAATCGATATTTTCATAATCGATTTAAGCAAAATTAATTACAGCTAACCCTTACTTTGGTAGAATGCTTCCCAAACTGCCTAATAATGGTTGTTAAAGTTGATTACTTTGCCAATGTCACTTAGAAAAATTCCGGACAAGTGCGAGTCGGACTCGCCCACCGAGGGTTCCGTATAAGTTTGTTGGAAATCTGTTCAACTTTAATTTTCAGCTTCTTTTAGTTTTTGTAATTTTTCCTTTATTCCTGTTAGACCTTGCTCTTTGCCAAATTTCGTGATTATAGGTCAACGGGAACTACCATATAGGTTTTCGACCCAAAACCTACAGGGTACTTCCGGTTAACCTAGAATTGTCAATTTTGGTTAAAATCAAAGTCTTACAGCAAAAGTGAAGGGAAAATGCCGAAAAATAAAATAAGTCGAAAATAAGGTAAATTTTGGGACTTACAAGTTTTCGCGAAAATCTAAATTTGCCCATATCTTTTTATCATATTGACTCAGTATCTGGTATAAATTTCAAATTTGCTAGGTCCACCCGTACCTGAGAAAATCGGTGGTGACACACGGACAGACAGACAAGAGAGTGATCTTATAAGGGTTCCTTTTTACCTGTACGGAACCCTATAAAACATATCAATAGTCAGTTTTTTCCAATTTCAATAAAAGTTATAATGATAGTAAGCACATTTTTATTGAAATAAACAGCCTATATATATAGCACTTGCAGGTAATGCAGCTTATCTTATTAGTGAAAAAAAAAAACAGAATCAAATCATTCGTTTCAAAGATTACCCCGTACATTCAAACTTACAAACTTTACCATTATAAAATTAAAATAGATTGGTGAAACAAATTATTTAGTTTTAATACAATTAAGTTCAAAATTTGACATATAAATGTACATGATGCCATAATTCAATCAAGATATAGGAATGGCGCTTATTTACTAAAATTATAAATAAATGATGATGTTCTCCCGACCGATTCCAGCCACGGCGGCCAATCTTATTGAGACTAGCCAACTGCGCAAGAGATATTATAGTGCACAAGTGTACGCGCAGACACAACGTGCACTCTCTATTCCTGTCACTCTCATACTCCGGTGGGACGACACGAGACACGACCGGTGAGAGTTAAGGCGCAGGACCGACGGCTTTACGTGCTCTCCAAGGCACGGGGATGAAACACCGCCAACTTCCCAACTCCGGGCTGTTACTGAGGCTTACTATACAGAAAGACTCAATAACTAAACTTGGCCCGACCCGAGACTCGAACCCAGGACCTCCGGGAGTGCGACCATACTTGCTAACCACTACACCACCGAGGCAGTTAAAATTTAAATATATATAATAGATATATGTTAAATAAATATATATTATATTATTATACTTACATAAATAATAATTATAATAATTTATAAAGACTACACTATAATATCTCTTCTATAGAGACAGTCTATAAAAATTGTGTATTAATAATTAATCAGATATTTTAATGTCCCACTACTGCGCATGGGCCTCCCTACAGTAGAAGGGGGATCAGGTCACAGTCCACCACGCTGGTCTAGTACGGGTTGGAGGAATTCACATGTCTTTCGAAAAATTTCTAGAGAGAAAACCCTCTCAGACATGCAGGTTTCCTAACAATGTTTTACTTCACCGTAAGACAATCGGTAGTCATATTGGTAATAATTCGCTCATGAAATATCAGACGAAAAACTGGTGCGAAACCCAGGATTTGAACCCTTCCAGTTTCCAAAACGAGTGCATTATCACTGGGGTAGCACTGCCTTGCCCATAAAATCTATGTACATAATACATATTAAAAATGTAACATAAATACTAACCTCAGGATTGATATTAAATCTGTTAAACGCATTCACGTCTTTGGGATATTCAACTAATTTGTCATACATTATCTTTGAAATTCCATTTGGAAAAGGACGCTCCTCGACTATAATTTTGTAATATGAGTAGTAAAAACCCATTTCAGTGCGCAACGACATTTCTCTTTCCAAATCGGAGAGATAGGAGAAATTGCGGTCATTCTCAAATAAATTTGCCACATATTTGCAATGTATGAATCCTAAAGTAAATGCTGAAATTATAAAAATTGAACGTATGTACATCATTGCTGTCTACATTTTTAATAATATATAGAGAACTAGCAACTCACCATTGCTTCGAATTCTCCACTAAAAAAACAAATGTATCCCACGGGAACAGTATATTTTTTCGGGATAAAAAGTAACCTATGTGCTATTCCAGAATATAATCTATCTTTGTGCCAAATTTTGTCTAGATCCGTTCAGCCGTTCTGGTGTGAAAGAATAACAAACATACATCCATTTTCATAAACTTACATATTTATAATATTAGGAGGAAGTTAGTTTAATTTTTTTTAAAACCATTAGTACCTTTTTATGGTCCTGACTGTCCTGACGCTGACTTAAGTATAAACATAAACTTTGACATTTTAAATGTGCTTGTAAAATATAAAATGTCTATTTAATTAATATAGTATCTTTAAATAAATTGAAGTTATATTGCTTTTTCTCTTTGATATATGAAATCAAAATATTTATTCTTAATAAATTTTAATTTTAAAAAGTATTCCCAAAATAATACTTTCTTAGATTTACACAAATATTTGACATTTCAAATAAAACTATCTTTTCAGGTTCCCGATGTTTCGAATGCTTTACAGAATTCATGGTCTCTCCCCTGACCCGTGACCAAATAAATCCGCGAAAAAATCCGAAAAGATAGTTCTATTTAAAAAGTATTCCCAAAAATAATTTTTAAATTAATTTATTTTTTATACAGTGTTTATATAATACATTGGATCAATATTTGAGTGAATATTATTAATCGCTTTATATTGAATACCTCGTATTGGACAGGCTTTCCATATATTTTAATAACTCCTTACATTTACCCACATAAAAGTAAATACAACACAGTTCGATTTTGACACAAAAAAATATGGGGCTATGTTATTAACATTTCAATATTCTAAAACCCTTATATAAAAGGTTAGTTACTATAGTAAACAAGCAACTCCCCCTCGCTCTGCTCGGTTTCATCCCTGCTTATGTTTTAAGATTTAGGAGATTCCTCAGAGATGAGATATTTTCCCACAGTAAAAGGTATCCTATATGTTGACCCGGACAACCAGCTACCATCATACCAAATTTCATCTAAATCCCTCCAGTGGTTTTTCTGTGATGCGGTCATAAATAGACACACAGACAAAAATTCTAAAAACTATAGATTCGGCCTCTGTATAGATAATAATTCTATTTGAACAAGAATTTTCAAAAAATATTTTATATACAGATTTGGCTTAGTTACAATTTAATTATGTACATTATTACAATAAATGTATAGGTAGACTATAATTGCCAGCCATTTCATCTATCAGTAAAAAGAAAAAACTTGATATTTATCACAATTACGATTTTGATTCCATAAACCTTTCCTTTTTACACCTTTTTTTGTAATTACTTTCAAAAACATAAATAAAGGTCCATACTCGGAATATTATTGCATCTTGAAATAAATTCGAAATAGTTTAAATAAAATATTACTAAATAATGTTAAATAGCGAACAAGTAATAACAATAACTATAAATGAAATGCAATTTTTAACTACTTCCATATAAAATACATACCGATAATGGTAATAAAAATGTACACAGTTATCTTTTTTCCGGAATATTTTTGAGTCTCACTTCCCTGAACATTGTCATTTTCAACCATTTTGAAGATTTACATGCTTTTCTTTTAATTTTAATCCAGTTTTCTCATATTATTTATATGTAATAAGTTTTTTCATTAATTGAAATTAAATCAATTTTTCAAATGACATTGACATATGTCAGGTGCTTCGAATTCATTACAATTAGTGTAACTGTGTTGCTATATTAAAAAATATTTCAAGTTTTTATTCATTTGCACAAACATTAAAAATATTTTATTATCCGCTAGATCACATCGAACCTTACAAAAGGGACTGAAATTGAAATGAATTTTTCAACTAAAATTGGTATCTTTAAAATGTGTATTGTGAAATATGTATAAAAATTAAAAACCAGTTTAAATCCACGCACTTTCTTTCATACTTTTCGTCTTTCCCTTTCAGTAGAAATGTCCACTTGCGCACTACATTATGCATGTATGTCTTTTCCCACTGCTGGATACGGGCTTCCCTTTAATACGAGGGGGGATTAGGGCATAATCCACCACCTGGCCAAGTGCGGGTTATCGGACTTCACGTGTCTTTTGAAAACTTGTTAGGTACGCTACACTTACACGTTTGGCAAGTCTCGACAAGCGTTCACAAACACAACCGTGTGAACGGGGTTGTTGGCTCGAGTGCGTCTCTAGATAGAGGGATTTTTTTCACATTTTTAATGGGTTTTAATTTCTTGCAAGGATACTTAATTCTTTTGCTAAAATAGAAGAAGCCTAATTTAGGCTTTATTTTATTTAGATTATAAGGAGTATTTTACTCCTTATAACATCAGCTATCTGCCAGTGAAATAAAATTGAAAAATAGATTTTTTTCTTAAACTACATATTACCTACCTACCGTATTTATACTTTCATATGCATTTAGTAAAAAGTTGTTATTTTAAAATTACAAACAGACACTTCTATTTTATTTATTTGTATATAGATTTAGAATCTGTGCATTACATTTGCATTGCATTAAATAGTAATTATAAACAGCGCTGCCAATTGGCGGGTAAATTACCCGAAAAGCGGGTAATTTTGACGGGTATTTGCATTGAGCGGGGTCAAAGTAGGTATTTTAGTTTAGCTGATTAATTTGATATTTAATTTAAAGCTGTTTAATTAAGAACTGATTACAATAACTTCTTTTTCTAACATTAGTATTTTTTTTTATTCTATATAAAACATGAATAAATTACTTTTAAAAAATCTAATTTCAGGTATTCTGCTCATAGTTGGCGCCGGCGGGGTAAACTGGGTATTTTAAGGTTTATTGGTCGGGTAAATCAACGACTGTTATCTAAATCTATTTTAACCGTTAAGGCGAATGCACCCGAGCAAAGCCAGGGTTAGTCGCTACTATAGTATTATTTATAATTGTCAATTATAAAAAAAATGAAACACAAAATGGAGAATAGAGAATGTATAATCTCAATTTCGTTGAAGTTTTATGTTTATTGTATATTTTTTTACAAAAGTACAAAATTCATAATAGTATTTACTATATTATTAAATTGATTCAAATAAATTTATTGAATATTAAACATTTTTCAAATCATTTCACATTAACGGAAGGAACTTGATAGGTTTAATAATAATTTGTTAAAAAAAATAGGTAAGTAACTGTTCGTAACAATAACACCTTTATAAGATTTTTTCTAAAATCGGTAACGCTAATAGAATTGAAAATATTTATTTGCTATTTATTTTTACCACGTGACATAACGATTAGATATGTCATTTTAATACTTTTTTTTTTCATTTCTAATAGCGATATCGCTTGTAGAATTTCTTTTAATTTTTATAATAAAAATATTATAATAATAGACATTTATTTAAAGATTCTATGATCTAGCTATATTATAAATATCATTTAGCTAACTAAAGATATAAACTAAAAGTTTTTTAATGTAAAATGTAAGTATCATGGCACAATTTCAAATGTTGACACTCTTTGCTTAGCAATAATAGTAAATATATTGTCATGATATCTATTTATATTTTTTTAAGTAAATATATTTTTAGTATCTCAAATGGCAACACTTCAACATGATTCCAGCTGATCTGATGATGAAGCTAGAAGGTGGATAGTGGAACTTAACAGCCCTTAATATGACTTTTGAATTTATTTGATTTGCTTTAACAATTTCCACACATCACAACAATGGCAGGTACATTGAAAATGTCTGCGTGTATTTCATTATTTTTGTAATCTCAATTTCTACTAATATAATAAATGCGATAGTGTGTTTGTTCAAGAAGTGCAAAATTGTCAAAGTGGAAGAAAAAGTAATATTATGAAAAAATGTTTGTTAATCGATTTTTGAGATGCACCAAATATAGGTATAACCGAATACGAATTTTCGGGCTAATATTTTTTTCTAAAATGCACGGAACCTAATACATATTCGGTAAATCATTCGATTAATTGCGCAATAAACAGGTTGATAAATGTTGGTGATTTTTTTTAATGAAGCGAATAAGTATTCGGCAAAATATGAACATAAAAAATACGTCGAATAAATCGAATATGAATATTCGGCGCATCTCTATAGAGATGGGTAAAAATGGATGTTAGAAGTTTGTATGTAAATTCGTTATATTTAAACTACGCGCGCTTTAATAATGTACCATTTCAATGATCACATATTTCAACTCGCAATAAAATTATTATAGATATTGGAAACAAAATGTTTTAACATTTTTGTATTAAAACTATATAAATACAATATTTGGTCACACTTTGGTGAAACAACAAAGTTTATAACGACATATTATGGTTGACGATCCCGAAGCAAAATATGCTATCTACAAAATATATATTCATCTATAATCGACATATTTTCGAAGATCATTCAGTACAGTATGTTTTAATCTAAATATAAAAAAATATATTAATTTATAAAAATAAAAATCCGACTGCATAAAAAGCGAACTCAAAATATGAGAATAAGTTGACTAATAAACATAGTATTATAGTAATCGGAGATGGATCGATACACGTGGCAAGAGCAAGTATGTTTTTTTTTAATTTATATTTAAAAAAACATTTTTTAATGTTTTTTTATACAATGTTATTATTTTACGTGTTACTATATGTTTAATTTTGTAGAAAAAATATTTAATATATTATATTAAATATTTTTTTTCCTCTTATTATTATTATTTAATTTTACTTGGTGTGGTGCCGAGGTCGGCTTTAGCTACGTCGACCAGTTATGGTCCATTGTAGCTATATATAAACGCCTATAGTTCAATCTCTCTTTGACTATTTTTTTTTATAAAATGACATATTATTATACATGTTTTTTTTCCATATTGTGGTTCAATTATAATATTAGTTTTTGAAGTAAAACTTCTTTAGGTGTGCCTGAGGCATAAGTCAATACATTGGAAAAACGAGTGTTGCGGAAGTGCGAGACAAATTTATTATTAATAATTAAAAAAATATATTATACTTAAATTTTTATAATAATTATTATTTATAAATATATATATTATATATTAATAATTTTATATTGATTATTATATTTATATATGATTGGTTTTAATTTTATTGCGGTGTCTGCCACAGCGCCAAAGAAGTTTTACTTTAACCGCGCGCAAGGGTTACAGCACACCTTTTTTTTTTAAATAAATGCTTTAATGGCACTCATGGTTTAATTACTTTAAACGTGATTTTGAAGTCAGTGTAACTTATTATTTAAATTATATTAAAAAAATGTTCAAAGATATCACAAAGCATTGTCTTATACTTCAATTAAAGATAAATTATTTTTTATATATTTTATATCTAACCATACATAACAAGGAAGAAAACTTTGTTCGTATAACATTTGAAACTACTAGAACGACTATAAAATTTTATTACTGTAAGATATATATATAGACGTACCGTGCAAGAGCCGAGTGCAAAAACTAGTCATAACTTGAGTATTGGGGCAATTTTTCTTTAGGAATCTTAAATTATTAACAAAATCTCAATTAATAATATGTACGTAATGATTTTTTTTATGATTCGTAATATATTATTTTATTTTGTTTATAACTTCTGCATTTATGTTAAAGTAAAAAAAAAATAATACTACTGGGTTCACTGGAATATTAATGTTTTTTTTATTTATACCTACTATATATATTTTTTATAATATTTTTTAATATTTTTTTTTATATTTTAGTTCGCTGCGAGAATTAGGTATTGTAATTACATGAATATTAGATAGCCATTTTTTTTACTTTGAATGTCGGTTAAAATCAATTTACCGGTTAAAATCTATTAACCGATAAAAATATCTATAACTTATAAATACCTAATATAGTGTTTAGTGGAATGAATACTAATGATTTTTTTGTTCATTTATATATACATAAAATTGTTTATATATTAGATTTTTTTATTTTTTTTATATTTTTGTTCGCTGCGAGAAATAGGTAGGTATTTTAAATAAATAAAAAATCGGCAATCCGGTAGGCATAGCAAGATTCAAAGCTGAAGAATGCGAACGGTTCTCTCCTTCTTTCCAGGGTTCCGTACTTTTTAAGATTCTAAGAAAAAACATTTTTCCTCAAGTTATTTATTTATCTCGATCTGGGTAATAATTTCCGAAAATATTGATTTGATTCTGAAATATTTGCAAGTTTTCTTAAGTTACCAAGTTAGAGTATCCAAGATACATACAGACGACAGATATAGACAGACATAGGCACTTTTTGACCGACTTTGAAAAGGAGAAGAAACTTTATGATATATATTAACTGTTAAATTAATTTTAAATTACATGTCGTGATCCTCTAGTTGCAACCATTTAAAATAAAAAGCAACTCCAGCTCCACCCTGAAAAACTCCGGGTGGATTTTTTTAAGATAGTATATTGCGAAATTTTGCTAAACGTCCAAGCCTTTGATGTGAAAACAAATGTCTATCACACAAAGAAAAAATCATTTTCCGTAAAGTAATTCAATTTTTAAGAAATTTATAATGATTAAGTAAATTAAGTAAATACGGAACCCTAAACAAGAAAGTAGAAGTTAAAAGTAGGGCAAGAAAAAATATAATCAAAACTTATTATTATCAGAATTATAATAAAAACTTAAATAAATGCGAAGTAACAACTAGTGTCATAAATGACCACGACCACGGTTAAGGTAACCAATTAACGACCACAACCATAGTTTAAATAATTTGCTTCCGCAACCATATGGCCTCGGTTGTGGTTACAAGTCTGTAACTCTAAATAATGCTCTGTAAACATTTGCAGAATGCAAAGCATAAAATGGAATATAATTCGGTAATATGTTTGTGATGGTATTTTAAGAGACTAGATTTACTAAAAACTAATAAGTAAATGCTATTTAAATAAACAATACAAAAGCTAAACGGTAAAATAATTAATATATAATTTACTACATTTAAAAAAATCACTGAATAATTTATGACTTAGTCCGGGAATATATACGATATTCTTTTTTTAATTAACTGACAACCACAAGGCGTTTGTCTACGCGCCATACGACGCCAAATCGAATATTTGACAATCGAGTCGAATATCCGAGTCAAAATGCATATCGTTTTAAATTAATCGAATTAATATTTTTGCTGACCCGATCCAATAGTAAACAAGTAAGACAATACAATCTGACATATATTCCCGCACAAAATAACTAAATTAAAATTTTAAATTAATTTATAAAAATAATAATAGCTAATAAAAATAACAGGCCTTAATAATAATGGCGGACTTTTAATATAATATTGAGCTTCAATTCAATATTAATAACTTAATTTCATTAAAAAAATATATAAACAAAAAGAAACAAGTGTATAAGTGAATTTATGAATGTGTTAATAAAAATCAAACAAATCAAGATCTGAGAAGAACAACATTGTAACTCCATATGGAAATAACTTAAATAAAAATTAAATACACTACCATTATAAATTCGATAACATCTGTCTGCATAAGCGTATGTATACGTTTGTTATTTCTTCCGGAATCGGCTGGACATATTTGGATAAAATTTAGTACACTGATTGACTATGATCCAAGTTACAACGTTGTTTGTGCAGGTTTCGAAATAGTTTAAAGTTGCACGTCAAAATTTGTAAAGCAATGTTTATTGTTCAAAACCAATAAGTTATAAAATTAATATTATATTACATTTTTAGTAATAACAAATATTAAAAAAATGATATGTACTTAATTGTGCGTCTTTTTATCTATATATTATTTTTTTATTATGCTCTTTGTCTAACTCTTAACTAATTTTTATAAACAACCTTACTTAAATATTGAACTTTGACACATGCATGAAAAAATATTGTAACTCAATTTTATACTATTTAAATTTGTGTATGAAAAATAAATTTCGATTTTTAAATTATCTTTATACTGATACTATATTGTGCTTAGCAGGTGTCAATATAATAAAAAAAACAAATAAGTGACGTTATAAAAATTAATTCTAAGTCTTGTCTGTTGTGTGCAGTCCATTTCATTAGTTATTATCATAATAATTAATTTCAAATAATATCACTTTCATAAATAAGCCGACGGTAAAAAATATTATTCTAAAAAAGAAAAAAAAATTGAATCTAAAATTGATCCAAATTTTTTTTTCGCGTTCTACAATAATGAGTCAGCAAGAAATTTTTATACGTCACATATATACAAATACATAACTATCTTATAAAATAATATCGACAGTTAAGGCATCCAATAACGCCTAATTAAAGGAGAATGATAGAAAACATCCGTAAAACTTGTTAATGCGTAGATATTACACTGAGATCCATCGTAAGAGAAAGGGCTAGTGGAGACGACCCCTCCCAAAAAGTACCGTAAGGTACCATCGATAACAATACCATATGCCCATCCGCCCCCACTGTCCCCTTTGCACACTGAAGTACCTGTAAATTAAAAAATATATTATTTAACACAGCAACACTGAATGGAATTATTATTTACAAACTAAAAGAAAATCTTAAAATGTAAATAAATTAATAGTAAACCCACAAATTGTTAAACTATAGCAACATTTACTAGAATTAATTATTATTAATATTATTTGTGGGGCACTTTCTATACTTTTGTCTTTAAATTTAGAATTATATTATTAATATATAGTTTTATGGGTCTGTAGTAACTTTTGCACAAATAATTCGAAATTTTGGAATATAAAAAGGCAAATACCCAATTAAAATAAAAAAAATATAAGAAAACTTAGTTAAAAATAAGAAGTATTGCGACACCTGTAAACTTACCATTTCCGAACCCAGCGCAAAATTTGTCATTGGTTATGTACTCGGCATTTTCGATAGGGGTCTTATCAAGGCACTCCTCGAAGGGAACGTAAGGCATGTCCACCACTTTGAGGATGGGGGATTCGGACCCCTTGTGATCCTTGGTAAGACCAAATCCTGCTACCTGTAAAAATACCAGTGGGTTCCAACTAAGCGTTACTCTAATAATTTCTTAAATTGACGCGAATATTTGAAATTGAAATTTTTTACAGAAATCATGGTCACGGGAGAGACTGACTGACTCTCTGTCCCGTGATCATGATTGCTGTGAAGCATTTGAAACGTCGGGGACCAAAAGTCAAAATAAATCTTTAAATTTATTTAGGCGTTATTTCGAAGGCGGAGCTACCCAGTGGGCCCCTTTTTACACCTTTTTGGAGGAAGTACCCCTCCAATCAAAAATCCCTAACGACAAAAATATTGTATAAAGTTATAAAACCTGTATACCAAGTTTCGTCCAGATCGGTTGTAAAATCCGACCTTTAGAGGACACCAACAAACTGACAGAGGGTAGCAAATTTTGCCAGATTGGAAGCAGAGACGCTTCGCTTGCTCGCTTAGAAATAATACAAAAAATACCACCTAGGGACGAAACTTAAGCAAAAGTACTTAGTTTATATAAAGTGGTGAAACTCACAATTCCCAAGTCTCCATGTCGCCTTTGATTTTCATAGAAAGGAACGGTAAAGTCTAAGCAAAGAGGTCTGATATACGGTTTGTAATCGAATGGGTCTTTCACAATAATCACAGCCAAATCATTTTGATAATTTAATTCAATTCCATGGAAACGGCGTGCAAGAATAATTTTTTTGACCTGAAAGAAAAAAAAGCCTTTTAAATTCTTATTCAGCAAAAACCTCTTTTTAACCAATTTTGAAGAGATAAAATTATTTTTCGTTTATATGTTGTAACCTACTAAGTAATCGTAAATAAAGTAAAATAAAAAAAAGCAATGTGGAAAATCACACACAAAATATTTAAATATTTATGGTATTTTTTTCGCAGATTTCGAATTTAAACAAGGGGTCGTATAATTTTATGTCTTTCACTTTTTTTATATATTTCCGTCATGGCAAGCATATGGCAAGTATGGGGGCAAGTGCACCCCCATACACCTCCCTCCTAGCGCCCATGCGAATTCCTATTATTTTTATACGTAAATTATATATATATATATATATATATATATATATAAGTATATATATATATATATATAAGTATATATATATATATAGTATAGGTATATTGACCGATTTTTTTTAATGAATAGGTGAAATCTCGAGGTATAATATATATTTTATAAATCCACCATAATGAGTGGAATTATTTAAGCTATTGTGAAGTTAGTGTTGATATTTTAAAATCTAACTGATCTAGAAACATAAGACCTAGAAAAGTATATAAAGAATTTCAGTCTGCACTTTTCAACATCCCGTTTCTAGGGCGCGGGTCTCCTTTCCATTGAAAAATGATCGGGTCCACTACATAGTCCACTACGCTGACCAAATGCAGCTTTGCGGACTTCACATGTCATTCGAAAACTAGTGAAATTCTCTCAGTTTATTTACTAATTAGAGACTCACCCTCGCTTCGCTCGGGTTTGTCCCGGGCTTGACTTCCAATACAAACTTTCATCCCCATTTTCACCCCCGTAAGGGGTGATTTCCGTTATAAAAAGTATTCTATGTCCTTTCCATGGTCTCAAACTATCTTCTTACCAAATTTCATCTAAATCAGTTCAGTAGATCCAGAGTTTACCCCCTACAACGTCACAAACTCACAAACTTTACCCCTTTATAATATTAGTATAGCTAAATCAACAAGAAAATGTTAAAAAAACTTACATCAGATTTCTGGACATATAGTTCATCACGGGGATGATTCCATTCTCTATATAACTTTCCCACTGCGACGGCGAATTCTTCTTCAGGTAGCATCCCATATCCTTCTAGCCAGAAACAATGAGCAGCTGTAAACATAAGTTATCTGTATTGTATCGTACTGCTTTTAGCCCTTTTTCTAACGTCAAGGATTAATCATTCAGGTACTAATGTCAATGTGACAACGACATTATTCGTGTTACAAAGAATATTACTGCCGTTAATTTAGTAAATACCACGTTTGGGAAATCTTGAAGGTCCTGGGTGGGTCCCAGCTCAGATCAAATATATATTGGATTATTCCTTTAAGAAATTTTTAGTCGAACCTGCACCTGATCTCTCACTGTCGTGTGAGAATGAAAGGAATAGAGAATGCTCCTTATATTTGCGCGCATACGCACTATACTATAATATCTCCTACGGTGATGGCTGGCCTCATTGAAATTGGTTACCGTGGTCAACATTTGTGGATATTATTATTAGAAAGAGTTGTTAAAATCCTATTAAACATTTACCTGATACGATGATGTTTCTGCTTATGAGGGACCCCCCGCAAATTAGTTGATATTTTCCAGAGATTGTCTTTTTATAGATGCCCACGTGCCATGGAATTTCACCCCTTTCTGAAATTTTACCTCCCACTACCAAGGGTTCGGCTCTAGGGGTTAGGGTACCGCATTCTGTAATAGAAAAAACATATTTAATCTATGATATTTTTTTTTGCATTCAGCGTTTTTCAAGGTCCCACAGCTTTCCGGGGCTTTTCTAGACACGGGATTCCCTTCAATACGAGAGGATCATAGTGCAACACCTGGCCAAGATTGGCAAACGTCACATGTCTTTCTAAAACTTGGAAGGTCCTCTCAGATATGCAGGTTTCCTTCACCGTATAACAATGTTGAAAATGATTCCCACATGAAAATATTAGATAAGCAAAGCCCGGAATTTGAACCCGCTTCACTTGGAATTTCCCAAGCACTGGGCTACTGACACTGAGATTTAGAATTCATGAAATTTGGCATAATCTCCGATTTTTTTATCTGAACTGAAGGCGCTGTCGATAATGTGTAATAAATCAGAATTTCCGACCGTTCGGAATCGATATACATAAAACCCCTACATTATGTATGTACAGAGTTACCAACTTTAAAATCACCACATGGAATATACCAAATTTTTCCTACTTTACGTACCTGGTTGACATTTGGGCTCATAGTTCCATCGACCATTAACACAGTACATGTTAGACAGAGCTATGGAACTATAGTAGTTAGGCGACGAACATTTTGGTACCACAACAGTTCCTTCTACTTCCATCTCATTGCATTCTCGGGTACCTTCAAACCCTTTCTGTGTGATGAGACACCGGTATGTGACACTGGGTGACTCCTCGAGTTTACAGGCACCTAAAAATTGTCTTTATTTAAAATACGTCAATAAAAGTAACGTGTGCTCCGCCCGCTTAGCTTATTTATGTACGTATTAGTAACTTAATTTCGCTTCGCTCAGTCACGTCCCCGTATGCCTAATAATAGTGTATGTTACGCCAGATATATATATATATATATATATATATATATATATATATATATATATATATATATATATATATATATATATATATATATATATATATATATATATTATATATATATATATATATATATATATATATATATATATCTTTACTGTGTGCTATTTCACCCTTCAATTCCTTTTTATTTAAAAGAGCGTTTTGAATTTTTAAGTAACTGTCATAGCCGTTCTCTTCGCTCGGAGCACAACCTAGTTCTCAAAATTCCTTTACATTCTTCATGTTTCTACTCTAACTCTTTTACTGTAAAAGCTGCCCGGCTCTGGAACACACTTCCTTTAAAAGTTAAAAGTGCCAAAAGCCTTGATAAATTTAAGCTGTTATTAAAAGAATATTACCTGTCCCTTTAGTGCTTTTTTATATTTAATTGTATCTATAACTATATATATTTGTAGGTACGTATGTATATAAATTAGTATGTATGTGTATTGTACGTTTATATATTTGTATTGTGTGTTTAAGTATGTATGTATATTTGTATGTATGTATATATGTATGTATGTACATTTGTATGTGTATGTGTATTATGTTTATCTATTTATATTGTATGTATAATTATATCGTATAGCAAGTACACCGCCTACCATTTCTCTCACACTCTCCTTTACCTGGTAGTTGGTTGCCTGGAAGAGATCGCTTTAAGCGATAAGGCCGCCTACTGTGCATCTTTGTTAATTTTTAATAACTGTCTGTACGTATTTTTCTCTTTGGTGTACAATAAAGAGTATTATTATTATTATTATTATTATATATAATCCCAGCGGGACTCGAACCCGCAACCGCTGGCACAGCAAGTAAGGTCACTAAAAACTGAGCCAAACGTGTCGTCATCTTTCTTTGTACTAAATTTCATCCAAATACAAACATACACAAACTTTCGCATTTATAATAGCTACACACACTCAGGGCAAAGCGAGGCTTCACTTATATGCTTATATATACATATTACACATATACAATAAACTACTCACGAGCACAAGTCGGCAGTCTGTTTGGAGAAGAGAAACCATCAAGGCAGATGATGAAGTTACCCCCAACGACTTTATACCCAGGCTGACAAGTTACATTGAGGTAGAAATCCTTCACAATGGTACCAGGTCGATATATAGAAGATACACCGTTTTCTATAAACATTCCGTTCTTAGGATGTGGTGGGAGTACGCACAGATTTGTGTTTCTGAAAGAAAATTATTTTTTTAATATAGAAAGAATAGGTTGTACTTGAGTGACATAAAAAAGAAAAATATGTATTAAGCATTTTTAAACGTCCGTTTTCGAAAACTCTGAGACATAAGTTTCTTGACGATGCCTTCCTTTACCGTAAGACAAGTGGTAATCATGTTGTAAATGATTCGCACACGAGAACATCAGATGTTCAAGACCCGGGATTTGAACCTTCCCTTGGTTTTGCAAACGAGTGCATTACCACTGGGCTACCAAAGGTAGTGCAAGCGCGCTCACTTGGGAAACCGAGTCAAGCCCCTCTGATATTTTCATGTGCGAATCGTTTCCAATATGATTACTAGTTGTCTTACGGTAAAAGAAAACATCGTGAGGAAACCTGCATGTCTGAGAGAACCTAGCCAGTTTTCAAAGAACATGCTCAGTCCGCCCGCACTTGGCCAGCGTGGTGGACTATGGCTTGATCCCCCTCGTATTAAAGGGAAACCCGTGCTCTGCAGTAGGACGTTCAAAAGGGCTGAATACACTAAAGCCTCAACAAAAAGTACTAAATACTATTTTTTTTAAAACACTTACTGTCTTTGTATAGGCGTAATTGTAGAAGATTTAATGGAGATACGTTTCTGGTCTCTTCTGTTACAAAGAATGTTAGATTCATCCGAGCCATCCGCACATTCTATTGTCTGTAATATTAAAAAAAAATTGTTACTTAAAAGGTGATGACGATTCGATGATGATGAAACCAAGAGATTCAAATTCCGAGAGTTCAGGCGCAGGACTGACAGCTTTACGTGCTCTCTGAGGCACGGGGATAAATAAATAAATAAATAAAAATCTTTATTTGGAACAAATTTACAAAATCAGAACATTGTACGATATGGACTACATTAGTTAAAAACTGTGTTGTAGTCAATAACGCCCACCTCCAAGACATTTAATTAATATTAATACTAGTTCCAATAGCTTACATAGAAGTAGTTATAAAAGGTAGTATAGTTATATTTGCAGACATAGATTCTAGAATTAAATACAATAATATATATAGTATAATGCAGTGTGTGTGTGTGTGTGTGTGTGTGTGTATGAGAGTTGTGACTGCCACTTAAGTAAGGAGATTTTCAGTATCTTCATAGGTAAGATCCTGTAACCAAGCGATAGTTGCACTTTTGCAAACATGAAGTGTCTTAGGAAATATATTGATAATTTTATTTATTCTATTATATATATTTGAAGAAAAATAATAATAGTGTCGTCGACACAAAGCCAATCGACTACGATGGGTTTCACAAACTATATCAGATCTACGTTTATTGTGAATTGTATAGTCCTTGTATGGTGTTTGTGAATGTTTGCGTAGTATAGTATGTAGAATAAATAGTTTCCTAACCGATAATACCCGTGTGACTTTATATAACTCATCGGTAGGAAACAGCATGGATTTAAATGTCATGGTTTTAAGAATTGTTCTTTGAGCCCTTTCAAGACGAAGTAATTTAGTTTTTCCAGACCCTCCCCAAGCTGTAATACCATAAGATAATATTGATTGTGCAAGAGCATAATATACATTTTTTAACAACGGGAAATCAATTAAAGGTCTTAGTTTCTTAAACACGAAAATCAATTTACGAAGTTTTGTGTAAGTAGCCGCAATATGCTCTTTCCATGTCAGGGTGTCGTAAACCCATATGCCCAGATATTTAACATAAGTCACAGGAGTAATTTTTTTACAAGTACATTCGACATTTCTCTTACAATTTTGCTCATGAACATGGATGGAAATACGGTCAGACGGGAGAGAGTTTTTATGTGGAGCAAAAGTAATAAAATTAGTTTTTTTCAAAATTTAACGTTAAAATATTTAAATTTAGCCAATTATAGACGGAAGATAGTGCACTTTCTGCACGTGTACTCACTTCTGGCCAGCTTTTACCATGAACGATAAGTATAGTGTCATCAGCATATGTAATTATACTACAGTTTGGAATAGAAAGTTTAGTCAATTCATTGACATAGACAAGGATATAGTGTTGGCCCAAGGACACTGCCCTGTGGTACTCCAAAACTTAAACCAACTTCATCACTCACGGTACCATTAATTACCACGCACTGAAATCGATCACTAAGATAACTTTTAAATAGATCATTCACTACTCCTCTCATACCAATGTCATTTAATTTTGTCAAAAGATTGGTAATTGAGACCGTGTCAAATGCCTTAGTTAGATCTAAAAATATTCCAATAACTTTGTTTTTACGGTTAAAATTTTGAACGATTGTAGTGGTAAGGTCCAAGATCGCATCTTCAGTTGACTTACCACTTCTAAAGCCATATTGGTTCGGAGCTATAATATTATTAGCGGTTAGATAATTGTTAAGTCTACGGTTTAATAGTTTTTCAAATATTTTAGAGAAAGAGGTTAAAATTGAAATAGGTCTGTAGTTATTAATTTTATTTGCATCTCCGTTTTTATGAATTGGATGAATGAGAGCTTTTTTAAAAACTTTAAGAAAAATGCCTGATTCAATAGATATATTAAAAATATGAACAATCAATGGAATAAGCACGTGTCTAGCTAACTTTATTACAGAAATGGGAATTTCATCCCATCCCGTCGCAGCTGTATTCTTAAGGTTATTTATTACATTTTCTACTTCTGAATGGTCAGTGTTATATAAGGACATAGAAGAAGAGAAATGGGGTACAGGTGAGGAGCAACATGCATTCATTGGGTTTGAATTACAATGGGGATGAAACACTGCCAACTTCCCAATTCCGGGATTTTACTGGGGCGTTTTAAGAAAAGGCTCAATAACTAAACTTGGCCCGACCCGGAACTTGAACCCAGGACCTCCGGATGTGCAGCCGTATATCCTAGCCACTACACAACCAAGGCAGTCGCTTTAAAGTCAAAATTTCGTCCCTTGCTATAATTTTGCTAACAATTTCATGGGTTTTAATTCTTTTAGTGGAACCATAATCCTTTTTCGCTAGTGAAAATCCCGTCAAAATCAGTCCAGCCGTTTAGGAGATCAGCCGGAGCAAACAGACAGACAGAGATGTAGAGATATAAAAATATGTGTATATAAATAAACTAGCATGTAACTTACATTATTACACTGAGCCTGTGAGTCAACACAAGCGCCATAAGCACATTGAAAGAAATTCGCCGGACACGTGACACCTGAACAAGTGATCGAAGTCTCGTCCGAACCGTCTCCACAGTGGAAGATCCCATCGCACTGCAGATACAGCTCTATGAGATTACCGTCGTCGCATTTAAACTGACTCCTATAAAATTAAAATCAATTAGTCATAAAAAATACAGTACATCTTTACTAATATTATAAAGAGGTCAAGTTTGTGAATAATTGTGAGTTTGTGACGTTGTAGGGGGTAATCTCTGGATCTACTGAACCGATTCAGATGAAATTTGGTAAGAAGACAGTTTGAGACCCTGGAAAGGACATAGAATAGTTTTTATCCCGGAAATCATCCTGTCTAAACCTAGGGACGAACCCCAGGGGAACGAAGGTGAGTAGCTAGTATCTTTTAATATTAGGTAGCCCAGTGGTTACGCGCTCGTTTGGGAAACGGAGTGAAACGGGTTCAATCGATTTTGCGTGAAAGAGTAACAAAATCAATCTACCCATACTCACAAAGTTTCATGTTTATACGAGTAGCATTAGTAGGAAAATTATGTAAGAAAAAAATTTTTTTTCAAAAGAAATATACACACCCTATTATATTGGTAACATTTCGGCATTTAACATGTAGTTCATCAGAATTATCAGCACACTCCGAAATGCCATTGCACAGAGCTGTTTTTTCAACACAGGCTCCATATGTGCAGCGAAAATAATAGTCGGGGCATCTGAAAGAATAAATAAATATTCAATATTCAAAATATTTTATTCAGCATCTTGATACATAATGACACAATACACAATTTTTGACGACACGTTTGGCTCAGTTTGTAGTTATCCTACTTGCCAGTGGTCGCGGGTTCGAGACTCGCTGGGGGCATTCATTTGTGTGACGAGCACGAATGGGTATTTATATTTATAATATGTATGTATGTATTTAAAGTTACATACTTATAAATATGTTTAGTGTATCAACTATCTGGTATCCATAACACAGGCCTCGTAGCTTACCATGGAACTAGATGGTGCTGTGTGATAATGTACCAACATATTTAAAAAAAAATACAATTAAGGACCATTCATTAATTACGCAAGGACAATTTTAACCCAATCATGTAAGAGCACATATTTCTCGGACACCCCCTCTCTCTTCTTACGTAAGATTTTATCTGGTTGTAGAAAAGTAACAATTGCACTAAAACTAATAATTTGACGTAAATCCAAGATTTTTATTTTTCAGATCGTAAATTAAAAAGAAAAATAGATCTCAGAGTTATATTCTCAAACGCTTAGCTCTCAAATATCCATCATTTTATGTTAGAAATCACACATTTCGACTTATATAATACTAGTAGAACCTAAAAAAAAATATCTAAAAAGGTAGTTTCATACAAACTTTCATCCCCTATTTTACCCCCTTATAGAATGAATTTCGAAAACTGCTAAAACACATATTTATTTAACTTTATTGAAGAGCATTTATACCAAGTTTCAAGTAATTCTGATCATAAATATTTTTTTGGTTTGTATTATAATAACGTGTTTTTCCGTGGGAATTAGATAATCTCCCGCGGTAAAAAATCACGCCAATCCATCTCTCCGTTTCGACGTGAAAGAAGGACAAACAAACATACATACATACAAACAAACAAACAAACAAACAAACAAACAAACAAACAAACAAACAAACAAACAAACAAACATACTCACATAATATTAGTATGGATTACGTAAGAATGGCTTTTACCCCCCATTCAATATTTACCTAAATCTAAGAAAATATAACAAAATTCTATTAAAATAGAAATTTTCTATAATAAAATAATTTCAACAACCAACCTAACATCTCTGCAGAGGTAATAAGTCTCATCGGATGCATCAGGGCAGTCGATGACACCGTCGCATTTCCTGTGCGCTGTTATGCACGTGCCGTCGTTGCATCTGAATTCTTCTTGCCAATATCTAGAAACAAAATATGAAATCATCTACAAGTCACTGAAAACACTTTAAAATAAGTGTTGATAATTAGAATCGTACTAATGCTTTTTAAATACTAGCGTCCCTAAAAACGTTTTGAATCTTTATATATATAATTCTTCTGTGAGTGTGTATGTCACTGAACTTCTCTCAAACGACTGGACCGATTTTGATGTTTTTTTTTGAGTGTGTTTAAGGGGATCTGGGAATGGTTTAGATTCACAATATGAATAATAATTTTCATCAAAAAAATTATTAAAAAAAGTTTGAAATTTTCAACTTAAAGACGTGTAGACAGGACGTCTGTCGGGTCCGCTAGTAGATAAATATAGTTATTGCGAGTTGAGTCTACTGTTGAGTTTCTCGCCGGTTCTTCTTAGCAGTACTGCTTTCTAAGTCGGTGGTACATTCCTCACGGACTGACTATACTGATATTTAATTTAAATTTAAAATGTAAAATTGACGATTCAAGAGTGCTTGTAAAAGTCTATTTGAATAAAGTATATTTTGATTTGCCTTTGGAGGTAGATATATGCAATCGCGATCTTTTCTGTAGGCCTTTTAAAGACCTACAATTTTATTGTACATTGTTTCGATGTATCTTAATATTTAGCCAGCGTTAGGTCTAAGGACGACTCAACAAAACCAATAATTGTGTTTTCCCATGGGAATGAAAGATTTTCCAGTAATGATAGGTATCATAAATGTTGACCTGAGTAATACTTGTAAGATAAAAATTTAAATAATTCACAAAATCGCTAGTATACATATAATAAAATTGTAACTAAGCTGAATCTGTACATTAGATATTTTTTCGAAAATCTTATTGTAATAGACATTATTATCGATACCGAAGCCAAAGCTATAGTTTTTAGAATTTTTGTCTGTCTGTCTGTTACCGCATCACAGAAAAATCACTGGAGGGATTTTGATGAAATTTGGTATGATGGTAGCTGGTTATCCGGACATATAGGATACTTTTTACTGCGTGAAAATGTCTAATATCTGAGAAAAAATACAAAAACTGCAATGTAAGAGTATACTAATATGTAAAACCTAAGAATTTGGCTTTTGGTCATCTGAACGCGGGCGGAGCCGCGGGCAATGCTAGTAAAATATAAACATAAAACAGTTTACTTACCTACACGGCGCATTTCGTTTGTATCGAAGCATAGAATTTGTATTGTAGGATGTTTTACTGCAAACAAAAAAAAAATTTAATAAAGCTTGTTAGAATTCTGATTTTAATACTTTATTTTCTGCCTTTCTCAATATTTTAGATAAGAAATTAAACGTTTTAATCTTTTCTGGTTTTTCTTTTTTTTTGTAATTTTTTTTTTATATTTTTTGCTATTTTATAGATACATTTTACTTCCCGAAGTTTCAAATAGTCTTGAGAAATCGTGAGTTAGTGAAATAAAACTTCTTTTGGCGTGACTTAGGGGTGAGTCAATACATTGAAAAAATTAGTGTAACGAAGTGAGTGTAGCGGAACTGAATCTCGCGGAAGTGAGAATCGCTGAAATATTGAAAAAATAATAATTATGAAATACAGATATATATATATATATATATATATATATATATATATATATATATAATCTGAATCTCGGAAACGGCTCCAACGATTTTCATGAAATTTAACACACGGGGGTTTCTGGGGCGATATATCGATCTAGATTAGTCTTATGTCTGATAAAACGCCTGTTTTCTTTTGCATTATTCCACGCAAAATATGGTCGGTAATTTGCACTGTCTAGTGTAAGCATCGTGGTCAAACAGTTATTGTGCAAGGTCGATAATCACAGGTGTCCAGGTTTGAATCTCGGTCGCAAACAAAGTTTTTACTTTTGTTTTTTTTTAATATTTATTCAAGTTTATAGTTTAAAAAAAAAGAACATTATACTTTAGGCTAAAAACTCGGGGCGAAGCTCGGTAGCCCAGGTACTGTGATTATAATAAATGATAATATTTATAAAAAGAAATATTTATTGTTAGTAAGTTTATAGAAAGTATTATATATAAAAATAATTAATTATTATTGTTGATTAATTTCATAATAATTTTTATTTATAAAAATGATGAATCATCATCATCTCCTTGCCCATTTCCCAATCACTTGGGGTCTGCGCAATACATCCTCCGCACTGCTGACAAAAATGGTAAATATTTATTACCAATAAATTCATAAAAAAATAATTATTATTATATTTATATTTATACTGTAGTATTAAAATAAACCAAAAATGGAATTTTGTCGTGAGTCAAAAACCATATTTTTTATGATTATTATTTAAGTTATTTTGACGTTCTCGGCTTGATAATGACACAATATTGTGAAACGATGACGTACAAGAAAATCTTCTAGAATTAAATAGAAGTGAGTCATCAAAACCTATATAAAGGCACGATAATTTGTAATCTGTTCAGTACGTTTTGTGCAGTGTTAGTGATCAGCCAATTTTCATTTGGCCAGTGTTATGTATGATCTGATCCTCGCATTGAGGGAGGTCCACACCCAGCTGTGGGCAAAAAAGGCTAATGGATTAAAAAAATTATAAAAGTGTTATTCTTTGGTTTTGGTGAGTTATTTTTTTTAATAAAATATTATTTAATTTAAAAATATTTAGAATTATTAAATGTATATTTTAATACTTTTTTAAATTTACGCGAATATTTGACATAAAAAAAAAATTTTTTGGTTTGTATTTCGCGGCTTTTTTGTGCGTTTTTAAATATTATAGAAAATAAATGTATATGACATCACATCCGGAAGACAATGTAAAAATTTAATAACATGGAACTGATCTAAGGATAGAGTCAGGAGGTGGTCAGTGGAACTCTTCAATGGCTGCTCTGGTGACACCATAGAGTTTGGGCTCGTTTGATACGTTTTTACGAGTCTCATTCATTGCAGTCTCATAAAAGCGTGTTTAAAATTATAAATGTGAAATTGTGTTTGTTTGTTTGTCTTTCACGTCGAAACGGAGTGACCGATTGGCATGATTTTTTGTGTGGAGATAGTTGGAGGGTTGGAGAGTGACATAGACTACTTTTTACAACGGGAACTTGTCTAATTCCTACGGGAAAACACGTTATAATAGAATCTCACAAAATATTTATGATCAGAATTACTTGAAACTCGTCAATAAAATTAAATTAATACGTGTTTTAGCATTTTTCGAAATTCATTGTATAAGGGGGTTAAATAGGGGATGAAAGTTTGTATGAAACTACCTTTTTAGAGACCTTGCAGGTTTAGCGCGAGCGAAGCCGCGGGTTCTGCTAGTTATCTATAAATAAATAGGCGAAGACCAAACAGTTCAATACCTTTCCTCCTCTGTTTGTCAACCGATTTTTATAGTGAAACCTTCATAGGCAGGTTTGTTTGTATGGGGAGTAAATTCATGTAAGTCGTCATCGACATGGTCACGTGACGTGTTAACGCTAACACTCAAGAGTGCCGATAGATGTCGACACCAGATAAATGTGAACAGTTTTAATTTACACATTTTAGCGTTTTTGTAGCGCTAGAAGACTAAAAATCGGGCATTAGAGTGGCAAATAGCTTACTTGTTAAATAAAGTACGCTTATTAAGCCAAGTTTTGGTCAAAGTCCACTCTAGCAAAGATTCCAAAGAATTTAATTGAATGAGACCGGACTTGTTATGACATGTACCGATGGTGTGCACGTCTTTTATTCCCCGCTATTCTGTTCACCGTTGAAAACTCCCAAGTAAAAGTGTTCTGTGGTTGAAAATGACGAGTGTATAATATGAACTTTCCGAGATTTAAAATTTGCATCTCAATAATAATAAACATCTTTATATAAAAGTCTCGTGTGCGTGAACGGCTTAACAGATTTTGATGTTTTTTGTGTGATAGTGGAGTTACCTAGATGGTTTTTAGCTATAATGGGAGGTGGTTTTTTTTTTTAATTTTCTGACCAAACGAAGTCTATAGCAGAACAATGTCTTCCTACTGGGTTCACTGGTATTTTGTATAAATATTGAAATATAGTGTTAGTTATAGTTGCTCAATTGACTATTATTGTTTATTATTGAAGATCATATTGTTTCTTCATATTTTGTTAATTATAATTTTATATTTTATTATATTAATTTGATATTGATTATTTATAATTTATTATTTACAATTTTATAATATTAATAACAATATCGGTTAGTTGTATTTGTAATATTAATGTTTTAAGAGTATTGTCATCCATCGTTGAAAAATGTTATACGTAGAAGACAGATGCCGCCACGTTACACCCAATGGTGGGGAAATAATGTATAAATAGTTGTAATTGCCATTTTATATATGTAGCAATATACTCTATGATTGCCATTTTGGAAGGATTCCGAAGTAAAGAGGTATTGCTGAATCTCTGTAGTCTTATTTAAAATTAATTACTAACAATAGTCGTAACTCGTAATTGTAAATGCTGACTTTTAAATCTAGATTTAATAAAAAATGTACTTATTATATCAAATTATTTTAATACGATTAAAATTTATACATTTTAATTTTTCCTGAGGCTTTAGAACAAAAAACTAATGCATGTAAAAATGGATATTAGCAACAAAGTCAAATATTCACGTAAGTCTAATAAAGTGTTGAATATATTTTGATTATTAAAAATGTAGGTACTTAAAATATTTTCAGATGAACTTGAAGGAGCTAGCACGAGCATGATTGGACGTTATGTCTGTTTCGAGATAAGATGGAGTCGCACTTAACCGCAAACTTGTTAAACCAGTTTGAATCATCTTATGCCATTAATTTGAGCATTTACGAGTATTGATATAATTTTCATAATTATATTTAAAAAACAAATGTGTAGCTAAAGCGTACACTATATTCATCTATCGCTATATATAAATATTATAAAATGTGAAAGTTTGTGAGTGTGAATGTTTGTTACTCAATCGCGCCAGAACGGCTAAACGGATCTAGATGAAATTTGGCACAGAGATAGATTATAGTCTGGAATAGCACATGGATGGATATTTCATCCCATATAAATGTACGGTTCCCAGAGGATAGATTTGCTTTTGTTTTTCGCTAATGATAAACCCGAGCGAAGAAAGGTTGAGTTGCTAGTATTTTATACGACTGCATAAAAATTGAAAACAAATATATTATTTATGTACCTAATTAATTATCCAAAAACTTTAGAGTATGTACTTGATATTTTTTTTAATAATATTTATAAAATTAAAATGTATTGTATTTAAAGGAAAATTTAAAATATACGAATACGTATGTATTAATTTGATTGTTTATGCATTGATCTACAATAAAATTAATTTTAATATATGCAATAAATAAAAAAATATTTTTAAGCAAATTATAGTAAAAATAGATTGTAATATTTTTTGTTAAGGTAATAAAGAGGTTTTATGTATAATAATATTATTGTCCAAAAACGATAACATCTATCGGTCACCTCTGACATAAGGCCAAATTATTTATATGGATGAGAAACAAAAATGACCCAAAAACAGACCCTAGTGGAAATCTCATATTTATTGGAGCTTTCTTGCTATTTTTATCGATTTTATGACGTCTTTTATTTAAATATGAAATCAGAAGGTCAAGTGCAGAATTTTGAACAAAGTAGCTTATGTCCATCTCTTCATTAAATCAAATAACAAGTGAATCACTGTTTCCAGTTAAGGACAATCCCCCACCAAAAGCTGCGCTAAACTTGTTTTACAACGATATTTTAGAAGCTATTGTGTTAATATTTAATAAATGTAAAAAAAAAAAAAATGACACCTATCTTCAACATTTTGCCGTCGTATTACACGATAAATATATTATTTTTAGGTCTTCACTAATAAAGAAATAAAATTCTTAAGTTAATCATCAAAAATTTTCAATTATGTTTTGGGCCAATGTTCAGAAATCAATGAAAATTTTCAAGTGAGCGTACTGCGCGGGCGGCGGCATTTGATGTGCCAAATGTTGGACATCGTTTGCTTGGGGGATTGCCCAACTATAGGTGAGTGAGAATGATTTAAGTGATATCAGAATATATATTGTAATATATATAGTGAATATATATATATATATAATATATTGTCAATTAGTCGGTATATTTATAGCGTACTATCATTGCCCGCGGCTCCGCCCGCGTTGAGACCAAAAACCAAATTCTCAGGTTTTACATATTAGTATACTCTTACATAACAGTTTTTTTTTTTCTCAGAAATAAGATATTTGCCGCGGTAAATAGTATCCTATATGTTGATCCGGATAACCAGCTATCACCATACCAAATTTCATCAATGGTTTTTCTGTGATGCGGTAACAGCCAGATAGACACAAACATATTTAATAGATACTAAACAAAACTTACATTCGAATTCACAGTATATTATTATTATTAATGATTACGCTTTCAATTTCAGGCGAAATAGCTGATTTTATGGAAAATTTTGCGCTCACTTAACCTGTGTTTGAAAGAGATGGGGTTTTACTAAATAGATTGACGTACTCGTACATATGAAATCCTACGGCTAAATATTACTTCGACCCAACAAAGTGTCCACACAACCACCATGCCATAATTGGCTCACTATTACAAGGTTCTATGTTACAATTTTAGTACTTATTTAGTTATGAATGCTACAAGGTTCTATGTGTCATTAGCTACAGTTTTGCAAAAACAAACCACTAGATAGCGGCACTATAACTACAAAATATTCAATTTTACATAGTTCTATGTTGTTTTTTTACGATAACAAAATAACAAAGTTCTATGTAAAAAATACTAAACTTCATTAAAATTAACATAGAACCTTGTAATAGTAAGCCAACGAATTGTGGTAAACAATATTTACAAATACCGTTTTTACGTAAATTTTACTATATGTAGTAAACCCGTGATTCACTAAATAGTGAAGTAACAAAAATAATAACAATAAAAGGAAATCCTTTTATTGTTATTATTTTTGTTATTATTAGTAACTGTTGACAGTTGAATTACACATCGTACTGCTTTTGACCAAAGCCCATAAAAGCATAAAAAGCTGGACAAATTTGGATGAAATTTAATAGAAAAAATAGCTTGGATTAACATAGGCTATTGTCGTGGTCCCCCCCAACGTGCGTTTACCTTGTCGTAGTGGGGGGGCTCAGTAGTGCCCGGCAATACAGCCGGGCGTGAAGCCAAGAAACGCACAGGGAGGTGGCTCATTTCGGTGGGCGGTGAGAGGTGGCCCTCTTCGGAGGGCGGTGTAGGTATCATGCGGGTTGCTCCTGGTACTTCTCTGATAGCAGAGTGGACCTTGGAGCAACCCCGTGGTTGTGGTGGTCTGCTTCGGCAGACCTGCCGTCGGGGCGTCGTAGTTGAGTGTGTAAGCGATCCTGCGACGCCCCATTAAAACGGAGGAGGTTCCGTTGGGTTTTAGTGGATAGTACCGGCTTTGCCGATGAGGCCAACATAACCATCTGTATGTTTACAGGTGCTTTTAGGGGCTTTCACGAAACAAAAGTAGTATAATATAATAATAATTAAATAGCTCAAAAATTAATGATATTATATATTTAAGGGCGATAAATATGTTTGGGGAATATTTATATACTATTCTTTATTGCACTTATACTCGTAAGTAAAATACAGAGAGTAACAAACAATAAAATTAGTTAGCAAAGGTGGCAAGGCAATTTATGTATATATGTCACCGTAAAATTGTAAATGCTGCTAGATTGTAATCTATCTCGCGAAACTGTCGAATCGACACTTTACAATTTCGCTAGATATATTGTAATCTAGTGATGTTAGTGTGTAGAGTAGAATTTTACGGTGACATATTATATATATATATATATATATATATATATATATATATATATATATATATATATATATATATATATATATAGTGCTAGAGTCAATCCGGAGTAATATTTAGGCAACAGTTTGTAACAAAATGTGCCAAAAGATGGCATTACTTGTGTATATCTATACATATAATAAAATTGTAACTAAGCCGAATCTGTACATTTAATATTTTTTGGAAAATCCTATGGAAATAAAGATTATTATCGATAGAGAGGCCGAATCTACAGTTTTAGAATTTTTGTCTGTTTGTCTGTCTGTTATCGCATCACGGAAAAACCACTGGAGGGATTTTGATGAAATTTGGTATGATGACAGCTGGTTATCCGGGTCAACATAGAGGATACTTTTTACCGTGGGAAAATATCTCATTTTCGAGAAAAAATACAAAAACTGCAATGTAAGAGTATACTAATATGTAAAACGTAAGAATTTGGTTTTTGGTCATCTGAACACGGACGGAGCCGCGGGCAATGCTAGTAGAGAATCAAATGCAAGAAGATTTTCAAATATATGGGCATATGTGTTTTTCAGCCCTTTTTAAGGTCTCACTGGACACGAGCCGGGCCACGGCCCTTCAATACGAGGGGTATCCGACGATAGTCCACCACGCTGGTCAAACTCTCTTTCGAAAACGTGCCAGGTTCTCTCAGACATGCAGGTTTCCTCACGATGTTTCCTTCACCGTAAGACAAGTGGTAATCATGTTGGAAATGATTCGCACTTGAATATATCAAAGATGCGAGACCTGGGATTTGAACCCGCTTCATTCGGACATATTTGATTTACCTTTGTTTAAAGTACAGCAATATTATAGGAAACTAGCATTGTCCGCGGCTCGGCCCGCGTTTAAACGACTATTATAAACCTTTTTGTTGATTCGTTCGCTATGAAACCTCAAAATTGCCTGAAAATTTCATCAAAATCGCTCCAGCCGTTTTGGAATCCATTGGGAACATACATACATACACACATCGGTTTCTATATAAATAAATATAAATACATACCTTCTTCTATAGGTATCACGGACGGCTCCATGACAGACTGGCAAAATTGCTGAAACAATAAAAACGACATTGTTAATATTTTAAAATAAAACTATCTTTTCGGATTTTTTCGCGGATTTATTTTGACTTTTGGTTCCCGACGTTTTGAATACTTTACGGCAATCATGGACACGGGAGAGACTGTCTGGTTTTATTTTAAATTTTCAAATATTCGCGTAAATATAAGAAAATATTACATCTATACTAATATTATAAAGAGGTAAAGTTTGTGAATTGTGAGTTTGTGATGTTGTAGGGGGTAATCTCTAGATCTACTGAACCGATTTAGATGAAATTTGGTAAGAAGATAGTTTGAGACCCTGGGAAGGACATAGGATACTTTTTATCCCGGAAATCATCCCTTAAGGGGGTGACAATAGGGATGAAAGATTGTATGGGAAATCAACCTAGGGAGTAGGGACGAACCCGAGAGAAGCGAGGGTGAGTCGCTAGTTTACAGCATAAAAAATAACCTACGTGCTATTCCAGACTATAATCTGTCTCTGTGCCAAATTTCAACCAGATCCGTGCATCTGTTTTGGCGTAATTGAGTAACAAACATACATCCAAACTGTTGTATTTATAATATTAATCGATTAATAAATAGAAATAAAACCCTATACTACAGCGTAACTACTAATAAATACAGATTGAGACATAGTATTTTATAAATGATCAAGCAACGAGTATGGGTTTTCCCATCGGTGATATAAATAGAAGCTTAAACCTCAAGTATGATACCATATGACTAACTTCAAAAATGACCAACTCCCATACACTTTCATCCCCTTAGGGGAGGAATTTACAAACTCAATATATACAATAGGGAAAATGCGTGTGATTTAAATAAAGGTGATATATATATATATATATATATATATATATATATATATATATATATATATATATATATATATATATGTATAATAAATATGTCGGGGACATTAACACATCACCATCTAGTTTCATGGTAAGCTACGAGACTTGTGTTATGGATACCAGATAGTTGATACACTACACACTTATAACTTTTTTAAATACATATTATAAATATAAATAAACACCCATGACCGGAGTACAAACATTCGTGCTCATCTCACAAATGAATGCCCACAGCGGGACTCGAAGCCGCGACCGCTGACATAGCAAGCAGGGTCACTACTTAAAGGTACTGAAAGAGTTCACAAAATACTCATACTTATGAAATAAGAAGACAAGAAAAGCTTTATGTAAGGCTTAAATCATTTTATGCATTGACCGAAAATAGAAGTGACAATTAACGTAATATATTCCTATATCTTCGACCGTTATCGAGTCACTTTTTTTTTTATCTTTAATATTTAAAGGTCTTTGAATCTCTTGAGATTATGCCAGACCTATCGTATCACAAAAACATATATTCATCTACATAGCTGTTGCTTCCTTAAATATTTTTATCATTTCATTAAAAACTAATTTAGCTTGTTCTGTTACAGGAGTAGCAAGTATGCTATGAAATCTACCAACATCTTTAACATTAAAATTAAAATTTTTAATCAAATTATTTCGCAAGGCTTTCGCTTCGGGTACACTCCACTAAAATATGTTGTACATCTTCTATGATGTCACAAGAACGACAATTAGCTGATAATGTTTTTTTCATTAAAAACTTAAACTTATTCAGGGGTATATGCCCAGACCGAAGCCTATGCGCCATTATCGAGTCACTTCTTCACAAAAACAAATGAGTGTCCATATCGATTATCTCTTAAACGTACAATGAATGAAAAAACTTTTAATATATGAATTGTTCATACTTATCTATAGGTATAGATCAATAAAATTGATGTGTCTGTGTGTAAAGTCGAAATAACCACTATTTATTTAAAAAAAAAAAAACTATTTTATTTTTTTTTGTCTGTCTGTCTGTTTGTTCCGGCTAATTTCCGAAACGGCTGGACCGATTTTGACGGGACTTTCACTGGCAGGTAGCTGATGTTATAAGGAATAACTTGGCTACTTTTATTTTAGAAAAAAAACCATAAAATTGTGACCTATTACGCATAAAGCAATGTAAGTTACTAGTTTACAATAACAAAAACAAATGATAATTATAAATTAACCAATTCAAAACCCCCGACGCAAATTTACTGTCATTTAACGATTACACTGGCACGCGTGAAGCACTTAATCGAGTATACACTTAATCGAGTATACATACGCCAAAATGCCTTACATCATTTTGGAAAAGAGCTGATACTCTTACACTGCTGGACCGATATTAACCATACTGTCGGCGACGGAAAACTTATCTTCGAGTAACGTGTGTATTAATATAGGGACAATGTCATTTTAGCGTATTATGAATAATTGTTGTAAATATGAAATCTCATTCTTATTAGATTTATTATGTTAAAATAAGTTCTAATTAGTGTAATAAGGTTAGTTTAGAGTATTTTTTGCTTATTTGAATCATATAAGACTATTTAACATTAATTTGAAAGGAATAGGTACGTAAGTAAAATGTTAGCATATAATTACGTAACTTGAAAATGAGATTTTTTGTTTCTTGCAATAGCATAATAGTTTATGTTTTAAATAATAGATTTTATTATAAAACTTATAATAAAACAAGAATTAGGTCGATAGGACTATCCGTTCAAAAGTTATAAGGGAAAATGTATAGTAAAAATGTAGCAACCTAGAAATTTAGATATTTTTGTTTTAAGACTTTTTTAATTAATTATTATATATTGAATATTATGTTTTAATATTGTATAATAGTATGTAAGGCATGTAAATAAATAAATATGTGTAAGGTGTTTTACTGAAAACATAAAATAAAAGGACTCTCAAGGTTTCGGTTTAGGGAAATTTTACTCGAAAAATGAGCTCAAAGTACGCGGCCCTCTGTAAGGTATTAACGGGCCAAATAAAAGGCGAGCCATTTCTCGATTCGAGTCAGTCGCAAGACAGCCACCGAAGAGGCAACAACTAAAAGGAAAAGGAAGAACCGAAACCAAGAGAGAAAAAAGGAAAAAATTGTGTTTTATTTCATCGCCTCTAAGTATAGTCTCCTGTCAACGAAGAAACCCTAGTGGATCGGGACCCAAGCTACGCATTCAGGGGTGCGTGGTGGCGTACATTACCAGCGAACGGACATACTGCCGTGTACGCCAAGAACGTCTGGGAGATTGTCCCAGGTCGACCTCCGGGTACTAGACATACCCTGGTTCTGGTCGTCCGAAACAGTTGGTCCTTCGAGCCGGATCCCTGCTAGAAGAAGTTCAGAAGAAACAGAAGATTGCGTTCAAGATGCCGGTAACCAGGTCGCAGAAGGATGCCCCCTCACGTCCCGGGTCCCGTCCTTCAGATAGGGACGCGACAGATGGAACGTCGGGATCAGAAGGGGTCACGTCAGCGTCGGCGTCATCGGGAACTGCAACTACATCGAACACTTCTTCGGGTACCACGACCACGGAGGGCACCACAGTGACGGAGACTACGGTTACGACTGCAACTACGGCGGCGTCTATGGAAGGCAACAAAGAAGATGCTGCACAGAGGATGACCAGGAAGAGCCAAGAAGATGTACCTGGAAAGGATGTTCAAGGCTCCTCCAAGACCCTGAAACCGATGGGGGTCAGTCGTCGCGCCAGGTCCACGAAGACCACGAGTTCCTCGGCCAGAAGACGCGAGCTAGAAGCAAAGGAAGAGTTGGCACGCCTGGAGTTGAAGCAAGCACAGGCTGAAACTAAGCTAGCCCGTGTCAGATTGGAGATGGCACAGTGTGAAGAAGAGGACTCCGTGGATGAAGACCTGGAAGACAGAACAGCACAGGTGCAGAACTGGATCGAGACGTCTGTGCTGGAGGATGGCAACAAAGTTCAACCAGAGATGCGAGGTCCACACCCCTTGGAAGAGCCACAGAAGATGAAGCCTGAAGAGAACTCCTCAACGAGAGGAGCTACGATTGAAATTCAAGCACTGACGGCAGCATTGAAGGAAGCTCTTACCACGCGAGGACCAGCAGGACAGCCAACCTACATTCACGAGTTGCCCTACTTCGACGGCAACAGCAGCGAGTGGATGGCCTTCAAGGTTGTCTATGAAGATACAGCACCGATGTTCAACAACGTCCAGAATATGGCTCGGCTAAGAAGAGCACTGAAGGGCAACGCAAGAGAAGCTATCAAGAGTCTGCTGTACTCCGAAGCCTCTCCGATGGAAGTGATTCAAGCCCTCAGAAGAAGATATGGAAGACCAGATGCACTGGTGCTGGCAGAGTTGGACAAGGTCAAAACGTTGCCGAAGATTTCTGAAAACCCAAGGGACATATGCCTCTTCGCGAGCCAGATCAGCAACAGCGTAGCGGCAATAAAAGGATTGAAGAAACCACAGTACCTGCATTCACCTGAGATGGTGAAACAAATTATTGAGAAGATGCCTACGATCCTCAAGTTCCGATGGTACGACTTCATTGAAACAACAGAAGAAGGCGAGTTCTCCGACCTAACACTGGTGTCCAAGTTCCTGAACAGAGAAGCAGACAAGTGTGGAGCCTATGCATCAACAGAAGAGAAGAGCGGGTTCAGACGGACTCATCGACAAGCAACGCATTCAACTAAGGAAAAGGACTTCAAAGAAAAGGTTTCAAGATTAGAGAAGACTTGCCCCATGTGTGAGGGTGAACACTTCCTCGTCGGGTGTCAGAAGTTCCTGAAGGCGTCTGTGCAAGATCGATGGGCAATAGTGAAGAAAAGCCGCGTTTGCTTCAAGTGTTTACAAGGGACACATCGGAAGGAAAGCTGCAAGAAGCCGTCGTGCAAGGAATGCAAGAGGTGGCATCATCATCTGCTGCACGTCGAGACAGAGAAAAGTTCCTCGGAAGAACAGAAGAACAAACCACAAGAAGTGGCGAGCATCATGGCATCGGTGAATGCGGTCAACAACGCAAGGGCATACCTGAAGATAATTCCGATAGAAATCTTCGGGTCAAAAGGATCAAAGAAGATATTGGCCCTCATGGAT